GACGAACAGATTAGTCGCCTTTTTACGGGGACGGTGAGAGACAGCCAGCTGTTCGACAGAGTGGTGAAAGCACTGGCTGAGCATCAAGCTGGACAAAAAGCAGGTCACATCAAAGCTAAAGGTCCTGAAAAAGAAATTTCATCAGTCTGACATGTCTTCCGTCTGATGCTGAATGCGCGACCCTGTACGTATCCCGTCTTGGTTTGAGAGGTGCCTGATAGCAGTTTATCCTAGCTTCAGCTTTGCTACTATAAATGCCAAAATCCTCCCCAGGGAGCCGCTGCAAATCCTGTTTTGCAAACTAGGGCCCGACCGATATATCGGCCAATATTGGGGTCATTAACAGTATCAGCTATCGGCCAAAAAGACGGCCGATATGGCCGATATTGCGCTACCTGTCCAGCAGATGACGCCAGCTTTATGAACTCATGTTGTGTGGCTCCACTCCTTTGAACTTTGAACACAAATTATTGTTTTGGAACTTTTTTTTAATTTATTCTTATTTATGTTTCTTATGTGCAATTATTTCTTGTCCAGGGTGAATAAGTTCACCAAGTTAACTTCCAGAGTGTTACATTGTTACAAAGCACAAGTATTATGTTTTATTTATTGCTGCATTTTTATTATTTTAATATTCTTGTAGGGATTTTCTGTCCCTAAACTTGTGTGTGTTGTTAGATTCCCCAGAGTTAGCCAAGTCAGAGAAAACATTTTGTAACCAGTTGTTTTAACATAAAGCAATGGAAGGGAAGGCTTGCATTCACCTACATAAAAAAAACACTACAATGTATGTGAATTCACTTACTTTGTTTTATGCTAAACTAAGAAAACCAACTGCTGTCAGATCATATTGGGCTGGTTATAAAATGCTTTTTCTGACTTGTCTAACTCTGGGGAATCTTAACAAGACACAATTTTACTGAGTGGTGGAATATTCCTTTAAGTTAAAATGTATTTGTGGAAACCACTAGCCTAGTGAACTAGACCAAATTCTTGCTTTGCAAAGTTTGCAGAGTTTTAAAATGATACATTTATTTAGTCTGGCTTGCCAGGCTAGGAAACCACAGTTTACAAGAAAAAACTTGAATGTTAGATTTATGCTGTGACTGAGTTTGTGTGTTCTGTTGTTTTTGAGATCTGCTAAATAAATCTTATTTGCATTACTTGGAAACCCTGGTGAGTTATTGAGACAGTTCTTTGGTGTGTAATAAGTTTGCATCAAAAAGGCAGAGAATGAAGGGTTTAAGCTTAAGAAAATTTTTATTGCTTTTTTTTTAGTGAGGGAGATTTATCGGCCATTATATCGGCTATCTGCCTTTGTTAAGAATTTTATATCGGTATCGGTCCCAAAAAAAGCATATCGGTCGGGCCCTATTGCAAACGCTATGGTCCTGTAAAAACAGCTAAAGCAAGTTATGTCCAAGATAAATGGAAGTCCGCGGCAGAGCAGAGACCGCCCCCATACCCCCTATATTCCGCCATCGTCTAATCTTTTTATAAAAAGGACATGACTGTGCCACATTACCGCCTTGGTCTAACACATAAACGACCTATGGGTCCCTGATGCTGCAACGACGTTGTGGCAAATTGACGGCATTGTTTTGTAAAGCCTGCATTTGAGAGTCTTAAAGTCTGGAGGCTCCAGCGTAATGTTGGGAATTGTGGCAGAAAAGGCAAGACAACATTTTGTTTTGGTAGCTGGTTGACAGTATCCATTAAGTCCAATGTTATATCGTTTTCTGTGACCATCAGACTTTGTCTCTGTAGGGGAGAAGCCTGAAAAAAGGGAGACGGACCTGCTTGAACAGTTTTTTTCCAGGAACATCGACTCTACCTTTGTTTCTGCCTGGACCGTTTTAGATGTTACACACTTTTAGCCTGATCACTTTGTGTCTGATAACAGAAAAAGAGTTACACTAAATACACATTTAAGTGGTGATTATCTTTACAATAATCTATTAGACTGTAGTGTCAAAGATTTCTACCACATTCATGTTATTTCCTGAAAACATTAATAATAATAATGCATTGAACTTATGTAGCGCTTTTCTAGACACCCAAAGACGCTTTCACACACTCTCACATTCACACACTGCTAGTGATGGTAAGCTACTTGTAGCCACAGCCACCCTGGGGAGGTCTGACAGAGGCGAGGCTGCCATTTGGTGCCGTCGGCCCCTCTGACCACCACTAACACAGGCAAGTTGGGTGAAGTGTCTTGCCCAAGGACACAACAGCAGGATACCCCTGGCGGGAGCTGGAATCGAACCCATGCCCTTCCGATCATGAGGCAACCCGCTCTACCACCTGAGCTACTGCTGCTCCACTAGTATCATGTCTAGCACATGTTAGCATAAAAAGCTAGGACTTTACCTAACACCACTTTGCTTGCATGCTATGTTGATGCAGTGCTGATCTGTAAATGTGAAGTGCTCTGATGCCAGCCGAATTTTCCCAGCTGACCCGCTTGCTTAAGGCAGACCTCTTTGACAGATGGCTCTTTTAAAATAACAATGTGCTCAATGGTGAACTAGTTAAATAAGAAAAGCATCCTTAGCTCTACTTAAACAATAGTGTATTCTCAGCTGTCTGTCTTGATCCCTTGTGACAAAGAAAGAAGTGGATCAGAACGGCAGCAGTTCCAGTCACAAATACACCAAATTCCAGACTAAGTTTAGCTCATGCTGCAGAGCAGAAAGTTCTGACTCAGCAAATTGCTGGTGTTGATGCATAAGCACTTTATGAAAGCAGGACATCATCTGATCTGATGTATAACATCATTGCTGTCGCTGGTGTTTCCCTCTAAAACTTTACTTATTTAGTTCTGTTGTCAGTTTCTCCGTCTTGTGACGTGCAAAGTGACTTAGTATGTGTTTGCAAGCACAATTTTTGGAAAGGTCATGTTAACACCCCTCTCCAGCAGCTCTCCCATGACACAACCTAGCGTCCGGTTTCCAATTCAAAAAGAGATTGTGCTCTCTCCTCCCACCTCCTTCTCTTTCTGTTTGCATTCCTTCTCTCAACAATGCCCCAATCTCCTCCTCTCTGTGAGGTGACTCAGGGAAACCCAACACCACTGTGTGTGTGTGTGTGCACGCGCACACACACACAGCAGCGCCATGTGGAAAAATACCAACCTCTGCGCCACCCCCCTCCTGCACATTCACTTATTGCAACTTAAGCACACGCACGCACGCACGCAGGCATGCACACACACACACACACACACACACACACACACACACACACACACACACACACACACACACACACACACACACGCAAAAGGCTGCTTTAAACAGGAACTAGCAGCAAATCAGGAAGTCAGTCAAGGGCACCGCAGCAGGCTGATGTGACAGCACACACACTCAGCTGATCACGCCTCCCAGACATCAACCCAGCTCCCCTGTATCTCTTTACTGATGAACCTTCAGGGACAATATTCAAAGTTTGAGCTGTGTGTGTGTGTGTGTGTGTGTGTGTGTGTGTGTGTGTGTGTGTGTGTGTGTGTGTGTGTGTGTGTGTGTGTGTGTGTGTGTGTGTGTGTGTGTGTGTGTGTGTGTGTGTGTGTGTGTGTGTGTGTGTGTGTGTGTGAGCCTTGTCCTGTCACCTATAGTCACATGGTCCAAAGCTGGCCTATTTTAGGGAGGCAGGCAGAGGAAGAGAGCCGGAGCAAACAGGGAGGGAGATGTGTTGTATTACAGCAGGTGAATGGCTTTTACCTTCCCAGGCTGACTTTGTTTCAGCAGGTACAAACTCTTTGGTCTCGTGGGAGCAGAAAGAAACTGATCCCACTGAGCCGAGTTCACTGACAAGGTAATCAAATGGGAAGGAAATGTGGCTGCTGTGACCTTTTTCCACTTGTAAGGGAAAAAGACGAGCACCCTGAGCTGATGTGTGACATCAGTGTGAGACGGCAACGCGTAGGACACTGCGTCTTTTGTGTGCGACTCTTTAAAAGAAGCACATGTGGGGAAATGAGCTTGTAACATTTTCTGGATGGAGGAAACCAATAAAAAATCTTTGTGACTCCGTTTAACTTTGTTAAAAAACTTTGAGTAAAAAACTCCTGGTTTAAGGAGACATTCGCAAGCAGGAAGTCATTTTATTCAAACACACACACACACACAATGCTGTAAAACCATCCAGTTAAAGAGTTTCATGGGAAAGATAATTAGCAAAGTTATGAAAGAACAATCATCATTCCTTATCATATCTCATCTGCATCTTAAGATATTTTGTGTTCATGGAGTAAAGTAATAACATGTTATTAGTTTTGTCTGCTTTTTACAGCTCTTCTTGTTTACTGTTGCTTAATGGTCTTATACTTTAATCACCATTTCTTTAGGCTCATCTGTACACGAAGACAAGATGGAAACAAAATTAAAAGCCTGGTCATTTTTCAGATCCAGTTTCCTGGAACCACTTATGCCATCAGTTATTACTGAGCTGAATAATTTATTCGATGCTTTCCAACTACTGTCCTCTTGCTCTGCTGACTTTTACCCTGTTATTAAACGGACTCAGTGACCTCTGGAGTATTGCTGAAACCTCCTCATCCCTCCTCTCGAGGGGCATACCCTCCTCATCGCTCACTTCCTCTCTCCTCCTCTTCGCCACGCCTCATAAATCTTACATCATGTAACCAATCACACTGGTGTGTCATTGCCTACTTACACTTCTCACTACACAGACACACACTCCTGTGCAGTTTGTCACGTCTCACCAACTAAGCCGGATTGATTCTGAGGCTGGAGGTCTGACTCTCTCCTCCAGAGAGATGCTGAAGGTTTTCATCACTTATTTGACAATTTCACACAGTAATTGACTAAACATGTTTATAGATGACATCAGAAATACTCTCTCGCTCTCTCTCTCTCTCTCTTTCTCTCACACACACACACACACACACACACACACACACACACACACACACACACACACACACACACACATGCAAACACTCCCAGCATCATAATGAAGGTAGGAATCAAACTTACCCTTTTGACCTGGTCATCCTTGAGCTCTGTGAAGTAATAGGCTAATAACTGGGCTGCAATCATTCTGGTCCTTGTTCCCTCTCACTCACTCATTCAGCACACACACATTCACACACACACATTCACACACACTTAAAAAGATGGAGAAAAGTTAAAGTTTGAAATAAAAGAACACTACCAGATTGTTTTATAGAAATCACACCAGTATAAATATATCCCGAGTTTGGTCCAGTTTAAAACAGACTGAGCTGCTGCTTCATGTGAGGCTAAAAAGTTATCTTCGTGCGCGTAAGAGCGGAGCCAGGAAACACGAGTGAGACAGCGAGTCGAGCATCAGAATGGAAGCGGGGACAGGCCCCGCCTACCTCCTGTGAGCCCATTGGGTCAGCATCATGATATTTGTAACCGTGGGAGGGGCGGGGCCACACCCTCCTTACTGCGATTGGCTGATCTGAGGACGGCTCTGATGCTTTAGGCAGGGACGGAGAGCAGAGTGAAGTCAGTTTGTGTTTCCACATATGACTAAAGGGCTATTCCGCTGAAATGAATGAAGGAATGAATGTTAATTCTGATTGCACATTTCCATTTTAAACCTTTGCACACTTACAAATAAGAATGAAAAACAAAATAAAATGTATTTGATAAAATACAATGACATAAAATATCATGTTCAATTAGCTAAAATGTAAAGTCCTGTACCTACTGTCCACTTGTGCTACCTTTCAGACCCAAAACGAAGGACTATATACTGAAGTCAGAATTTCTTAAAAACGTATTCAGTATGTGGAAGATCAAGACATAGACATTACAGTGATCTTTCCCTTTAAAATCTCATCTGTACCACTTTGAAAATTGGGTGTAATATTCTGTACTAAAAACAAGTGTGTGAGTTGTGAAACCTTTATTAAAGGGGCAATTTGTCATTTTAGTTCTTTATTTAGCATCTGGATCACATTGAAACTGGTCTCTAAAATTACAAGTTGTATTAATTAATTAATTAATTTGTTTGTTTGTTTGTTTGTTTGTTTATTTATTTATTTGTTTATTTATTGCTATTTTATCCTGGACCAAAATATTCCAAACTGCAAGTAGAATCCTCAGAATACAATATGTGATTTGTGAAAACTTCATTTAATTTTTGGTAGTTAAACAAATTACGTTTTGTTGTTTTTTGGTATCTACCCGGTCTAATTCTAAAGCACCATACTTGATCAAGGTGAAATGCAATTAATTTCCTCTTAAAATATACAGTTTGCGATTTGCGTAAAGCTTTTTTTTTACTTAATTTAATCTGTGAAAGGTGTAAACATTTGCTTTCCTAAACAACTACAAACAACTTTTTACGCAAAAGCTTTATTTTGAAAATTCTGCTTTCAGAATTAAACAGATTTACCCTGGGTTGAGTATAATAAGTAGAGGAGCTGATGGTCTTTTTTCTATTTAAAATTACTCATTAGATGAGTTCGAAATTGAAATCTTAAGTTTACTTCATGGAAGTGTGTAAGAGGAGGGAGAGAGGAGAGAGGGCCGACCTAATTACCGGGGGAGGAGGGGAGTCAGAGAGGGGGAGGAGTAGAAGATGAAGGTTGGGAAATTTTAGGTTTCGAGGAAGTCTTGGGTTACATTCCGACTAGACTGTGCTAATGTGATAGCTGAGTCACTGAGTTGTAGGCTGTAACTCCTGAGCCATTTCTGGATGAATCAGGAGATTATGAGGAAGAGGAAGGTGTTCGCTGTCTTTTACAATCCCACATAAATATTCTCTGCTCAGAAATGACTCCAGTTTAATATCATGACATGCAGAAGGTCACGTCACTGAAAGTATGTGCTATGAGGTGGAATGTGGAGAGGGCGGAGAGTTGAGAACAAGCTCTTCCTCTTAAGAGTCACAGTGAGAAATGATTATTAGGGCTGTAGTCAGTTCTTAATCCTGCACAATACACAGATTATAAAGCATCTAAAGTTGGTATCAGTTCCCACCTGCATATACAAGCACTTTTCTGTTTTTAATAAACCAAATTTCTGGAAAACATTAAAATAACAAAAAAATAATAACTGTTTTATACTGCTTAGTTTGCCCTCCAACACCTTAAAACTGCTTAGTAATTAAACAGAAGAGCACGGCTGCCGTCACAGTTGTCCACTGCACCTGGTTCTTTACAAAAGATCCAGTCTGTCCTTCAAATAGCCTGTCTCTGAGGCAGACATGACAAAACCTTCACAACAACAGCTGTCTGTTGTCTGCATCCTTTTGAGAACTGCTACAGACAAACAAATCCTTCACACGCTTAATAAATGGGCTGTAGAGCGATTCCATCAGGAACGCCAGTCTGCCTCAAGTCCACATTTTCAACAAAAATTCATAAAAAAGTCAAAAACTGATTTATGTAATAAAATCGGCAATGCATTGCTCACTTTTAAACACAACATGTTATGTCTTTGCTTTAAAAGCGAGAAAAATAAAGCTTGCAGTGGTTTTATTCAAATTTTACAGAATAAGCTGTTTTGCATGTACTTTTCATAGTTTCTCTGCTTTGATTCAAATAGAAAATAATGCACACAGCTATAGTGCATCAAAACATTTTCCATCACTCCATCCGTGATCCCTCCCCTGTCAGAGTGCCAGTTATACCTCTCCTCAACAACTTGCCATGACTTGTCGCATTCATGCGTGCTGTGAAAAGAAGTGAGTTGTGCAGCTAAAGCAATTATCAAGCTGCCATGTTGAAAGAAGGTCACCTTGGATGTTAGTGCAGCTCTGAATGACGTGTTCAGTAAAAGAAAAGGGAAGAAAATGAAAATTTTTAAAGATGTTAAAAACATTGACATGGTTCTGTCATGAAAACTTGAGTGATTCATGCAATTTATGGCAGTAAAAATAGTTTAAATGATGTCTCTGTACATTCAAACCGTATACAGTTTTACCACTTTTGCTCCGTTTCTCCAAAATTTTCTCCATCTGCGATTCAAAAAAGGCTTGAAAATGGCATGAATGCTATAAAAGCAGGAAAATTATTTTGTCAATGTGTAGTTATTCAAATCTGCAATTTTTGATCCATTTTATCTTAAAGGTGTGGGAAACTCGTTTAACCATGACATTTTCAGTGGTCTCTGGTAGGAATGAATACCTTGCAAGCCATGATCGGGGTAAAAAAAACAGAAGTGCTTGGATCAGCACGAACAAGTGTGCTGCAGCAGAGTGGCAGAAAACGGCAAGGTTCGGAGTCTTATTTCCTGATATTTGGATTTGGATAACAGCAACATGACCACCGACTTGCAACGCTGATGTTTTATCTCCACAAATAACACACGCCTGGAGGTCATTTTCTGTGTGGTGGTGTTGCTAATGCTAACGGTTAACTTCTACCAGTCAGGGCTGATTCCTGGATGCTAAACCAACAACAGCCTCCCCCGTCCCTAGTCGAGATGGGTCAGCCCACGAATGTTAATTGGCAGTGTGATCTGTCAGGCTAATGCAGGAGATAGTTGATTATTTTCATGTTCAGCCTGCATGAAAACTCAGAGCGACTGATTATAATCAGAAATAATCATTAAAAATATTTTTAGTGTTCCACACCTTTAAAATCTCTGCTTTTGGGCGTGTAAAATGAGTTGCATTAGAACAAGTGAGATGCTTACTTTCCTCATCTAATGGCTGTTAGGTTGAGTGTGACAGCAGATTCTCTCTGGAGACGTCCGTTACCAAGGGTGTGTTACCAGGAAAACAAGGACAGGTGGATTATTGAGAAATAAACTACGTCTGCAGCAATATGGTAAAACAAGCGTCAGCATCTGGAACATTCACATCCACCTGTTTGTTTAAAAAATCAAATCTAAGTTTAAAAAAAAGCTGTCCATGAAATCTACCTGCTGCCTTCCTTTGCAAAACAAACACATTATTCATGAGTAGATTGTGTGTTGGTTGGGGCAGATTCTGCTGTTGTTCAGCTGTAGAATAAGACTTTATCATCTCACTAAACATTTCAACAGCTCCATCATCCATTCACAGAAGTAGTTTGAGATCTTTGTTCTTCATAATATCTATGATTTACCTTCAGTAGTTCAAGTTTTTCACGGTTTAGCTGAGTCAGCGTCCAGTTGTCCTCACAGTGATGTTTTGGTCTGTTGTTACATCTCACTCTTCCAGGATCCACTCCCGGATGGTCCATGGTGTCATCAGGAGAAAACATACTGTGAAGAAAAACTCAATTCATGTTGCCAGATAAGTAATAAAACCAGTAAATGCTCCAGCTGGTCAGAGAATCCAGCAGATCAGCACAATCCATCAGCTGGAGACCATTTTGGTTTGTGTGTGTGCATTTAGTGTGTACATGCATGCATGCGTGCGTGCGTGTGTGTGTGTGTGTGTGTGTGTCTGTCTGTGTGTGTGTGTGTGTGTGTGTGTACATGCATGCATGCGTGCGTGTGTGTGTGTGTGTGTGTGTGTGTGTGTCTGTGTGTGTGTGTGTGTGTGTGTGTGTGTGTGTGTGTGTGTGTGTGTGTGTGTGTGTATGTATGTGTGTGTGTGCGCGCGCGTGCGCGTGTGAGCATCAGAGTCTGTCAAAGCTCTTATTGTTGTTTTGCAGGAGAGACAAACACAGAGGGATTCTAACACCTTCTCACTCTATTTCCCATGATGAAGATGATTTTTGTTCTCTTCATACCTTTCCCAGAATAAAAATTTTAAATTTAAACATTCACCAGAATAAAGAAGTGGCTGATCACTTGGTGAATTTGCCTCTCTGCTCCATGTGTGGCTGCAGGAGCTGAGGCTTCAGCTGTGTTTGCACGTTGTGCTGCATAACTGCACTGTCACTGGTTCAAAGGGGATATTAGGTCAGGACAGGCCGGGATTACCGTGTGTGTGTGCATGTGTGTGACGTCGCTCCCAGCTGGTAGCATTCTCACACGTTAATCCCTGGCAGGTTGTTTTTTATTTAACATTTTTGTCATCTTGTTTTTGTTGAATTATCTGATTTTTGCTTTGTGTGTGTGAAGACTTCCAGTTTTTGTTTTTTTTATTTGTGTCTGGTATTTATTACTTTTCCGACAGCTTCGACGTCTAATCTGTCACGAGTGGATTAGCGTTTCACAGGTCAAACCAAATGTAGTAAAACCGGAACAGTAGTTGCAGATTATTGGGTGGTATCTACAACAAACTCTTGGTGTTTATTGCTATTTTTGTTAATAATAATTCAATTAATAATACTAATAAGAATAATAATGATCTTGTCTTTCCCAAAGTATTTTGCAGACAGACGGGCGATCACAAGGATGGAGAATCAGCCAAGAAAGGCTGAACAGAGCATTTGTTGTTTTTATTGTTAGGAAACTTGATCAGCAGGATTCCATTCCTCCTCCTCTCGTTCTTATCCTCTATTCCGTTCCATTTATTTTCAGTAGTGCAAGCATTATTCCAGAGATGTTCTTGCTTGTAACTGTGTTGAAACTAACTCTTAAGCTCATCATTAACGCAAAACTGACACTAAAACCAAGTCGTGACTCTCAGAAACATTTAAACTGGTGCGACTCAGCATTTAACTTTCCACAAAGTTCAGTTTATTAATAAAATTGCATGAGGCAAAATAGAACAGCAGGAGCATGAATATACAGTCTGTTTGCAACACAAGGTGTCAACGAGGAGCCGCTGGGTTGAGAAAAGGGCTTCCAACCAGGTTCTAGCAAGGTGTACCTAATAAAGTGGACACACATTTAAGGATGTTCTAGCCTTGAATAGACTGCAGGATGTGATTTATAAATAATATTTTCTAAAAACAAGCTCTCAGCCCAAAGATAAGTCTAATCTGTGCAGGACTACCGGAGCAGCTGCTGCTCTGGGACGTTTCCCTCACCTTTATGAGGACTGGAGAGTGGAACGCTTTGGTTTGAAAACTAAACACAAGTTTTGGAGCCAAAATAATCACAGGTCTGAAGCCTGGGATGATGCTGTCTTATTTCACACAGCTTGTGTTGATCTGTACGGAAACGGTTTGCAATGAAACAGGCAAGAAAAAATTTCTCTCAGTGGAAAATCACCTGCCAAAACCAGCTGAATGGTGAGCAGATGGAAAATGACAAATGCTGCTTTGTGTAAGTAAGATCACCCCTATTTAACAAGAAAACACAGGTTAAAGATTAGTTTATGGGACAGAAAATAACCTAAAATTCTTTCATTCAGAGTGGCAACACGCAAAGGTCGTGTAAGAGAACCAGGAACCATCCCATCATCAGAGATCAATAAAAATAAAATACAGAATATTAACTAAAACATGATAAACATGGTGTAACTGTGTTTTTCAGGTACGGGAAGTCAGACGTCTTGCTTGCGTCGGGCAACAGCTGCGATAAGGGCAGCTCCTTTCCCACTGCCCTCCTCTGAAGGCTGGAAGGTCACGTCACACTGAGGAGCCATGACTCTCACCGTCTCTTTCAGGACCTGGGAGAAACTAAATGCAGCGGCAAGAGAAGAAAATGTTTAAATATGTCGTTTGGAAGCTCTGAATATACAACAAAACTCATGTGATTGTGTAACTGACTGTGGATGAAGTTTATAGAGAGACCCGTCGACCCCCACAGCGATGTCCAGGTGGTCCAGCCCTCGGTTCTCTCTGATCTTATCTACCACCGCGGCCATTCCTGCTCCACACAGCTGAGCGGCTCGACGTGACACCACTAAACAAACCTGCACAGAAATAAGAAACCTTTATCAATGTTGCAACAGTTAGTTGGAGCCGCAATCAGCTGATCCAGACAGCAAATGGCTCCACAAAGCAGCACAAAGTTATTTCTCAACCTCAACATGAGGTTTCACCATCATTTTCCAGACAGCAAGGACAATTTGTTCAACTTTTAACCTCTCATGTTTAGCATCGTGTCCATTTAAATTTTCTTTTAAAACATCGGCCTAAAATGATAAATAAATTAAAGTGAAAAGAAGGTTAATATTCAGAAAGTGTGAAAGATTTTGCAGTGGCTCATCGAAGCCACGTTTCTGTCTCCTACATGCTTGACTATGATGCTGTCATGACAGGTGCCGTGGAGGCCCAGCTGCTGCAGAATGGACCTGACCTGCAGCAGAGCCAAGCGATCACTGCAAGGACAGGAGGGCAAAGAACTACATCAATCGTGGCTTTGAAAACTGCACAAAGTATTAAAATTTTGTCTGAGTTCCCTCTACCTCTCTATCTGTGACAGGTATTTAGTCTCAAATATCCCAGGTGTTTTTAAGGTTTCAGAGACGTGTCCTTTAAACAGCAGGCCTCTTCTGGTTAGATCCAGTAACACCTGTCGAACCACTTCCCCCAAATACATCCCGCTGGTCATCTTTTCAAACCTGGAAGAGAAAAAATAATAAAAACACACACACACAGTAAGGCATTTCCCACAGATCTAACATGAAACTGTTTTTTCTAAACATCATGTGTAGCACTTCTAACCGTTGCTTTCCTTGGTTTATGGAGTTTTGGTCCACCTCGGTGTCATAAAGCGTTATGATGTCGTCCAGACAGCCGTCATCACCCAGACCCCCCCACTCTGTGTTTATACACATCTTTTGCATCTCGCCATCTTTTTTATTTTTTTCTGCACCAGCATTCTGTAAAAAAAAACAAAGAAAGACTTAAAGACCAAGTTTGCTTGTTTTTTCAAAGGTCTCTACTATAAATGAAAATCAATCTCTGTGAGATAAAAGCTCTGGTGTTCCTGTTTCGGGAAGTAGGAATTAGCCAGAGGAATAGGGAGCAAAAGATGGCAGGATCTGGGGTCTTATTTCCTGATATTAGGATTTCTCACCTCTGATTGGCTAACAGCAACACGACTCTACCACTGACTCAATTATCTTTGCAACTCTGATGTTTTATTTCCCCTAATAACACAAGCCTGACGGAGTTCTGCTATGTTGTGGAGTCAGTAACGCTAACGGTAAACTTCTGCTAGCTGAGATGTTCTATGTTCTCACCTTGGGCCTCATTTATAAGCCGTACTTACGCACAGATCTGTGCATATTTCATGCATAGGCACGAATGTATTCACTGTGTGGCATTTACCAGTTTGTACTTTTGCATGAACTTGATTCTAAATACAAGAACAGCTCTGACCATCCGTATATAGCAGGGGTGTCAAACTCATTTTAGCTCAGGGGCCACATTGAGGGAACTCTAGTCCCAAGTGGGCCGGACCAGTACATTTAAAAAAAAACTTCAGATTGTCTTCTTTGTTTTAATACAATCAATATAAAACAAGGCTGGAGCCTGAGGACAGTGTAGTACAAGTACAACACCTGAAGTGTACTTGAAAATTTAAAAAAAAAAAAAAAATCAACAAATAAAAAAGCATTCCTTAGTGATTCAAAGAGCTTACAGATCACATGGCTAGATCAGTTTCATGCAGCACTTAAAGTATATTTGACTCATTTTACTTTACATCTTTTAGCTTTCACCAGCACATCAATATCAGAAGTCACATCCTGAGTGGCGGCCAACTTCAGGATGTGATTCAAGTTCTTGTGTGAGCCTTGAGCGCAGCTTTGTTTTATTTATACTCATTACAGAGGAAACTTGCTCACAATGATACATTTATTTTCACTCTACATTGTAAAGTATGAAAATAAAGTTTACACAACCATCTCGCGGGCCGGATTTAACCCGCTTGCAGGCCGGATGCGGCCCGCGGGCCGCATATTTGACACCCCTGGTATATAGGAGCAGCATCTAGTGGTAAAACAGCAGTACTGAAGGTCTCAGTTATCCACGCGTGTTCCTCATCCACTAATTATATTTACCCAATAAAAGATACACGTGACCGACGGAAATCTGACATTATATCATGACTAATCTGTTATTTGAAGATGTAACAGAGCGTGCACACTGGAGGGAACGCGTTCTCCATGAGGAAGAAATCTTTCTGCTATGCTGTGATTTAGGACCCTTTGTGGCGCGAATCCGATTCCAGTTCATATTAAGTTTGGACCAAATACGGTTAATTGAGGGCGTTTCTGTATGTAAATGACGGTGAATGGACACGAGCGCCTGGGTGCGTACAAGCGGGATTTATCATCAGACGATTGCAGAGGAACGTGCGTACGAGAGGCCATCCCACGTTTCCTAAATCAAGAGTACACAAATCCTAAATTTCATTTGTAGGAAGGAAGATAGGAACATCCGTACGAACGTATTGATAAAGGAGGCCTCTGGATGCTAAATCAACAACAGCCTTCCCCTTTGCAAGCCAAGACGGTCGAGTCTGTGAATGCTAATTTTCAGTGTGACATAGATCTGCCAGGCTTCTCTAATCCGAGTGTTTCCCTGTCTATTTTATATTAGCGGCTAATGCAGGAAACAGAGGTAGAAGACTATTTTCACGTTTAACCTGCAAGTGTGTTACGCCCCTGAGGCGTAAGGCATTCTTTTTTTTTTTTGTACAACTTGTCCCTCTGATAAAATGGGCTGTAATTAATTGTCACTTTCAGTATACAGGTGCTCCGAGATGCCCTGATTTGTGTTCTCTCAGCCTAGAGGTGACCTGATTGGATGCTGAATGCCTTAAAAGCATCCTGATGAGAAGCACCTGTGAATCTCCTGTTCAGCTGTCCCCAACCAGCCACCGCTTGTGTGTGTTCCTTGTGTGTGTGTGTGTGTGTGTGTGTGTGTGTGTGTGTGTGTGTGTGTGTGTGTGTGTGTGTGTGTGTGTGTGTGTGTGTGTGTGTGTGTGTGTGTGTGTGTTGTGCTTAGAGTGACCTTAGAGTGAATCCTTGTTTAGAGTTCAAAACGGGGAATCACAGGGGTGAGTCGCCTTTTCTGTTAACCCTTTTGGTCTCCTGTTTTGTGCTGCCAGGGAGGTAAGCTGATGTCATTCTTTTCTTTTTGTTTTATGGAGGTCAGACGACAACTCAGTGAGGGATGTTTTTGTTTGTTTGTTTAGGCGTTGGCTACCCCTGAGTTTTATTTCCCACCTCAGTTGTTGAAGTAGAGCTCCATTTCTGTTAGCCTGTACCTTTGAGGAGTATATATAGCTGTTTTGGTAAATGAATGCCTTGGTTATAACTTTAGAGAGTGTGGTCGTTTTGGTGGCGGTTTCTCAGTGAACTTGCTCTTTAAATAAACATCATTACTTTCACTGGCTGACTGACTCTGAGTGTTACCTCATTCTTCTCCCCTTTCTGCGTCTTTTCCTCTGTTTTTGTGGCTCTTTGTTCGATTTTCTCAATGTTCTTCAGTTCCTCCATGTAGCAAAGATTGGTGCCAGTTCCTGAAATGCAAAGCCACAGCTGTCTAGTTAAAAGTGTGACAGCACACCTCCTCTATCACTTTGAAGAACTGGATCAGGCAAATCCAGAGGCTGGAAACACTCCTCCATGCATCATATTAAAAATGTAAATGTCATCCAACCACAATCCTGCAGTAGGACCAAAATGTCTGCTTGAGAAACAGTTTCCTCCTCTTCCTCTTATTTACCAGCGATCATCCCAATTTCACACCGTTGGTCTTCATGGGCGCAGCTCATCATGGTCCCGACTGTGTCGTTGATTAATGCTACTATGTCCAAGTCAATATCCTAAAAGCATGCACAAATGTTTATACAGTCAAACATTAATTAGGACTCATTTTATTCAGTCAAATGTGTGGAGAACGTGTCACCAGTTCACACATCCATAACGCTTGTTGTTTGAACGATTTGTTGAAGAAAACAGAAAAAAAAACTTTGGAGCGTTTAAACTCACGTTGCGCCTCTTGATGGCCTCTCGTAGCATGCTGACAACATCGTGTCCCTCACTGTCAGTTGCCTTGAAACCTTTAGTCCAGGCCACCAACGTTCCCTATGAAATCCAAAGTCAGAGTTTAATCATCTTCTATATTGAAATACTAAAGAAGTGGTTCGGGGGGGGGGGGGGGGGGGGGGGGTTAATACCGGTGCACCATTTCTAGTTGTGACCCACATCACTACTAGACTCGTCCCAGATTGAATAACAGCAACGCTACTATAACGCTGACATGCTACGTGGATAAATAACACGTGCCTGCAGGAGCTTCTGCCGTGTGGTGAAGTTGCTAAAGCTAACGGTTAGCTTTGACTAGTCCAACACATTCTCACACCTAAAGCGTCAAAATATGACGCGTGTGACCAAGCGTCAATATATGACGGATCGGGATGCACCAGCGCCTCGGGACACAACGATCAGGGACACGTGGCTCCGCTGGCGTCAGTGTTTGATCCTCGCGGTCACACGGACATTATTCGACTGTTTAACCTTCCCCTCACCCCAATCCTAACCTTAAAGTCAGTAACTGTGACCTTAAAGGGACTTTACAGAATTTTGAATTTTTATGCTCGTGATTGCCCCCTCACGCCAAAAGCGTAACGGCAGCTTCAATGGTGGGCTCGTGCACGAGGCGCACATGCTGTACGTGCACACTCCTTAACGAAAATAACAGCTGAGACAGTCCCGTGTGTGTGTGTGGTCCGGAGGACAGAGGGCAGGAGAACGCAAAGCTAATTAATTAAATAATTTGATTCTGTACCTTTTCTCTTCAGCACAGCTGACAAAGGTTTAAGATGGGTCAGTCCTCCTGCATGCTCAGATCATTCCCTTCTCTTGCTCGAAAAATTGTTCCAAAATGAAAGTTGAACCCACATCTTTTTTATCTGTAAATTCAATGCCGTTCGGCAAGTCTCAAATAAAAATGTGGGCATCTTACTGTAAAAAATATACCATTAATGTAAAAAATAAACTAAATAAACTAGGTTCACATCCAGAATCAAACCCAGATCTTCTGCACGAGAGTCCAATGTTTTACTAGGTGAACTACAGCACCAGTAACATCTTTCATGTCTGTAACATTTATATCGTTGATGACACCTGAAACAACGTTCAAAGAACGGTTCGGAGCGAAAATGGCTATTTTGTTGCTAATTTGCAGGAAATATCTAGAAGAAAGTAGCTAAGGGTCCTCAGAAATATAGCTAGGTTTATCACTAGGTGTTAGGAACAGCGACAAAGTCGCTGAGTTGGCACTACCTCACTCTCTGCTGCTAAAGCCACTGATAGCAAATGCTACGGGCTATGCCTGAGCGTGAACGCGCATGAAGCAGCCTGCTGGACCTGAGCAGCTCAACTCTCTTTTTCTGTGATTTTACAGAAAAATAGGCAATCACAGTAAAAATGCCAGGGCTCATTCTACAGGACCAGAAGCCTGGCAAGCCAGACTAAATAAATGTATTATTTAGTCTGGCCATGCTCCATTGACGGTTCTTGGTTGTGGGGCGGGTTCTACAGTTGTCTTTCAAATGATCTCCGCATGCTACGGGACAATGAATGTGACATACTGTTGTTTCACTCTGTTGCATCATCCCACCCACCAGGCATATAGAGTGCCCTGATTGGCCCACAAAGCGGATAAAGCTCTGTGATTTGTTCACTAAGCAGATAGAGCACTATGATTGACCCACCATTATGGACCAATCACAACTCTTTATGTGTTTGAAACCCCTCTAGAGAGCTGTGATTGGCTAGCCAGAGTTCTGGTAGGACCTGTGGAGGTTCCAATGGAGCATGCCTAGATCAAACATTGCAAAGCAAGAATTTGGTCTAGTTCACTAGGCTACAGGACCAGGGCATTGCAGGAGAATGTATGAAGAAGACATTTATTATTTCTATACATGTTTTGGCTGTCAAAATTCCATAATGCCCCTTTAAGTTTAGGATTGGGGTGAGGGGAAGGTTAAGTAGTTCACAAGTCATACTAATGTCCGTCTCACCACCGGCGTCTCATACCAACGCTCTGGGACGGTGCGTCATCAGCGTGTCCCTGATCGTCGCCTCCTGATGCGCTGGGGCATCCCGAATCGTCATATATTGAGGCTTGGTCACACACGTCATATTTTGACGCTTTGGGTGTGAGAATGTGTTGCAACCAACTAGTCGGGACATACACTGCTGTCCCTGGGTGCTAAACAAACAACGGCCTTCCCCGTCGTAAGTTAAGATGGGTGAGTCCATCCAGATGGGTGTGACGTAGCTCTATCAGGATTTTTAAATCCTAGCGTTTCACCATCTATTTTCTATTAGAAGCTAATGCAGGAGATAGGAGTAGGATACTATTTCATGTTCAACCTGCATAAAAAACTCCCAGTGACTGATTAGAATCAGAAAACCCGGTTTTCAGTTTCCCACACCCTTAAATAAATGAAGTCTGATGGGCCACATCTAGTATGTGAAAATTTTTCCGTGGCTGTAAGAAAATTAATGTTTAGAAATACAATCCAAGCATGAGACTCCCACTCTGATCCACCTACTGTATCGATGGCTGACTGCTCACAGGGGAAGGAGAAGGTGAAACCTGCAGGAAGACGGGTGTTCTTTAATCCCATGTAGTCCAGGAAATCACACACACACTGCGCTAGGTGGTCAAACAGCTGGAGGAAAACAAAGAACACACTAATCTTACTAAGGATCTTATTTTGCGTTTTATAAATGTTCTACTGACCCAGTGTTGTACTATTAATAAAATGCTTGAGGTGTTTCTTACCTCCTCCCCAGTTCCCTGCATGATCTCTAGTGGAATGGTGTAAATTTTATGATAAAGTCTGGACGTCTGCTTTTTAAATCTCACAAGCAAAGCTCTGAAGTTTGTTCCTCCCAGATCCAAGGCGAGGTATTTCCCACGCTCTAGAAAAATGAATGAAATGTCAAGATATTAGTTCTTTTATGATAAAAGTGGAATTTGCCCTATCCTTAAAGGGTAATGTCAGTTTTAGTTTCCATACCTGTACCGTCCGGCGTGAGGTAAACAAAGGAAGGCAGCATTTTTATGGTGGAGGAGCTTTTACTCCTCAGTCCTGCGTCCAGCCCTGATCTCATCCTGGCTTTGACCAGCTGGAGTTGCTCTTCCTTTAATCTGAAGAGAGACAGCGTCTCAGAAACCTGGAATACCAGAGATACGGGGCTTCAGATGCTGTGTTTGGGTTCAAGTAGCAATGAAGGGCCTTTGCCGCTAGATGGTGCTCTGGTCTGTGTTCATCAGTCAGTAGTAGGCTCGACCACTGATAAGGACATGCAGGTACTTCGCTGTGAGCCTGCTTTTTTCTAGTTAATCTAACAATGCACGCCATCAATCCAACCTGTCGTCTCAGTGATGTCAGACGTTGTGCAACTGCTGCTACTAAGGCAGCACCTTTGCTGCTGCCGCTTTCTGAGAGGACAAATCGAACCTGGCACTCGGGAAGCAACCGCCTCACCACTTTGTGAAGGCGTTTGGGATACCTGAGAAAGCACAGCAGAGAGGCAATGTCAGTGTGGAACAGCAAAGCAGCAATGTGGAAGTTTAAATGATAAATGACCCACATTTGTATAGCGCCTTTCAGAGTCAGAGGACTCCAAAGCACTTTGCACAACAGTGTATCATTCATCACACACACATTCACACACTGATGGTGATGAGCTACAGTGTAGCCACAGCTGCCCTGGGGCGCACTGATAGGGGTGAGGCTTCCGAGCACAGGCGCCACCGGTCCCTCCAAATACCACCAGCATGCAAGGCCCGGAGCCGGGATCAAACCTGCAACCTTCCGATTACTGGACAACCCGCTCAGCCTGTTGAGCTACTGCTGCCCCAGTTTCGTTCAATGTCACAGGACAGCCATAGTGTGTCATTTTCAATCAATATATGAAAATAAGCATCACAAAACGTGATGTGCTTTACATTTTATGTTCTAGCAAGCTGTTTCAGATATTAAACTCAAAAGATTTAAATGAAAAAAAAAACACTAAGAGAGCTAGAAATGCCAAATTGCATTATGTAAACAAGAGAACAGAGTTAAACAGCTTACTGCGGGTGTGTTTTGTACACGGTACCATCCACACCTACGGTGATTCTCAGCGCTCCCATATTACGGTTTTGCCTGATTCGAGTCAAGATGGCAGCCAGTCCTGCAGCCACCAGATTAGAGGACCTGAAGGACACGATGGTGCTGACATGTTGAACAGCGATGCAGTCGTCATCTGATGGGTTCAAATCAAGCTCATCTAGAACATCTTTGGTGTTTTTAAGACCGTTTCTGTACCTAGGAAAGAAAATTAGTACTAACAATTTTTAAACAGAAACAGAAAAGATGATCTCCCTTTTGGTTTTTACTCACTCATCCATTGCTGCAACATCTGCAGTGGTTATCTTCCCTTTGGTCCTCAGAGCATCTGACACACGTCCATCAAACAGCTTTCCTAGTTTGGCCATCTTTAACACAACCAGCCTCACCAGCTCCCCCAGGTGCATCCCACTGACCATCTTCTCAAATCTGCAGATTAAAGAAAAAGTCAGAAGGAAAGGAGACACGGCACGAGAACATGAGAAAAGAAATCTGTTTCCCGAACATTTGTTTTCCTGGGTTGCTGGAAGCTGCGTCCACCTCCCTGTCAAACTCAGTTAGGAAATCCTTCAGGGCTCCATCATCTCCAAATGAACCCCACTCAGTGTTCACACACATCCGCCCCTCATCTCCCTCCACCAGGTCGATGTGACGAAGTTCCTCCATGTAGCAGGCGTTGGTGCCGGTGCCCATGCACATAAAAACACACAAAACACACTCACGGCACAGTGATAACAAAGCCCCTGTTGTCTGCTGCCATGGAGGTTAATATAACTCAGTTTCACTCTCTCTCTCTCTCTCTCTCTCTCTCTCTCTCTCTCTCTCTCTCTCTCTCTCTCTCTCTCTCTCTCTCTCTCTCTCTCTCTCTCTCTCTCTCTCTCTCTCTCTCTCTCTCTCTCTCTCTCTCTCTCTCTCTCTCTCTCTCTGCAAAACAAATTCCTAATTGCCTGGAAATGTTTATGTTTAGCAGATGCTTTTGTCCAAAGCGACTTACAATTGATAATCGGCATATTGCCCTTGAGGCTAACAACAATAGTAACAACAACAAATTGACATCAGTCATGGAGAGGAGGGAGCAAGGAGTGGACAGTAGAGAGGGGGGACGGGTGCAGGGAAGGTGCTAGTTAAGAAGATACTCTCTGAAGAGCAGGGTCTTCAGGAGTTTCTTGAAAATTGAAAAGGAAGCCGCTGTTCTGGTAGTGCTTGGAAGGTCATTCCACATTTGTGGAACGATGCACGAGAAGAGTCTGGATTGTCCTGAGCGTGGTGTAGGCACTGCTAGCCGACGATCCTGTGATGACCGGAGCGGCCGGGCCGAGACGTAAGCCTTTGCAAGAGGATTCAGGTAGATGGGAGCCGTACCTTCTCGGACTTTGTATGCTAGTGTTAGCAATTTGAATTTGATGTGTGCTGCTAGCGGTAGCCAGTGGAGCTCAATGAACAGAGGGGTGACGCGTGCTCTTTTTGGCTGATTGAAGACCAGACGCGCCTCTGCGTTCTGGACCATTTGAAGAGGTCTCACAGTACAGCCTGGAAGACCAGTTAGAAGAGCATTGCAGTAGTCGAGGCGGGAGATGACAGTAGATTGCACCAGGAGCTGGGTGGCATGTTGTGTTAGGTATGGTCTGATCTTTCGTATGTTATACAGCGCAAAGCGGCATGAACGGGCAACAAAGGCAACATGATCTTTAAAGGTCAGGTGTTCATCAATAACAACACCCAGATTTCAAACTGCCTTTGAAGGAGCCAGAGATAGGAAGTCATTTTGCACTGAGATATTGTGCTGTATGGATGGTTTTGCTGGGATGACAAGTAGTTCAGTTTTAGAGAGGTTGAGTTGGAGATGATGGGATTTCATCCATTTTGATATGTCAGAGAGACTGTTTGATATTCGTGCAGAGACAGTGTGGTTGTGACAGATAGAGCTGGGTGTTGTCTGCATAGCAGTGGTAGGAGAAGCCATGTGATCGAATGATCTCACCCAGTGAGGTGGTGTATATGGCAAAGAGAAGAGGTCCTTGTACAGAGCCCTGGGGGACTCCTGTGGCAAGATGGTGCACGGTAGAGGATTGTCCAAGCCAAGATGCACTGAATGATCGTCCTGTGAGGTACAATTCAAACCAGGCGTGTGCTTTCCCTGTGATGCCCATGCTAGAGAGTGTGGACAAATGGAAGCCATGGTTGACAGTGTCAAATGCTGCCGATAAGTCAAGCAGGATAAGCACTGAGGATTTGGCAGTCACTCTAGCTTCTTTTAAGGATTCAGTCACTGCTAACAGAGCAGTTTCAGTGAGTGGCTCTTTTTGAACCCAGGAAATGTCACACGTTGTTGCAAAATTTGTCAAATGAAATAAAGAAACTACAACAGGTATAACAAAATCAATCATTTCATCAGGGTGGTCGAAGAGACCACTGGCGCCAGTGCACGACAGCCTTGCTTCCATCAGTGTATAGCTGTGGCTACATTGTAGCTCATAATCACCAGTGCCTGAATGTGTGTGTGTGTTGGTGGATGGGTGAATGACTGGATGTGTTGTAAAGTGCCTTGGGGGGTTGTAGAAACCCTAGAAAGTGCTATAGAAATACAATCTGCTTACCATTTTAAATTTAATGGTGATGCTTTAATTTTCTAAACTCACCAACGATAATTCCCACTTCACAGTACGAGTCATCAAACCCACAGGTCATCATGGTGGCTACGGTGTCATTAACCATTGCTAATATTTCTACATCTAAACCCTGCAAAGGTAAACATGAGAAAACATCACAAAACAGACTAAATCTATGTTTAACGCAGGAAGATCTATTAGAAACAGTACATCCTCGACTAAAACATCAGACTAGTCATCATCAGACCCATGAAAGATGTGGGGGACATCTTACCTCTGTTCTTTCAACAGCTTCTCTGAGAGCCTGGACCACATCTTTCCCCTGAAGGCCTCGAGCCTTGTAGTTCTTGCTCCAGTTCAACAACGTTCCCTAGAGAGTGAAAACAATCCCTTGTAGGGATTAGAAATGACAGGCCTGTGGAGTTTGTTCAGATTATGAAACCGGATGCTGTATGGAGAAGGCTGTACCTGATCCAAACGGGACTGATCGCACGGGAAAGAGAAGGTGAACGCTAAGGGGTGTTTTTTTTCCAGACTGATGTTCTTTTCATGCATGAAATCCTTCAGAGACTCTGACACGTGGTCAAATAACTGCAGATGAGGAGGAGATAAGGCAGTAGAGAAAGTCTGCCTTTTTAAAATCTTAAAATCTATGTGGTTATCCATTTCTGACCTCTGTTGCTCTCCCAGTGAGCAGCTCATCTGGTACTGGATAGATCTTCTCCTCCATCTCCACATCTCCCTTTTTAATGCCCACACATTCTCTTACTTTAACCTGGAGCACCTTAAACTTGGAGCCTCCGAGATCCAGAGCCAGGAACTGACCTTTCTCTGCAAGAAAAAGGAAAAAAGAAAGAAATATTATATAATAGCATAGTTCTGAAATAAACAAAATGCACAAATATCTATGGAAATAAACGTCTCTAATAACCTGATCCATCCGGAGTGGAACAAACGTGAGTTGGCAGCATTTTTACAGCTGCTGCTGCATTGCTTTCTGCAGAAAGCCCCTTCTTCATTTCAGCCTGAAAACGTGCCGAGAGCTCATTCAGCTGGTCATCGTTGAGACGCATGGCATGAAGAAACCGGTCCACCTTAAAAAAAAGAAAAAGAGGGAAGAATAAACAGAAAGGAAACGGGTTGCAGGATCTAATTCATGATGCCTTTTTGCGGTTGAAAAAATATATACTGGTTTATGTTTGTAAATAAATACTGGTTCATAAATAAAACATTTTCAAAAAAACAAGTAATTTAAGGAAAATATTGAAATTTTAGGTGATATTTAAATGGTGAATTTGACAAAAAAACATAAATATGAGATTTAAAATAATACAGAAAGTAGACATTTTGGATCAAAAGTGCAGGTGCGTTAATGATAATCAACACAAAAGGGTCTGTTCATTAGTTACGCTTCTACAGACAAATAAGCACAGAAATGGAATGCTTAGATCTGCTTTAAAGTCAGTGATGTTTTAATTCATCTTTACATGCTCATCTTTTTTTTCCCCCCTTTTCATGTTTCATTTCTCAGTTTTGCTCCTTGGCTCAGTCTATGACCACCCTTCCAGCATCTATAGTCCCTGGTTTCTCCAGATCATGTGTACTCCTGGTTATTCTCACAGCAAGTTTGTTTTTTGTAGCAGATTTTTTCTTCCAAAAATAAACAAACAAACAAAAAACAACTCTGGTTTCATTTAATGTCATTTGTGTCTCATTCTCTGTGTCTTGGGTCCACAAAATCCTTACAGATCAGATCCATAAATAAGTTTTATTACGAGGGCCTTAAAACAGATGACTATAAATACGCAATTAACCAAAGTGTGATAACAGGTTTATGAAACAATGTTGGACTGTTCAGTGTTATTAATGCGTGACTATCTGAATTTGACCGTGTGTGTGGATCAGAGCTGGGAGTGTCAGAACTTTGATCTCTGAGGAAGTTAGATCGATCCAAGAGGATGATATTAATCATTACCTAGGACAGAAAAATATGCAATACAGTAACTAATGGTTGCTGCACCTTTCCACAGGACCACCTCGTCTGGTGGTCTTGGTGAAGTTACCATGCAATGTGGTTGTTGAATGTTTTTGACACGCGGCCTGACTGCAACGCTGAGCAGATTAGAATTTGTTTTAATTCTGGATAAATCCAGTTAAAATGCATTTGAGGTCAGTTAGCAGCAAATTCGGTTTTTATTCTTCTTTCAAAAATAAATTAACAAAACTGAACTTTTAAAACATTATAAAAACAAGCAGTTCTTAAAATAGTACAGCAATAAGGTCGATTCCCCATTAGTTACAGAGGGTAATCTCTTTCTAACTTAACTGGTTTTTGCATCCAGAACGAGTCTCACCTTCTTTGTGGGATCCTCCTGAAGTTTGGAGAAGTAGAAAGAAACAAGATGAGCAACAAACATCTTGATCTACAGAACGGACCAGAACAAAAACAGCTGGTTCGAATGGGAGGCTGTGCACCAGTCTGGGAAATAATTTAAAAACAGAAAAATCCTTCGTGTCTTGTCACTGTCTGTTTAGAGTCCACTGAGCGTTGACCAACCTCTGCACCAACTTAATGATTAACAAGCCAAACCCTTCTCATCCTTACAGCCCATCCTCTTTGAAGTCTCACTGAAACGTTTACGGTTTCATCTGGATTTCTTCTGCATAATCTCTTATTTTACACAATGGCCATGCGTAAGAATGATAAAGGCCTATATTTGAGCGAATCTACACAATTCTCTGCATCCGACGACATTTTACAACCACAGCAGGTTCGTTCTATTACACCAGGGGTGGCCAATCCTGTTCCTGGAGGGCCGGTATCCTACATGTTTTAGTTTGAACTCTTGTTTCAACACACCTGATTTCAATCAGCAGCTAATTCATAGGCTTCTGCAGAGCCTGATGAGCTGCTGCACAGGTGTTTCAACCACTGAATCACATCTGTTGCAGCAGAAAAACCACAAAACCTGCTGGATGCTGGCCCTCCAGGACCAGGATTGGGCACCCCTGTACAACATCAAAGCCAGTGGCTATATTTATTAAAATAATCAGGTAACACATATAAATTCAATATTTAAGTCACAACTTAATGGAGTTTATATATATTTATATTGTGTGGACACATTTAATGAACCCAGCTTTGTCCCCAGTAGTTATTTATTAAAAACCTCATTACAGGTTAAAGGTAATTACCTCAGCTGACTCCGACCTGATCAAACTTTCTAAGCAATAAGTAGAGGAACTGAAATAATTGGACACAATACTTTTATTTGTATAAATAAAACATAAATTGTAAAATGTTAATGATAAAAATGATAAATTCAAACCTTAAAACAAATTTTTTACATTAGCTCCAAAGGGTCCAAGTCTTAAATGGGTGGTGGGGGCAGCTCTTCTATCAAACATCATGAATTAAACTGAACAAAAACCTTTAAAATGTTTTATTGACAACTGCTTACATGTACAAAAACAAACATATAACATGTTACGGTTTATGAACAGATGTTCTAAAGAATCTGATTCAAAGTGAGTAAAATAAAAAGTTTGACGCCTCCTTAAATTGTTTTCTAGCTATGGATCAGTCTGGTGTTGCAGTTAAGTCTATTGAAACATTCCTGCTTTCAGTTTGTTACTCGCCAACTGGTCCGTTTCATGACAGGTAATTTTTTCTCCTAAAAAGTGATTCTGTCGACAAAAAAAAAAGGAAGAATCACTTTTCAGATACACCCGCTCCTTCATTAGAGACAAACGTAAAAGGAGTGAGGAGGAACCGGAATGACGAGCATCTCCAGCTTGACTCAGTTTGCCCGTGTGCAGGCTAGAGAAGAATAACAAAGATAAAACAACCCAGTAATTGATTCCAGACTGAACTATAATCCAACACGTCTGTATGCTTCATTCCAGATTGTTAGTTCTGTAACCTGTACCTGTTCCAGATTACCAGGTGGGGATGTCTCTTCATTTCTTCTTTCTTTTCCCTTTGCTGTTCTTGTTTGTTTGTTCTGAGAGGAGGGCACTCTGACTGCTGCTTTGGGACCACTCCCTCTGCAGCTGTTTGAGCAGATCTGGGGTAAGCAGACCGTCTCTAACCAGACGACTCGCCAGTGAACTGTCTATCCTCTCTCCAGGGCCCCTCTGACCTTTGCCCTTGGTCAAAAAAGTGCTGCCAGTATCTTTTCTGCTGTTCCCTGCTTGGTCGAGCGAGTTGCCGTGCGTCTGCAGCGGGTCGGTGATGTTTGGGTCTGTGGCTCGGATCAGACGGGTGATGTTTCGGACACCCGTCTGGATGACATCATCGAGTTCCCGCTGGATTTCTCGGATTGAGGCTGTATCTGGTAACATATCCATGAAGCGGTAGCTACAACACAGATGTAAAAAAAAAGAGATTAAACCTGCACGTGTTTCTAAAGAAACTTGATCCATGATTATTTATTTAGACATAACAGTATCCATGACAACAAGCAGGGAAATTGAAATGACAACATTTACCTCAACCAGAGGTACAGATCCAACACATCATGAACAGCTTCCAGGTGAACCAGATCTTTGATATTTTTGGGCGCAGCCACAGGCCAGCCGATATGGCGGCAGACCCAGTTAAACGTCAGAGGTTCATCTCGACTGAACTGACGTGCAAACTGAAAAAAGTGAATCACAAAGTTGTTCAGAAAAATGTGTAAAATTACTCAGAATTCCCAAATGTTGCTTCAGGACATCCCTCCTTCAAGTGTGGGTCTAATTCGTCTCACCTTCAGAAATGACGTGCACACAAACGGCTGCTTCTTGTTGATGGGAGCGGTGCAAAAGACGTAGCGCGACCTCAGGTTGAGCGGTATATGCTGGATCATATCAGCCAGAAACTTGAAGTCATCGATGTTGCAGACAAAATACATACCGTCCACCTGAGAGAGGCTGACAAATATGTCCTGGGACGGAAAAAAGGAACAGAACGTAATTTATAAACAATGTGGTTTGGGGTCAAATGCATGAATACAACCATTAGGATAATTTCCTCTTTAACACAGTTTCTTTCAACAATGTTCATGTCGATGAAAAAAACTTCATGCAAATTGAAAACGCAACAAAATTTAGTGCACAAAGACAATAATTCAGTTGTTTAAAAGTCCAATAAGTGCAATGTGATGACTTCTAGTGGCAGGAGTGGTTAACTGCATCCATTCACTTGCAAGGACCACAACATCCTAAAAGAACCTCCCAGGAGCAAGAGCTTCATTCATCCTTCTGAGATAATAAAAGGGTGTGGAAATGGACAGGAGGACAAGCTATGAGTTTTAATCAATTGAAAAAACAGATTCTAACCAAAAAAACAACCTAACTCAAGTATCAATAAACAACTAGATGCTTTTTTTTACACACCACAAGGTTGGAGAGCGTAGCATCAGGCAGATGATAAGCAAACATCTCAATCTGCTCTGCAGTGGGATGCAGTCCTGCAGTCTGAGACAAACAAGCAGGTTAAACAAAAAGAAACGCATTGGTGTCTTCTTGTGTGTAAAATAATCACCTTTATGGGATCTACAGAGCGGCTGAGGATTTCTTTCAGGACGGGCAGGTCATCTCGATGCATGGTCGTCACCTCTCCCTCTTTGAAAACTGAGGAAAACCTGAAACGGAAAAAGACAAGTATGAAAAATCCTGGAGACAAAAAAAGGCTTGTTGCACTGGGAGTTTTCTTCAACCAGAGACGAACCTTCCTGCTCGGCCTGCGATCTGGAGAGCCTGCGATGTGCTGATGGTCTCCATCTGTTTCTCTCCTTTCTCGTTGACGTTGGGCTTCACTATAGAGTTGAAGATGATTCGTTTTATACTCCTGAGCAGAAGAGAGAGAGACAAATACAGGTTTTACTTTAACTTCCTGTCGTTTTTTTGTAAATAATATAAAAACGGTGTGGTAATGACTCTTTTTGTTGACGAATCTTACAGGTTAAGGCCCATGCCAATAGCATCTGTAGCAACCAGGATCTTACAGGGGTCATCGGGGTCATTGAACTTCTTGGCCTGTGACAGCTTAGTGCCTGGAATCAATAGTGATCCAATATTATTTTATTAGACTAAAATTATATATGTACAGTGAAATAAACCATTGTGTTCAAAGATGTGTTTACCTGGTGGTAAACTGCCATAAATGACAGCACATTCTAGTCCTCTGGCCTCAATCTGCCTGCTTATAGAGTAAATGTCATTTTTACTGAAGCACACGATGCAGTCTCCTGGCCTCAGGTTGTCTAAAGACTCCACTGCATGGTTCAAGATTGAGAACGGTGTTAAGCGTTCGTAGTTGTGGACCTGAGGATGGATGGGACCATGTTAGAAGGTCTCCTGTGGGCCACCACTGCAGTTTGCATTTCCTGCTCTACAGAGTGTTTCAGTCTCACCTCCACCTCCTCTCCAGTGGTGTACATCAGCTCTCTGATGAAGTCTACAGCTGCAGGTTCCCCACACACGTGGATCTCCTCCGCACACAGGCCTACAAAAACCATTCAGAGTGGTTTAAGTTCAGATCAACTTCAGATGAATTAAATCACGATGCAAACATGTGTGTTCGGATGTGTTACAAACCCAGCAGCGCTCTGGTCCATGCCCAGCCTCTGGAGGGGTCTCTGATCATTTGGATTTCATCAATTACAGCCACCTCATCTAAACACACAAACACACAAACAATTCTATTTGTGATGTACTAAATGTCACTATTAAAACAGTCAACTATTTTTAACACACACACACACACACACACACACACACACACACATGTAGCGTGATGAAGGTTCTCTGATTTGTGCCAAAGGTCACATTTGCCCAGCTGGGTCAAACAGTACTTTGAATCCACAGATTAAAGCCCAAGGAGCCACGATGTCTGCCGAGATCATAACACCAGTATCTGCTGTTCCGGCAGAAGAAGGACACTTCAAGCCACGATGATAATAATTAAATAATAATTAATATTTCATTGATTTTATTACTGTTTAAATAATCATTACCACATGATCACTTTGCTCATTATAAAGGTATCTTAATTACATGAAATGGATTATTATGCTTTGGGTATTATAATGAATTATTATAATGATTAAAGATGTGTTCAGCAAAGATGACCTTCACTGTCAGCCAACACAGAGTTCAGATAACAATAACTGCAGCACATGTTCTTTGACGCATGACCAAGTTTTCTTCCGGAGAGAGAGGGGGAGTGTTCTGAGAGAATTTGGTAAAATCTAACCATCACAGATTTCACGTCCAGTTCTGGAACCAACACCACGAGGTAAGGAGAAACGGCCGTCTCCTAAGCCTCCACCTGCTGTTCTTGTCACGCTGACAGAATGGCTAAAGAACAAACGAAACTAACGAGCTAAACGAAAGACCCTCCCAGAGTCATTGATTTCTGATGTTAAGTTAAAAGACGAAACGTGCATCTGCCAAACGCTTCGTGCAGCCGTGTGCCCTGCTACCACTGTGGACCAGACAACCGGACACTCGGCGTCTTCTCTGCCAGCCCCGAGTGTCATCTTGGATGAACCCATCCTTCGATGTCAGGATCCACAAAGAGGGTCAGCTGGTTGGGTGAGGTAGAACACGAACATCATTTCATCCAGAACACCTTCCATTCCCTCCAAAAGAAACCTTCTGAACCGCATTCACGCATCCAAAACCCATCATTCTCAATTTTAGCTCCAACCATCACAGGTTTGCTTTTAACAAGTAATATCAAAACTGTTAAGGATTGTCATTAAAATTGCCATTTCTGAATTGTCATTTTTATGATTGTCGTTTCAAATCTTTTAGTTTAAAATTGTTAGTAAATAAATTTCTTCATTTTTAAACTTGCCTCATTATTGAAATGAAACACAGAAACGGGTTGCATTTCCAGTTTATCAAATGAAAAGAATCTTACTGAGTCTTCTGTGTAATAAATAAACTTTTGGGTTATTAATTAAGTCTTAAGTTAATATTTCACACCGCAACACACACACACACACACACACACACACACACACACACACACACACACACACACACACACACACACACAAATGATAAATGATAAAATGACCTACACTACAGTGATACAACACTACAGTGTATCATTCATCCATTCACACACACATTCATACACTGGTGGGGATGAGCTATGATGTAGCCACAGCTGCCCTGGGGCGCACTGACATAAGTGTGATACAAGTACCTGTACCTTCTGGTTTAAAGTTTTCCCCATGATATCACATCTGATTATTAAGATAAGGCTTAAAACATTCCTTTTTGATAAATCCTATAGCTGGTGTTGGCCTGGCTCATCCCTTTAGCTATGCTGCTATAAGCTTAAGACTGCTGGAGGACATAACGACTATAGTATCACACAGATTTAGCATCATCATAACACTTTGTACACATAACGTCCACTTACAGGGTGTGCTGACGCTGCACATCTCAATGGTGCACGCCACGTGTCCAGCTGCTCGACCCTCTGGGTCCACAAAGGTCCTCTCCTCTCCAGTGACTAAATCACATGGTACACTCTGTGAGAGTACAAACAAGCCCAAAGAGTCATTTGTACCCCAACAAAAACAGCAGATCACAGATCAGTGAAAAATATATTGAGACAGGATTATAAAATAAAAATGAGAAATTAACAAACTTAACAAATGCAGGGTTCTTGACAAAATCTTAAATCAAGCACTTTCAGTTTGGGTTTCCAAATAGTAATCCCAATTCTTCTCTATGCTAAACAATAATGAAGAAAATGAAGATTACTCACTGCACTATTGCTCCTCTCAAAGATCTCATGTGCCAGCAGTTTCAGGGGCCCACAGTAAACACCAGACTGCGCAGCGAGGTAGCGCTGGATGGCATGATAGGTTTTCCCACTGTTAGTAGGTCCAGCATGAAAGATCACCTTCCTCTGGATGGCTCGAGCCTCTGGGTACCTGATGCAGATAAAAACACTCATGCAGATTACAATGAAGGCTGAGTATGGCAGATACCTTTGATTATTAGCCACAGAGCTAATTATATTGTATGTAAGGAATGAGGTATGATCTTGTTATTTATACCAGTTTGCAGGAACTCTGAGGTCTGAGATCTTTCTCAGGTCATCCATACAATCCAACATGGGGAATATTTGCTTGGCATGACGCAGGAAGTATGGGAAAATGTCATCAGTATGACCTGGAGGAAATAACAGATTACAGGCAATTAAATATGAATCGTTTACAATCAGTAGGTCACAAAATAAATACAAAATCATCACGTGGGAGGTGTACCTGCACCACAGCAGATGTCATTGAGAATAATGTGCAGATCAGCTGGGAGTGACGTCATCTCCAGGACATATTTTCTAAAGCTGATGAAGGTTTGGTGGAACAGACAAGCTAGAAAAAACATCAGACGTCTGAGAGAAACGTGTGGTCTGATGTAAGTAATATCTTTACAGTGTATTATTTTCTTACCATCTAGACCCTGGTCTGCGGCCAGCTTCTGCATCTCCTTCCTTTTGTAAAACCGGTTCAACATTTTAAGCAGTTCACCTTCAGGCAGAGGTTAAAGAACGGAGATGCACGTCAAACACAGCAACGTTGTCAGCAGCAGTTTAATTTTGGCTATTTAACAGCAAATTAGCGTTTTGTCCCAAGAGATGCATAACTTTGATGACCCGACTTACTTTTATCGAGGGGTTGAGTCAGCTCAGCTCCTACACTACCATCATCCAAGGTGTCAGTCTTCAAAGAGACAGGAACAAACAGCGAGGTGTCCGGAGGATTTGATTTTGAGCTATTAGAAGAAACGTTTCTACAGCAAACCACCGAACTAGCTTGATGTTGCCGAAGTAACAAATTACAGCCAGAAGTCACCCGACAGCTCGTCCGAGTGTTTATGTGGCGTTGAAGCCGAGAAAACAAACGCACGAAGCGGTTTACCGACATCTCTGCGGTCGGTTTAAATGAATACACTATCAGCTTTATGGTATTGTATGAAAAAAAGAGTTACTCCCTCGTCCCATAGGTGTAAACTTAAAAATAACACATAAACTCAAACAGAGAACGGTCAACACACTCACTTGCTGCTTGTGATACAACGTGCGGTAAGAAGTCTGCTCGATAATATGCCTGCAAAAAATTCGAAATAAATACATATATTTTTATATATATTTATAAATAATTATTTATGTTAACATTTTACGCCTATATATGAATAAATGAACAATAAATGAGGCTTCTGGTCAAATAATATTGGAAAATGTAGGCAAATATTAAACAGGCATAAATAAAGATGTCTGCAAGTCTGGAGCAAAATCGGCTCGGGGTCCTTCGACTGCCGATGACGTCAAAGTAGCTCGTCAGAAATCTGCTTTACCAACTCGTCCTCAGAGTGCTCTGGTTCATCTAGTTAAAGCTTCTATCGGTTATATAGTTAACCCTAGACTCAAAATATTAGCAGTTGATGGGATAGAAATTTTCAATAAAAAATGTAATAATATTTTCCTGAGAAACAAATTAAACAAAACCTCTTATCCAAACCCAATACTCCGATTCTCGTTACTACAAAATTTTTCAAAAGAAGAAATTAAAGTTTTGAGAACCAACTATCTAAAATTCTCTTTACCCCCAAAGTATAAAGAAGTCCATTTTAAAACCTTGAATGATATTTACCCATCTAACCATTTTATACAAACCAGATTTAAATTCAATGTGGAAAAATGTTACTTAAATGCAAACAAAACGATGAATCGACCAAACATCTTTTCTATGAATGTGATCAAATTTTAATGATGCGGAATTCACTCCACAATTGGCTGAACTCCAATCAAATTTATATAAACAATTTCACAGTTGAAGATGTCTTATTTGGCATTATACTAAAAGATAAAAATAATGAATTTCTAATTAATAATCTCATAATCTTAACAAAATTTTTCATACACAAATGCTGATATCTCAAAAATCCACCTACGTGGAATAATCTAAAAAATGAAATTAAACTGCTATTGAGATCCTTGGGTAAAATGTCCACTCCCAATGCTATAAAGCTTTATGAATTCATTATGGACACTAATCTCTAACTGCTTTTTGAATGGTATACACAATAGACCTTGTTTGCTCTTTAACTTCCCCCTTGTAAAACTTTATTTATATACACATAATATGTTTTTTCATGCTGTCTTATTTGTATCCTTTCATGTTCTATTTTTTTGTTGTTGTTTTTGTTTATTGTCTTCTTACTATACCAAGTTGAATTGTATCTACAAAATGCAAGTTGAGATGAACACGAACTTCGGAGCTACTCTGTAATGTCATTCTGCTAACAATTTTTGAAATGTAGTCGCTTTTGTTCGTTTTGCAAAGGTTCAATAAAAGTTCTTAAAAAAACTCGTCCTCAGTGATTATAAACGATCTTTGATTTTTACTTTAGCAATAAAAAAAAAACCTTCAAAAAAGTATAAATATATAGATAGATATAAAAAGCAAAGTGATGTTTTTCAAAACCAGTTCAGTATAAATCTGCTTTATTTATAATTTGTTTCAGCTATATATTTTTGGGGTTGGTGTGTGTGCAGGATACACACACTTTCACACGCACACGCTCAAACACACAAGGGCATGAGAAGACAAACATGCAGTAAAGAAGAGATACAGAACATGTTTATAGTGTTTCCTCACAACTTCTGACAGCAATTAAAGTAAGCCCCCCAATCCTACCAGGACAGTATTTATGAAGACAGAAATAATCTGTTAGGGGTGGTGGTGGTGGGGTCGGGTATTGTTTTGAAATAAATTACACCGCCTCCAAACAACAAAAACTGAGATCAATCAACATGAAAGGAAAAAAGGAATTGCAAACCATAGACAAAAATAGCCACACTAAATATATTAGGTTAACTTAAAGTAGTGACATAAGTTGGATAACTCTCAAAAACCAGGTGAAGCAGTCTTTGACTCATGTTCAGTTTCAGCACCTCCTCAACACAAAGTGAAGTAAACTGTCCATGAGTCAGAGCTGAAGGCAAACATCACATGGGACTGGTAACAGTGTCTTTAAAGCAGGACCTAGACCACAGGTCTGAGCATCACAGTGGAACATAGATAAGTTTTACAGTATGTGGAAAGTGCATCCTTTCCACTGCATCCAATAGAAGCTATAGGAGCTATTTATTACATTATGAAATAAACAAACCATCGGGCTCAATGAGACAAACAATTAAAGAAGAAACACAAATCAGAAAAAACAGACTGGTGATTCCTGATAGCAAGTGTATGGTAGTAACAATCTTGTCTGTGTGTAAACATAGCTGAACATCAAACTAACTCTTTTCTAAAATGTTTGGGAAATAACCCTTTACAATTGAAAGTTGACAGGTTAGTCATGAACAAACAGAAACATAGTATCAAACACAAGGCTTTGTCCCAAAACTTAAGCTGACATCATACCTTAAATACATTTAGGGGAATTCCTGATCAAACTCAAAACATGTTCTATGTCAAATATTTATCGTTACACAAACATGCTGCATGGAACTTAAGCATGTAGGATTTATTATTAAACCGGTCAAATTAGACAAAAACAAAACAGAAGGTTCTTTGAAGGTCACGTCATCACTTCAGTCATTTTTGAAAAAACAAAACTCTAAACTCAAACCATTTCTGCTTTACCAGTTAAAGCGTGCTCTTTTGCCTCTGATGCAGCTTTACATCAAAATACTGTGGTTTCTCAAATCAAAAGGTGGAAATTTAAGAGATGGGTTTTAAGTTTTCTAGATTTCTTCAAGACTCAGTGGGAAAACATGCAAATTTGTTGCACTTAAGTGCCATTTTGATAAACAATGTAAAAAAAGAAAAAAAAAAGAAAGAAAAAGTCCATTTTGGACCAATGTGACTTCAGTTAGATTGTTCTTCTCAAAACATCAAATACAGCATGAGCTTTCTGTTGAGATGAGTATTTCTTGCACTTAATTCCCAAATTAAAGCTAAAATCAAACTAGAAGAAACAATCTGCAAACCGTTGCAACAATCTTAGAGTAAAGGTCAAATGTGAAGATGTTAGGTGTTCAGCTCGGTGAATGACAGCTCACAGTTAGGATATTGTGAGTAAATATAGCATGTGTGTCAACTCATAGCTTGGCCGCTCGCATCTTCAAGTCGATGAAAAAAAAATCCTCACATCTTGAAGTTTCTCATCAAGTAGCTCATCCAGACTCTAGACGCATCTCTACGTCGGTGAAGGTGGAAGGGACGTGAAACAGAAAGTCCAGGAACAAGGCTATTCAGAGCAAACCGGAAAAACTCCTGATACAGAAAACAGAACCAGTGCAGCCATCTTCTTTGTTTCCTCCTCTTTGCTCCTGCTTGCGTTGCATTCAGCCACATGAGACTTTATGGCTTCACTTATGTGTGCTTAAGTGTGTTTTTAGTCTGAGGAGCCAGAATCCAAAATGCTGTCTCACTGTTTATTACTTGGGCTGGTTTGCACTTTTGCTTTGACATTTAGCATCCAGCAGACTTGTTTTCTACGCTCATGTGCATCTGTATGCGTGCGTGTTGGACCAGAAGGAGAGAATGATGGTGGCAGCTCACATCTGAAGCCATGAAATGATGGGGGTGGGGGATCATGGAAGGGGTTGGGAGGTGGGTGCCTGAGGAGAAGTTATGTGTATTGATGTTTGCAGACACTTCTCAGTCCATGGAGACGGCAAGGAAGCCCTCACACAGCCGGCGTTTCAGCAGTGACGAGCTTTGATGATGTGTCTGTGTATTTTCAGTTCTTAGTGGGGCCATCATGTCACATCTCTGGCTGCTCCGAGTTCACCGGCGGGTTTCTGGGGTCGGGTGACTCGTAGCGCTGATGAAAGTTTCTTTTCCGCAGCTTCTCTGGAGCCTTTCGCCACAAAACAACCTCCTAAAACACACATTCAGAAGACACAAGGTTATTTTATTCATCAGTAGAATGGCAGAAAAAAACAATCTAACTTCAAAAGAACATAAGAAATTGTGTCGTCGAGCAGACCGAATGGACTAAAGACAAATCATTTTGCAGCCACAAGGATATACATACAGAAAATATTCTGTTGCAGGAAGTTATCCAGGAAAACTGATCAAATAATTCAAAGACAAAAAATGAAGTTGGTTTAAGAAAATCCAAAACTATATTACATTAAAGATCAAGTTCACTCATTTTTTACTATGTTTGCAGTGGTCTCTAGTAGAAATAAGTACCTTGTCCAGCACGTTTTAGTGGTTTTTATGCTCCAACGCACTAGATGCAGTGGTTGAATTGCCTCTGCAGCAGCACATCAGGCTCTGCAGAAGCTTGCTAATTACTTACTGATTGTAAACAGGTGTGTTGAAACCAAGTTAAAACTAAAATGTGCTGGATACCGGCCCTCCAGGACCGGAATTGAATACCCCGGGCCTAGTGAGTCATTATCTGAGTAAAAAGCTCCAGTGCACTTGTTTCAGGAAGTGCAAGTGAGCTGGAGGGGAAAGTGACAGAAGGAAGGACTTTGAGTAACATTTCCTCATATTCGGATATCTCTCCTCTGATAGGCTAAAAGCAAGGCGACTCTACCGCTGACTTTGTTCACACTACAACGTTGATGGTTTATCTCCACAAGTAACACAAGCCTGAAGAAGTTCTGCTGTGTGGAGAAGTTGCTAATGCTAACGGTTAACTTCTACACACCCTTCCCCATCATGAGGCAAAATGGGTGAGTCCATGAATGCTGACGGTGTGACATAAATCTATCAGGCTTTTCTGAACCAAGCCTTTTCCTGTCTATTTGCTATTGGAGTCTTATGCAGAAAAAAGGGGTAGAAGACTATTTCAGCCATATGACAAACTCAGAGTATCTGATCTTTTAAGAAGATATATATATATATATATATATATATATATATATGTGTGTGTGTTTCCAAGTGAACTTGGTCTTTAAAAAATGGAAATAATAAAACCAATAGTGAGATATGGTAGGGCTGTCGCGATTGAGGAATTCCCCCTGCGGTGAGTCAGGGCAGCTCAATATTGCGATATGCGATATTATTGCACCCCGTTTTTATTTATGTACTTAGCAAATTTGTTTGTTAATTACTAAACTCATGGCAATATTTCCTTTGAAACATTGTGCTTACACATTTAAAAAATGTTAGAAAAAAATACATGGCCATTTTTAGCACTTTATTGAATGCAGATCAAAGGGCAGTAACGGCATTCTCTGACTGAACTTAAAAACAACATTCAGGAGGTTTAACTTTGAAATGCTAATTTGGCTGCAACATCTAACGGAAATAAAAAAAAAGCCCTACTATCTCCTCGATCAGCGCGGACTTTACCTCTCAGCATGCGCTGTCGCGAGATTTAATCAAGTGCGGTTATCGCGGTGGCACGTCATGCAGCGCGGTGGGTTTCTTAATATCGCGATATATTGTTCTTGCGATTATTGCGACAGCCCTAAGATATGGATAAATATTCATATTTCCAACATTTGGTTCTCAAATACAACCTGCTCAGTACAAAAGTGTGTTTGTTTACCTGTTGTTTGAAGTATCTCCTGTCCTCCTCATCCACTAGCACCAGATTGAGGAAGTAGCGCACAGAGAACTTCTTATTGACATCTCTCATGGTAGGAGTCAGGTCATATCCTATAAGAAACCAGAGGTAGAGATAAACTGTCTGTTCCATTGCTTAATTAAGTCTTTTTTAAAGGCATTAATTCATGCAAAATCCTCTTTAGAGCTGTTGACCATGTTATATTGTTATTTCCTCATGAAAAACACCCTCAAAACGGTTTTTGACTTCTTGCATGCATTTTTCTGTCTCAACTGCTTCTTTCCTTCAACTCTACTAAACTCAGCTAAGCTATTGCAAAATCCTAGATGGGGCATTGTTGCGTCAGTATGCCCATCCCAATAGTTTCGAATCCAGATCCCTCCTCCCCTGGACTGTAAACACTAACGCCCAGTTTATGTTTGTAATCTCCACCGTTGTAAATAAGTGATTTAATTCATATCTAGTTTGCACTTTAAATAATGCCTAGAACCCAAAATTCCCTTTTGTCTGTGAAAAGTACAGGATCTGTCCAGTCTTCCAGAAGAATCTGCACAGAATCTGGATGGATTTTATCTTATGGGGCTCTCAAAAACCAAGCCAGAATGTAACCATGATTCCACAGACTGCTTGTTGATTCCCTGCCAGGACCGGGGTGGGTTTTCAGATGGATTACTTCTTCAAACCATCACCATTGCTACCTGTTACTTGGTAATCATTGAGTGGGACATGACAGCGTGAACTACTCTGGGTCTGCAGCTGTGTACTATTGTGGAATTCACATGGGTGGAGGCGGGTTTTCGAATCCAAGCATATAAGGAATGGCTCACGAAAATAATATATTTAATTAAAAATGACATCAAAATAGTGCCAACAGTAATATTTTATCATATATTGTGCACATTTTTGCTCTGGAAAGTGTAAAATAGCATCATACAGGTCCTTTAATGTTTAAAGAAGAAAGTAAACTCAATCTGTAACAGGTGATGGTAAAGAGTCGATTAGCCACAAGCTAAACAGGAGAAACGTTTACCTGCCAGGAAAAGTCTGATGGGAATCGATTCTCCTTTTACTGGAGCGCCGTCCATGATCTCGTACTTTGCAACCGTCTCCGTCTCTGTTGTTGTACTGGGACCTTTAAGAGAGGTCAACAAATGAATTTAGATAAACAAACATACCGTAAATCCTCTAATATTAGCCTGTATTTAATTAACTACCGGGTATCATATTTTGGCTGGTGTCGGAGTCGGCGGAGGCGAATAATGGCCGGTTTTTTATTGTGGCCGGGTGGAATGTGGTAACATGCAAGTACGGGGGGCGGTTGTGTCATCCATCTCACTTTTGATTTGCCAGTGATAGACCGCGAGGGTAACTAACCGTGCGGAGATGAAGAGGAGGCGAAAGTTTGATATCAAGTTCAAAGAGAACGTGCTGATTATGCTGCAGAACACTCTGGGGAGCAGTAGCAGGGGTTGTATGAACTAGTCACTAGTCGACTTCACCGCTCTATAGTGACTTTTTATGCCTGTCATCAACTAGTCGCTGTCACGTGATAATGACCGGCAAGATGCAGTCCACAGAAAAGACAGCAGCCTGCTGTCAGCAGGCGACAAGCTCCTGCGCGTCGGGAGGCAACGCGCTGTGCCAGAGCGTCGGTACCGACACCCGCCGTAAAACGGACATTTAACCAAATTGTGACCTTTACCCTCTTGCAATTTAACCTTCCCCTCACTCCCATCATAACCGTAACCAGCTTGCGCATGCAAAGCTCTGATTGTTGACGCGCTCCAGACATCTGCGTCCTGAGCACGGCCACAGTAACATTATCAAATCAGGTGTCGCCACCTCAAAAACTAATTTAACACGCAATCGTTCATGTCGGCTCATTTCCTTTTATGTTTTCTGTCTTTTACGCTTTTATTTGTGCCTGATGCTTTTCGCTGCTGTGGATCGGGGCGCATCACCTGTTTTGTCCTCGGTGAAGCGATGTGGCCGGCGAGCAGCGCGCACTCCGCTGTTTCTGCGGTCGGTAGATCTTTTAGAACTGCAGTTCAAAGGTAACCTCATAAGGTGAATATATATTAACCCAGGTAGCAGTTTTTCTTTAGGATTGAGAGGAGATGCAGGACGATAATAAACAGGCAGGACAGAAAAATAGTCAAATAAAAACAAGTTAGTTTTTGTACCTGGTGGTTGCAACAAACAGACACCATTGAAGGTAATCAGAAGTGAGGAACAGAAAATGAAATAATTATTTTAATGTTTAGAGCAGCAGGAACTCTGAGAGGCTGCAGGCGCACCAGTGAGTTTGCGGCCGCTGCGCAGGGGGAGGGGGGAGAGGGCTGAAGCAGAAACTACCGTGGTTAAAAGAAATGTGTTTAACTTTGAAAACGTGGGCTCAATTTTAATTGTCAACTCCAGCGAACCATTAGTTCATTTTGCTCAAATAGAAATTGAGGCCTGCCTCCAATACTGGCCCTCCTTCCAATAAAGGCCTGGAGCTTGATGAGCTTGAGTCAAATACAGGCCCGGGCCTGTATTAGAGGATTTACGGTAATACGGTTTAGCAAAGACGAAAATTGTTTCAGGACCTATTCAGTAATAAAAACCCTGAAAAGGTGATAAAACACAAATCTTGGTACACTAAACCCATTTGTATTGATCTAGGTATTTTTGAGCCAGTTCATACCGATGCCTGTTATCTCCTTCTTGATGAGCTGGAGCTCCATATGTTGGATCTTGATCCTGACCAGCAGGAAGTAAATCTTCCCAACAATCACATCCTTCAGGTGGTATCTAACAGGCAAGTTAAGAAAAAAAAATCCATAATATGATAATGGTGAGTTTTATTTTGATTGGGCTCATTTTGTTTTTTATTTCCAGCTAAATCAGTTTCAAAAACTTGAAGCTTACTTAGATTTATTATATTCAAACTCGATGTGAAGACAGTCTTCTATGCCGACCTCCATCTTGATTGAGTTATTGACGTCTGGGTAGGTGGCTAACTGGTGGACAATCATCTCATATTCCTTCACTAAGTCAGACAGACGACGGACTATTGTCACCCTGAGAAAATATCTGAGAAGAACAAAAATGCGCCGTCATCCAAACTTTCTGATCATTCACCCACAAAAAGGTTACACTACTGATTGATAAAGATGTGACAGAATTTTCCGTGAATAATTTCATTAAATGTTAAAGATAACTGATTCATTTTAAAACCTTGGCATTCTTTACATTCATGCAAATTATCCGCATTACGTCAAAGAAATAGAGTCAACAAGTTTGTAACTAACTCAGCCATTCCCCCATAGCTACTGTCCTCTCAGAGATATTAATAACCCCCAAATGAATGGTTTTCTTTTTAGAATTATTGATCCAAAATAGAAATTGCTCTAAATGAACAAAACAAATTTGACTAATAAAATCTGAAGTTGTTCTTAGATGATAGTGTACCTTAGTCTGACATTTGCTCCAGTGTAGGACTCATAGGGCTTCTCCACCTGCATGAATTCAAAGTCGTAGCTTCTGTTCTGGGCGAGTTCTCCGGGTAAAGCCAGCTCTTTCACCAAGTCCACAAACTCATGAGTGTTGCTCTTATCAGAAAACAGCTCTGAAAAACAGACATTATCCTGTAAGTACAGTAGGATTCAGTACCGATCTGATTTCAGAAAGGCTTTTCATTGGTTAGGAAACAGGCCAATAATCACTTGTCACCCCTTTTTTCTGATTACTTGTCCATCTCTTTGGATTAAAGTATGAACTAAAATCACAGAGGCGAGTTGTGTGTCTTGTGTCACCACAGCTTGTAGTGCGCTACGGTGATAAACAGCTGATCCAATCCATGTTGCAAATATTACTACAGAAGGGTTAGGTTCTGTTGGGACACACGGCACATGACGACCACATGCCCTGTTAAACCTTTAAGCCACATGAGTAAGTCAACATAATGTTACTTTGAAGTAGATTTCCAGCCAGCTACAATGAGCAACAAGCAAATCTTTTGCACGAGTCAGAGAATAAAAATGAATCAAACTCACTCACCGATCTGTCCGACAAACTCAATGCGAATGCCCTGATGCTCCAGTCTCTTTCCTCCCTGTTTTACATTCAGATTCACCTGGAGAGGAAACGTGTTGAGACAAACTTCATCAGGAGTCACGAGGTGTCAAAGTTATTGATAAATAACCCCAGTCAAGTGGTCTTTGTCATACAAGAGATAACGATATAAATGTTTTTTTACATGTAGTTAATTCCTCTGTAGCCAACTCACATTTATTTCCTTAAAATCTCAAGATATTTCTGGCTGCTTTGATTGGGCAACTTAAAAACAAGCAGAATCGGTGGGATTTGAACTTTAACTATGAAATAAGTCGTATAAACACACCAAATCACTGACAATGTCATCATTATGTAACTAAACGTTAATAGCAATTACGTTTATGTTACACAACGATTAAAAATGAGGCAATATTGAACATTCTATAAACTACATGGGGGGGGGGGGGGGGGGGGGCAACAAAAAAATTTTTTGTCATAAACAAAAGGTTTTAATTCCTTCTGAGCTAAAGCATCTCTTGCAAAATCATAAATTACATTTTATTTCCTGTAGGAGTTAAAGAGAGGGCACTTTCAATAGAAGTATATAGCAGAAATATTCAATATGTCTCAGTGTTTACTTTGTGGACCTCTGTAACTTGCTTTGTTTACAATGCAAACTCACAATTACCTTGCCAGACACTGATTCTCCATCGTAGAATAGGTAGTGTTTCTCTACTTTACCATCTTCTGTCTTCAGCTCAGCCGTCTTTCTGTTCTCGGCATCATTCAGCACCACATCAATTTCACATATGGGTCCAAACAAACCTCCCAGGAAACTCTGGATTTACAAACATTAAAAATAAAATTATTTGGCAACAATTTGTATCCAAATCAGCATTGTGTGAACTCCGTAAGGTTTACACACATGCAGTGCAACTACAATTTTATGCAAATCACAAAATATCTATGAATATCTATCTTTCTTTCCGGAACTGCGCTGCTCTGGATGGCTGCATGTTGGAGTAGCTCTGTTGACTATATGTAAGTTATGCCTTTTCTTGGGCATTTTTTCTTCTAGTTTCTCAAGAAAAACTTCTTTTTTTTGGACACTTTACTTTTCTGTTTCTGGTGCTATTAAGCTTGGAGGATTTTTACAGCTATTTTTTTTGGCCATTTTCACTTTTTGAGCATTTGTTATGTTGTGTAACCATGGCAACAAGCCTTGTTTACAATCGGGAGCAGCTGATTAACATTGGAAAGGCTGAAATAAGACTCAACTGAAGCCACAAATCCCAAATGAGCTAAAATGCAAGAGGTGTGGATGTAGAGCGGGAGCAAAACGGAGACAGAAAGAGGAAATTCAAACCATCTCTTCCATCTATCATAATGGGCAATGTGAGATCACTGGCCAACAAGATGGAGAAACTCCAAGCCCTTTCAAGGACTCAGCCAGAGTTTCGGCAGTTTCGGAACCGCTGGAGGAGATTATGCAAAGAAGGATTCTCCAGAGAATCAAGAAAATTATGGACAACCCTGAGCATTCTCTTCACAAGACTGTCCGACAACGGAAGAGTGTCTTCAGTCAGAGGCTTCTTCAGTTTGGCTGCAACACTGACCGCTACTGGAGATCCTTCCTGCCAACAGCCATTGTAATATACAATAACTCTGTGATGACTTGATTATTATCATTATTCTGAGCTACTACAGCAATCAATTTCCCTCTGGGATTGATAAAGTATTTTTGAATTGAATGAAATAAATTATTTATAGTTTTCTACAACATACTTCACAGAAGACAGGTTTTAATGCACAACACAAACGTGTGATGTGGAAATAATGACAAACAACCAAAGCTGCCAAGTTGGCATCTCTGACTAAGTGCACATGACTGATGGATGTGTATTTACGCAAGTCCAAGTGAGCTTGAACCCACTACTGCGTTGTCATACTTAAGGACAATGGCAGCATCTGTTGTTGCAACAACAAACTCAATCATCACCAGATGCACAGTGACACACCAAGTCATGAACACATGCTTCAGCATGCAGAAGTTAAAAAAAAAACTTGAGGAATCAGCTCAGTCAGCTCCACAGAGCCAATCACAGTAGTAAACACAAAAACTCAGCAATACATTCACTCAGAAACAGCCTGTAATATAGGCAGACGTGTCCTTTTATCGCTAGGAAAATAACAAGTATTGATTTATTAGACGGAATTTGCAGATTCAGTGCTCCTCTGTGACGACAGAACTTCACATTCCAGTCAGAGCTAACCAGAGCGTTAGCTAAAACCGATTAGGCTCTCGTTACTGAACGATTACACAATAAATACACAATATGTCACTTCTTAATCAACATTAACGGCTGTTAGCATAGTTGACTACAATTGGTGGCTCTTTAATAAGCCATAACATCGGAGAAAAATGACTTCGTAGTTATGCTAATTAGCCCAACCCTGATAGCTTGTACCTGTCAGATTAAAATGTTAAACATCTGTGGATGTGCTCAAGTGGCCCTGATAGAGTCGGTGATATATTTTAAAAATGAATAAACACCGGATAAGATTTTAAAGCTTAAACTCGTCCCACTCACCATGTCGCCGTCTTGACACTAGAAGCTAACAGCTAGCCTCGTTCCGTTGGTTGAACAGGGGCGTTTGAGTATTAAGGTTACCGTCATATGACACGGGTCACGTGATGTGAGTGTGGGTGGTGCCTAAGCGCTTCAAAACACACAACCCAACGCTTTTATTATGATTATCAGGTCAAGAAATAAAATCTTCATAGGCCTTCTATTTGAATCAACATCTAGGATTTATGTTTATCAGCTTCACACTTTTTGAGCGTGGTCTTAAAACACAGACAGCTCATTATTCAACACCAGACATGGATGTAAAGCCATCAACATATGTGTCTGTGTGTAAAGCAAGGTCTGATCTGTCCCAATTGGCTCGAACTTGTTAAAGAGCAAGTCACCCGCAAATCCACTTGTTTTGTTTATAAACTATATATTCTGTCTGTACATCTAAGTGTTCTCTCTAAAACTCAGTGTTGTGCGCCATCTTCAGGTAAAAACTCTGCACTGCATTTGAATTTTAAATCTGCCATCACTATTGGCTAAGAGATACACTATGACGTTAGCTGGTACATTATGATGTCACAATGTTGTGAGCCTGTGTGTGGCCACTTCTCAATACTCAAGGATGATAGTACATTCTTGTGTACTAGACCACTTGGCAAGGATACCAGAAAGTAGGTTCAACCAAGTACGGGAGGACAAGGACGGCATTTAGAACAGAACCTTACTCCATTGTGTCTTGGCAACAAGCGCTGCTTCTTGCTGCAGTTTAAAAAAATGACCTGACATAAAAATAAAAGTCTAGTTTGTTCCTTAAATAACAAAAAAAAAAGTATTATTCGTATTATATTTGGCCCACTTTGATCAAAACTATGAAAATACTAGCATTTCCCACATTTTCATGAATAAAAAAAGTTTATTTTTCATCAAAACAGACTTATGGTGCTTTTATTTTGAAAGTGGGTTAGCTAGCATTTTGAAAGATCGTGAAGAGTAAATCCTGAACACACACAGCAAAATTTACAGTTTACATGCGATTATTCACAATAACAGACAACTTTGGAATATTTAATTTATGTTTCTAATATAAAACATTACAGTTTAGAGCTGAAACGATTCCTCGAGTACCTCGAATAATTCGAGTACAAAAAATCCTCGAGTCAAATTCTCTGCCTCGAGGATTCGTTTAATTCATATTTAATTAATTCATGGCTTTGCAATCGCCCGGGGTCATGTTTCACCCGGACCGAAATAAGTAACGCACATGCCCACTGGACTGAATGCACACGCGAGTAGCGAATATAACTTAACTTTCTCTTAACAACGTGGACCCCGGTGGAGTGCGAAAAAGACAGAAAATGTCAATGGTGTGGGACCATTTTTCACGTCGTAAGGCGGAAAACGTAGTCCAGTATAAATACTGTAAAATGGATTTAGCCTACCACAACACCACATCCTCCGTGCTGCAGCACCTGTAAATGTCACTTCTGCAAGCGGACTCGGAGCCTCTACAAGATAATGCATTTTAGCCTGTATTTCTATATATTCTGCGGACACTGTGCGACTTTTTCGTTTGTAGCACTTAGTTTCAGCTCACACCGTACATCTGGTAACAACACGTCGGACTTAAAATGTGCTAAAAAATAGCAGTTTTTACACAAATGTCGGACTTTCTATTGTGTTATTGATGTCTGTTGTCCCTCGGGGTTTCTGCAGGAGGACACGGGTATTTATGAGTGGCGGAGGAAAACGAAAGAAAGTAAATACATGTTTTGTGATCAGTATAATTTGACAAAACCACAGCAAACATGCTTTTGGCAATCCTTGTTAGTGTGAGAAAAAAAAGTGTAGAAATTAAAACGGACGTGTGTTAATAGGGAAACAGCCGGCGAGCTGTTTGCGACGTGAGCGGTTCTGGTTCTGTTTGGGCCGCAGCCGCTCGCAGCGTTATCCTCCTAGTTTTTGTCTGGCTTGCAGGCTAGCAGATTCTCGCACGAGGGGAAAATCGGCTCAGGTTGTTTACTTATTTTTTGCACACGCATTTGTTTACTGTGAAGTAAAGTTGAAGTGCTGAAGTTATGCAAACTAATTTTGAATAAAACTTGAAGAATAACTGGCAATTGCTTGCTCATTTTAAGAGGTCTTTCATAATTATAACATGCTATTTGATATCAAATCACTTTTATTGTCACATGTGCAGGTACACTGGTACAGTACATGCGAGTGAAATTCTTGTGTGCGAGCTTCACAGCAACAGAGTTGTGCAAAAATACAGTAATGTAAAAACAAGTAAAATATAAAAATGGCTAATCTAAGTATACAAATGAATAAAGTAAACAATAAGATAAGAGATATAAAATGTACAGAGGTTGGTATGTGCAAAACAGTGGCATTAATGTACAGTATGGAGTGTGTAATGTTGGAACTTGGTGGAGCTCGCGACGAGGCAGCCATACTCGGCGCCATCTTGGCTCATCAATATATGATATAATGGTTTACAAACACAAAAGGGTAATTTATTAGAGTACTCGATTAATCGAAAAAAAGATTCGATAGAGTACTCGATTACAAAAATATTCGATAGCTGCAGCCCTATTACAGTTATTAGCTTTCTCCTATGACGTTTGGAGTTTAATGGTTTGCGACGCAATGCATTTTGGGGAAACTTTGCTGTCCCAAGTCCGCAGAAGGATCCATTGATTCATCCTCCATACAATGGGAGGAGCAAGAACCGGGAACTTTGAGCGAACTTGCCGAAATGCATACTGAGGATTGGAACAGCCCTTGTGTCATCTTGATGACTTTTCACAAGAACGTGAGTACACAAGTTTGGACAAGTATGCATCTTGAGAAACGGCATGTGTGTGTATTTGTTACCAGCTCTGCCCTCTCGGTGTGCCAGGCGACAGCATTTGTTGCATTTTTTCAAAAGGAAGTGGGAGTGAAATAAGACTCTGGTAGGGGGTGACTTACTTTTTAAAGAGCAAGTCACCCCCAAATCAACTATTTTTCTCTGATAAACTATATAAATGCGTGTCTAATCAGGCTGCAGACATGTGTAGTCAATGGTTTAGCACTTTAGTGCATTTTAGTTAAAGTTTAAATTTTCTGTCTAAAACTGTCAGTGTTGTGCTGTTGTCAACTCTGCACTGCATTTGAATTTAAATCAGCCATCGCTATTGGCTAAGAGGTACCCTAGAACGTTAGCTGATACCATATGATGTCACAATGTTGTTGTGAGCCTGTGTGTGTGTGTATTTGTTCGCGGCTCCGCCCTCTCGGTCTGCTAGGCAACAGCATTCGTTGCATTTTTCAAACAGGAAGTGGGAGTGGAGTAGTACTCTGGTAGGGGGTGACTTGCATCTTGGTCTGAACATGTGTAAATGTAAATTTATTCTGATTTATAATTAAGACAGATGTCAGATGATAGAAGTCAGAATAAAGATCAGACTTTAGTTCAAAGATTAACAACAACAAAATCAGCGACAATAAAAGTCTTATGGCACATTTCTTCTTCTGTTTTTATTAAATCTCTTATAGATAAAAACATTTCAAATGCACATTAAGCAATATGGAATAAAATGAAATAATATAAAGTTTTGGGTTCAAATGCACATATAATCATTGTTCATATTTCCACATTAGCTATGACATAGTGAACCTGTTTCTTCAGCCGCGTATATTTTCCTCCTGGGTGACTGTGATGCTTCTCAGAATCAAGAAATGTTTTTGTATAAATCATGAAAGAAATGTTTCAACGGTCAAAAACCAGCACTGCATAGACAAAGGCATAATGTTATTGCACATTATTATGATTTTAAAGCATGTTTGTATTTATATTACAATGCACATTAGAAAGTTATTTTTTTACACAAAATACTGACCAAAGGAAGTTCATATTAAATTTCGACTCTTTGTTGATTTTTGCATCTTTTTAGCAATATTTGGAACTCTTCTTTTGCACCTGAAAATGTTCTTTAAAAAAAAACAATGAATAATTAATCATATATTTCATTTCTGCATAAACAAGTTTTTTTTCCAGCAGGCGGTGACATAATAGTTTTACTTTCTAGGCAGGGCGTTGAAACAGATGCTAGCCGTGTGTGGGTGTGTGTCTACAGATTCAGCAGGTGGTCTTCTTTCAGGTCATGCTCTGAAGGTTTGGCCTCATCAGCAAAGAAGTTGTTCAAATTTTCATCTGGAAATAAAAAATATTGCAAATGCCTCTCTTAAGTAAAATGTGGCAAATTAAGAGCAACTCATAGTAAAACATTAATTTCCTGTCAAACTTTTACCACAAACCCACCTGGAAAGCTGCCTGTCCAAGATTCACCAGAACCGTTGTCAACTTCAGCTGCCAGGGTCCGATCTGCAAAGTATAGGCCTTGTGACGCAGAACCTTCATAATAACCAGAACCTTCATCGCCCAAAAACATGTCAGGTGACTCCTTGTTATCACTCCCAAACAGTGTTTCCTCCTTGTTCTCTTCCTCTTCCCTCAGAGGACTCTCATCCTCAACAGGTGTTGCATCTCTGGAAACAGAATGGATATCAGAGATTTAAAATGTCAAAAAAGTTTGACCTTGGAGTTAATTTAACCTGCTGCAATTTGCAAAATCTAACTTAATCTTTCTGAGCTGAGAGACAATAGGGAGAAACCGACCAGGGGAGGTACTAGAGACTAACTGCATGTGTGTGTGTGTGTGTGTGTGTGTGTGTGTGTGTGTGTGTGTGTGTGTGTGTGTGTGTGTGTGTGTGTGTGTGTGTGTGTGTGTGTGTGTGTGTGTGTGTGTGTGTGCGTGTGTGCGCGGGGGTGGGGGTGGAACGACGTTTGTTTCAATTTTTCAATATTTCAAATTTTTGTGTGTAGTTGCAACACTTTAGTATCAAAAATTACATTCCAGATAAATGCACGCTTTGGTTCCACATTTAGCATGAGGCTAATTTATCACCAAACAATATCATTACTGAAGGCTAGTTTATACTTTTCTGTCTGCGTTGGTATGGAAGCGCATAACATCATTGTCCGTCGTTGCAAGGGCTCTCCAACAGGCTCGCAAGGACGGACCGCTGTTGTCAAAGTGGCACTGACCCACCCTATGCATCCCCTAGGACCACTCCTGAAAAAAACCTTTCATTTTCTACATGTCATTCACAAACCGTTAAATTAAAAGTAATGTCAGTGGAACACAGATGCAGTCCAGCTGCAATGAGTGTGATGATTGTGAAAGAGTGTTTCTGCTGGCTGATTTACTGCGCTGTTGACGGTTCACAAGCCCTGCTGGCTGCGTGCTGCAGACACACCATGCAAGTGCATGTCGCCACGATTGCACCACTTAGGCTGTGTGGGAGACAAAGATTGTCCACGTTTGGCATCAGGCTAACCCTCTCCCTTGTTCAGTGAACGCCTCATCATATTGATTGAAAAAGTTTTGTGACCTTACATAGTTTCAACTGGAGAGGAAACTTGTTATAAGGGAAAACACGTGCGTGATCATACTCTTTAAACTGCTTGCAGGATGAAACATGAGAACGGTACTTTCACAGTCTAGATGTGCTCCTGAAGAGAAAATAAATCTGAACGCTCACAGAGCTGGGGTTTAGTTCTTGGACTCTTTTATTGTTTAGAGAAGGATTGTAAAAAATGGTGAAAACATAGAGTCAGGTAATTCTTTAGGGTTTCGACAAAAGGTGGGATTTAGCTCTCATTAATAAGGCTCTCACTAGAAGCTTTATACTCCTCATGTGTCAGTTTTCATTGATAAAGCTTCTTAGGCGAGGAGCAAATTTTTTTTGCTCAACTTACTAGAGTTTGACTACTTTGGCTTCAACTGGATTGTCATTTTTATCATGAGTTCCTAAAGCAAAATGACCAAATGTTCCTAATATCATTTTTTTACAGTACCAGTTATAAATGATATTTGCCTATAAAAATTGTTTCTGTCACGATGCAGATTATTTATTTTGAATACTACACAATTTATTCATCTGAATTTAGACCTACCATACCAAATTTATTTATATAGCACTGCTGACTGAAGTGCTGAACAAAGATACAAAATACAAATAAAAAAAAATAGTGTAAACTCATTAATGACTTTTTATCCAAATAAAACATATTTGTTTTCCAGTTTAGTGATTTCTCAAACTTTACATCCAAATGTAGATGAATCATCAGAATCAAAGTTATTTGTGCAACTTAAAGAGACGACGTGTAGTTTTTACCGTTAATCTCTAGAAATATTCATCGAAATGTTGTTTAAAATGAATTAAATGAAAGACATTGGTAGCATCGTAACATATAACCATAAAAATTGGGGCTAAAATACATGGTCTCTGTGGGGCGCCATATTAGGCAAGGCAAGGCAGCTTTATTTGTATAGCACATTTCAAACACAAAGGCAATTCAAAGTGCTGAAGCAAGAACAGCAAATACAGTAAATCAAACAAGGAAATGTAGACGTTAATTTCAGATTTAACAAACAGATAAAAGACATAGTCAAAAGGTTGGCAGTTACAGGGCAGAAAGTGCAGCATAGCAAACATTTATTCAAAGGCTGATGAATACATGAAGGTTTTTAATTTTGATTTTAAAGTTTCTACAGTCGGGGCACATTTGAGGTCATGAGGGAGCTGATTCCATCTGTGTGCAGCATAAAAGCAGCATGGCTGAAATGTTTCCTTCTACGGCAGCCCGTGAGGACAAAACACATTCACTGATTTATAACAAATGGTTACAAAACTTTCTCCCTTTATGAACGTTGATGTTTTACACATTTACGTCTTCAGTTGTTGCCAGTGATGAAAGGGAGTCTGATGTGCTTGTTATTTTGCTGGAGTTTGTACTCCCAGGGATTTTTACCCTAGTGGCCATCCATTGGTAAGGTCTTACTCAAAACACAAAAACAAAGGCTTGCTTGCAATGATTTAGGTATATACTGTCCCCTATTGCCAGGAAAAACACACACTGTCCGTTTAAATAAAACAAAATCCCAAATTATTTAATTCTAGGGGACAAATAGTCTTCTCTGTCTTCTCTATTATTACTGAATTCTCATGAGACTTTTTATTTAAATAAAATAATGAACATTTAAAAAAAAGTCTTGCATTGTCTGCATGGGAATCATAACTGAATCAAAATAAAGTAACTTTCTATAAGCAGCAATTTCCTAATGTTGTGATTCTCGCACACATAGCAATAAAACCTTCTGACTCTTGATTGTGATCAGTTTGATTTTGAACGCTGATTTGTTTCTGGATGAATAAATAAGTAATTAGGTTTAAAAAATATATATTTTTGCAGCTCAACGTCTCAAACTTTGGTATCTGACATACGCAGATATAAAACAATAGACCAGAAGCTGCAGTCCGCGAGGCGTCGCCACCCACTTCCTCCCAGCACTTCCCTTCACTTCCTACTTGAAGCATGCTGAGACACAAGATACTGTCATAACAAGCTCCAAATATTAAGCCATAAACCCCCCCACAAATTAATCAAAACAATAAAATTCAAACTTTTAAAGAATAGATTTGTCAAAAACAATCTTTTATTAAAAACTCAAATTTCCATTTCACTTTTTTGTTTATCTAAAAACTGCAATAAAAGTTTCTGATTAAACGTTGAAGTAAATTCAAGGATTTCATATAATTATGAAATACTACAGCGAATAAAATCACCGGTGATGGACTTTAACGGAGCAAAATGTAGTTTGTGGTTTTCATTTTCAAGAACAACATTTTTAAAATAACAGTCAAAGACTGAGAGAGAAAAACAGTTACGAGGAACTCAAAAAGAGGGAACCGAGAGCCGAGATTGCGCTAAAACTTTTTATACAGCTTGAAGGAAATGAACAAATTACAGCATCAACTTTAAAACGGAATTTTTCAGCAACTCCGAGTGTCTCTGTTCATTTTCTCATCATCAACAGCAAGACTGATTCATTGAGTCAAACCAAACACTGTTCAGGACAGTTTGACTTGACTGATGAATTAGTTTTACAATTTTTTCAACAAACTTAAATTTCCATGTGTTAGATTTATCTCCCTGATGTTTGATCAAACTGCAGTCTGAGAAGTTTGGACTTTGTTACGTTTGCTGACCTATTCTACAGAAATGTTTTGCTGAACGATAAAGTTTTGGCTAAATCTTCTTCCAACAAGAATATAACTTGATACATCATCTGAGTGTCTAAACTAAAACTTAAACAAAATCAAAGTTTTGGAGAATTAGAACATAACCATTGGTATTAAATGCAATAACAATCATCTAAAACATCTAAGAAATAATGAAAGTAGAACTTTATACAGCTTAAATGCAACGAAACAACAAGCTGAAGCTGTTTCACCCTATTGAGTGTTTGACTTTATGACGCACCAACAACCAAATAAGGACAGTTTGTTCTTTCTTTATCTGCAAATGTATTTCAGTTTAGTGATGCACTTCCTTCATAGCAACCACACATCCATGTCGGTGTCAAAAATTAAAATGCATCAGAGTTCTTTTTTTTATAGTTTTGCTTTTCACAGAAAAGGCAGTTCTTATTTCTTACAGGGATAAATAAATACAAAAACGTCACAAAAAAGATTTGACTTAAAGGTGTGGTACATTTGTTTATTCAATGCATTTGCAGTTATCTCTATTAGGATTGAATGCCTTAAGTCCTATTCTCGGGGCAAAAAAAGCTCCAGTGTGCCTGTTTCAGGAACTAGAAGTCGGCCTGTGGGGAAAGTAGCTTCAAACGGCAGGATTTGGAGTCTTATTTCCTGATATTTGGACATCTTGTATCGGACTGGATAACAACAACTCCACTCTACCACTCAGTTTGCGCTGCAACGTTGATGTTTTATACAAACAACACAAGCCTGAAGGAGTTCTGCTGCATGGTGGAGTCGCTAATGCTAACAATTAGCTTCTGGTAGTTGAAACGTTGTTCGTTGTTTCCTGGTCGCTAACCCAACAACAGCCCTCCCCGTCATGAGTCAAGATGGGTTACTCCGTGATTGTTAAGTGACAGTGTGATGAAGATCTGTCAGACTTTTCAAAACCTAGAGTTTCACCGTCTATATTCTAACAGAAGCTAATGCAGGAGGTAGGCGTGGAAGACTTTCTTTAATGTTCAGCCTGCATGAAAAACTCACAGTGAGAGATTCTAATCAGAAATAATCATTAAAAATGTTTTTTAGTAAACCACTACTTTAAATTGTTTGGGAAAAGAAAACGACAATATTAATCTTATACAAATAGTAAAATATATAATTTTTGCTTTAGGTGTGAAAAAGAAGCTGAAACAATTGTATTTATTTTAAATCCTGTGCAGCTCTTTCTGTCTCACTTCATCCCTCCACGTTGTCCTCTAATTGCCTTTCTTGGCCATCTAACTCACACTTAAATTCACTGCCCAACACACACACACACACACACACACACACACACACACACACACACACACACGCACGCACGCACACACACACACACACACACACACACACACACACACACACACACACACACACACACACTCCAAGTAAAGATTGTGTTAAGCAAAGAAAATGATCCAATGCGGCAGCATCTCTATATTTCAAACCTGTTTTTGTCTGACAGCGTAATATGATGATTTTTCTTGTGCCAGACTTGTTTTAACTTTGTTATACAAAGACTCTCTCTCTGATTCTCCTGAGTGACACTTGGTAAAGATAAATTTGCACGTCTAAAACCTGCAGTCTCACAGCACTAAGATACTTACAGAGTTCTGCCAACAGAAGCAGGAAGTTTTTTTGGAAGGTCTGGACTCCATGGAATGTCTGAGCTCTGATAGGTCACACACTTGGCCTGGCCGCCCTCAGGACTACATCTCACAAACTGATACTTAGCCGTCGTTGGTGCTCCTAAAGAAAGAAGCAAATCACTGGTGTTGATTTCATATAAGAGTTCAGATCAGACAAAGAGTTTTGGGGCAAAACGATCAGGATCAGTTCTGTTTGACTCGCCGACATTTTCCTGCGACACGCTGAGGTAATGTTTGGAGTTGTGAGCCTCCTGGTTGTTTACCCTCTTCAGTGATGGTTTAGAAACAGGAAGTTTATCTCCACCACAGCTCTGTCTCAACACTAACCTGAAAAATATGGAGCTCGTCTGACTCTAAAAGCACTCAGTAGTTTTCCACTGACAACTATTAAATATTTTATCTCCACAGTAGCAAATGTTTTATTTTCCATCAAATTTGTTTTCTAAAAGTCCCATTCAGGTTGTTTAATGATTTCTGTTGTGAATTAGTTTGAAGATTTATGGAAATTGTTTTTATTTGATGTGAGCATAAAAGAGTCTGCTTGCTAGCTCTAAATGCAATATGTCTTAATTCCAGTAAATAATTTACATAATTAAACACTAATGATCAAAGCTGTTAATAAGGGGTGGGAATTAATTAAAAAATTAAACTAAGTAATCAGACGCTTTGTAATTAATTAATCTTGATTAATTAATTCAGATAAGTACAGATGAAACACCCACCCTTTAATGAGTATATTTCTTAACCAAAGGGTCTGTTTGATTACTTTGGTCTCATTATAAAAGTAACTATTATGGGATTTGTTGAGATGTGTATAACTTTTTCCAACTCATAAACTTGAAAGATTGAGTTAATAAAGAAGATGCATTACTTGTGACATCCTGCTTTAGTCACAATATGGGAAAACTGATCTGCAAATTTCAATTGATCAGTCCTCTAAATGCAACTCGTGACTAAGTGCTGTGGTTGTCTGCTAAAATGATAAAACTTCAGAAGAGAAAACTAAAGTGTTCAAATACTAATGAGTTCTGGGAAGGATTCAGAAATCTGATCACATAAATGTGTTGTGCAACAATAACCCACATTTCTGATGTTTTTTTAAGATCTTAGAGGATATTTAATCAGATTAATGATGAATAATAAGAGTTAATTTTGCCACAAAATGTTAGTATTTGTTGCAGTTCTAAGTGTCTTGTTGTTATTATTCGTTTGCTAATAAATAAATAATATTACCATGGAGCCTCAATATAAAGCACTATTGACAAATTTAACACGAAATGTTTGGATTATTTGAAATTTACTGGACTAAAAACTAATAATGAGTGTCAGGCTGCAGAAGGAGGCCTTAAGGAATGGGGTCTTGAAGGAGTACGCAGCAACTCATATGGATGGGAAGCTGCTGGCTTTGGGACATGTTGGGAGGAACTGCTCAATTACATCTCTGCAACATCAGAGGCCGTGGCTGTGGAGTGGCGGGGTAAGGCATGGTCCCCATTTTTAAGAGGTGTCCAGCAGAGTGTGTGTTTTAACTAGACTACCCAGTCTCCTGGGAGCCTCCTCTGTGTTGAGAGGAGCCTGCTATAAGGTGCCTCCTGTTCATCTCTCTGAGGAGGTGTCTGGGTATGTCCTGCTGGAAGAAGGCCTCCAGGTTAATCCAGGGGACTATTTTTCTTAACCCACACAGCATTTCTTACAGGTTTTTTGGTTGTTTCTAAAATGTTTATATTCAGCATTTAGAATGATAAAGATCTGAGACTATTTTAATCTTTATTGTTATTCTTTATTTTTTATACTTCTATTTTGCTGTTGCATGTTGCTGCTGTAACACCATGCACAGGTGCAATAAAAGGATTTTTTATTATATTATTCAATTGTGTTTCTCTAGACTAGCCTGTTTCCTGCCGCAATATATTACTACAATAAGAGTTTGTTTTTGATCTGTCCAGGAGTGTGAATCTGGGGGAAAAAGCATGAAAAGTTGAGTAACAGCACATCGGATTTCCCCTCCCTGTTTCCCGTCCTCCTCTGAAGAAAAGAAAACCCTTCTACCTGTAAATAGATTTCCACTCTGATGAAAACCTGACTCGGAATCCGAAACGCCTTTGCTCTTTTTCCGTTCTAATAAAAAGTAGCGAGCAGCAGCATATTTGCACCATAGCATCATGTTGTTGTGAGGAGCTGGGCTCAGAGGGGGAGGATGTGCGAACCATCGACATGTGCGAACCAGTAAATTCATCTGTTTCCAGGAAAATGAAACAGTTTCTTTTTTATTTACAGTCAAATTTAAACTCACACCCGTGCTGGTTTGTTCTTTAAAGAATGTTACACTGTAAAAACAGCATTTGCTGTCAGACTTCTAACCAAAAAAAAAAAAAAGAGTCGCTGATCGTTGAACTTACCTTTCCCGTTATGTAAGGAGATGCAGGTGACAAAGAGAAGCAGAAACACTTTCATCCTCCTCTGATTTCTTCCTTTTTGTTGTTGCTTTTAGAAAACAAAGTGACACAAAGGCGATCGGTCGTCCCAGATGAAGGTTCTTGTGCAATGAGAGGAAGCTTTATCTGCCTCGGAACGTCAAATTCCCCCGAAAAGAGCTCAGCCCTCCGAGCGCGTCACGGTTTCCTGAAGTCGTCTTGTTGTGAGAGCGTTTGAACATCCTCAGTGGAAACTTCAGCCTTACAGCAGATCTGATGCAGATCGGATTTGCGCAACTGCTGGGATTCAGGAAATAGCTGCTGAAAGATAAAGTTTCAGCTTGTTTTTAAGTTTTACATCAAGATTAAAGAATCGAGAGTTTGTCTTTATTGACCCCAGGATGTTTTTTCCCGAAGTTTTTCGTTATTTTTTCAAATCGAGATAAAATAAATAAACCAACACGGGTAACTGTCATTGTTACTGTTAAAAATAGTTAAAACTAAGTTTTTTCAAGCTCTACATTAAAAAAGAGGTGAATGATTCGTCTTCATCATCATCATCATCATCATCTTCATCATCATTATCATCATCAGCAGCAGCAAAGTTCAAAACTGAAAACTAAAAGATTTTCTTCTAAAACGTCATCACTGCTCTCTCTCTCTCTCTCTCTCTCTCTCTCTCTCTCTCTCTCTCTCTCTCTCTCTCTCTCTCTCTCTCTCTCTCTCTCTCTTCTTTCTCTCTCTCTCTCTCTCTCTCTCTCTCTCTCTCTCTCTCTCTCTCTCTCTCTCTCTCTCTCGCTCTGTGTGTGTGTGTGTGTGTTGGCTTTGATGCGGTTTCTTTACATGTTTTCCATCTTTATCCTGTAATATTTCCCCACGTGTCCTGCAGATGTTTCACAGACATCATCAAATACATTTTCATTAATTTTCTGCTCTTTTAGTATCAACACAGGCTCCCATTAGCATAACATAGCTGCATATTTGTTAATGATAATTAAGAAAAGTCTTTTACTTGAAAAAGTCGTTGTTTTCCATGAGTGATTCTGTGTAATTTACATTAACAAGACTAAATGTTTATAAGTGTTTGAACTTTGGAATTTTATAGGTGCACAAACCATAGATATTTGAAAGCTTGGTTTTAGAGCCGACTGAGGTCAAATGTAATGCTTGCAACATGTTTAAAAATATGTAGATATTTGATATTATATTTCTTTGATTACAGCAGTTTGTGATCTTTATTTTTTATATCTCAAGTTGATTATTTTTAAAAGTTAGATGCAGAGCCTCTGCAAACTTCAGGGCTACTATAACAATGGAGGAAATGCAGACATGTATACAGTAAATTATTTTAAAGGCACATAATATGAAAAGTGTTAATACTGGATGCTTGTTGTGACACAAACAATTTATGCCAAACATCAACATAAATTGAACATGAATCATAATCATGCCGAACAAACACCTTTTGGAAGGTAACTATAGTGACGGTTTGATTTGTTGTGGTGAAGGAATTTTGAGATCAGAAATGAATTAAAAAAATATTAATTCTCAAGCGTTTTTTGTTAAAGGCGATATAGTCTTTAATGCACCTTTCAGAGTTTTCAGCATTAAAGACATTCTCTGCTGTTTCCTGGACGCTAAACCAACAACAGCCTTCCTCGACACACGTCATGAATGTTAAGTGACAGTGTGACGTAGCTCTCCCATATTCAAATCCTAGAGTTTCATCGTCTAAATTCTATCAGAAGATAATGCAGGAGATAGGTCTAAATACTAACCCTGTGCCCCGCTCCCGCAGGGATGGGTCAAGTGGAGATGTAATATTTGATGATGACCAGGAGACTGTAGGAGACTGTTTTCATGTTCAGCCTGCACGAAAAACTCAGAGTGAGTAAAATAAATGCTCAACGATATATTTTCATATCATTAATGGTATTTTCATAAATTATTTCTGAGCTTATGCGCATTAAGGGCTCAAATGTTTGTTATGGTACAAAATGTAAAAAATTCAAATGGCTTGACTTTTATCATTTGAGAAGGTAGGTGTCTTGAGACAGTTATTCATGGTTTTACTTAAAACCATGATGGTCTTTAGCTGGTCGGGAACCCTGCAACGTTAAATTTGACTTTGTGAAGCAGTTTGTGAAATTTGTTTCCGGTGAAATGCACCAAACAGAAAAACTTTACTAAAGTTCAGAAGTGACAACATCTCAGAGGGAAAGTAGAAAAGCGTCGTTTTAGCTCCACATAGATGCTGAAGGAAGTGGTGAGATTAGGTACTATAATTGTTTTTCAGGAAATCACACTCCAGCCTGCCCAAGCTCACCGCTGAAACAACCACACAACACACACACACACACACACACACACACACACACATACACACAGACACACACACACACACACACACACACACACACACACACACACACACACACACACACACACACACACACACATCTGTCTGTTCCCGCATGGATGCAAGGTGTTTTTTATAAATTGACTGCGTCGGAGTCATATTTTTCACTCAGCTGTGTCCACGTCCCTGTCACATTACGTGGAATCAAGTTTATGACAGTACGGAGCGCTATTTTCACACACTCAGAAAAGCACCAATTTAACAAACTTGCAAACAAAGGCGAGGCATTTCACACATTTGCACAAGCCTTTTATTTTAAGGCTGCACGTTGATCACTGTGAATACAAAGTTAACCGATAATCCCAGGAAACTAATGTTGTCATTCAGCTCCCTCAGTTCTTCATAAAACTATTGAAGGTGACTTTTGCTCCATTTTGCAGTTTTCTGATGCATCATCTCATCTGCCTTGAGTCTGAATCACTTTTCAACGATCACTTCCACAAGACAAGGCAAACCGCTGATAATGACACCGAATGTTCTAAATCTTTTACATTTCTGCAGCCTAGAAGGCTTAATTATGGACAATTTTTCTATACATAAATATTTAATGAAGGAAAATAATAATGGATTGGATTGCACTTTCCTTTATTCACACACTGCCAGTGATGGTAAGCTATGTAGCCACAACTGCCCTGGGGTGGTCTGACAGAGGCAAGGCTGCCATTTCATGCCATCAGCCCCTCTGACCACCACTAACAAAGGCAAGTTGTGTGAAATGTCTTGCTCAAAGACACAACGGCGGAATACCTCCGGTGGGAGCTGGAATCAAACCCACGGCCCTCTGATCATGAGGCGACCCGCTCCACCTCCTGAGCTACTTCTGCCCCTTTCTGAGTATAAATGGAGCTCTTTACATCAATATTTTGTACCTACAACATTAAAAAATATCATTTTCCTACTCACATCATGCTCAGCTGTTTAGTTTTCAGCTGTTTAGCTTTGATTTAGAAAATAAAGTTGAAGTCCACAAAAAAGGTAAATGTTTCTTTATGTCCAGCTACTTTACATAGTGAATATTGTTTTGATTTGTATTCTTTTGTGAGATTGTTTGTTTACATGATGATTTATCAGACTTTCCTAAAATGACCACGTTGTGATCCACTAAACCTACAGGGAAACATGAACTTGTCGCCCGCCCTTTGCACGAGCTACTGAGGGATTTTACGGCCTTCGTGTAAACTGCCATGAATACTTTAACCCAGATATGTGAACATCAATCATGAAACCCATTGTGTCACCAGATTGCTGTGACACCCACTCAGTGTCTTCCACCTCAGCAGCTTCACCACAAACCACTAATGTCTCCTGAGATGAAGCAGCACAGAGCTGGTTAAATTTGCCTGACACCACAATTAGCAGGAAATCAGTCATGAGCCAGCACTCACATCTGACCTCTTTCACAAACGCTGAAGTGTGCATCAGAAACCCTGAATGAGATACATTTATTTTTCTGACGCCATGCAGTTTCAGCTTTGCACCAAAATGACACAATTTTTTTCCCCCTTTCGGAGTTCTTCAAATGATCATTTCATTTAAACGCTTTCCAAACCATCCAGCTCCGATGTGAAAAATAATTATCGGCCTTCTTAAAGAGCAAGTCACCCCCTTACCAGAGGCTTACTCCACACACTTCCTGCTTAAAAAAGGGGCTAAAGGGAGGCATCGCCTGGTGGACCGAGAGGATACCGTAGGGCGCAGTGGGAGAATGAGGATTGGGCTGCAGACTGCATGACAAATAGAGTACCATAACCTCACTAGCTCTTTTACCTCACAGCAGTCATTTGAGCTGGAGGAATTCTCTCCTCCTCCTTCACCAGAGGAGAGAGTAAAGGGTCTGGATCCCTGGGCTCTGTCAGGTCCCGGGCCACTATGTTCTGAGCTCGTCCAGCTCTGGGTGGGCGGCTTTCCATTGCCATCTCCCAGGGCTCTGGTGGCTGCTGGTTGTAGCCCCCGGGGTAATCCTCTGCTCCTCTGGCTTCTCCCGTGGCTGTCTTCCTGGGGTTCCTGCCCTTCGGGAAGACCCTTGGATCTCTAGGACTTGGAACTCCTCCATCTTCCACCGGTCTTTGGGGGCAGGTCTGTGGCCCCTAACACTCACTATCGGACACTCCTATAGAAAAAACGTACTAATACAAATGCGTGAACACACACAGGTGCTCACATGGTGCTCTCACAAAGATGGACTTGGGCGTTTTCAACACATCACCTGTGTGGTGGCTGTGGTTGGCACTAAATGCACTATGAATTATTACTGTGTGTTTCTCAGCAAAATAGTTAGTTTTATATATCTTCATGTTGTTGACGCAGTGATATTTTGGTCTTGTATTTTTGTGTTTTTGTGTTTTTTTTTCTTTCTGCAGGAAGCAGACTCTCGTTCATTATTTTTGCTTATTCTTGTGAATCCCCCTCCCCACCTCTTCCTTCTCTCTTCCCCTTTCTCACTCACTTCTGTCTCCGTGTCCGTGGGGATAAAATATTTCTAATAGAGTTTTGTGGCATTATAGCAGAAGCTATAACGTTCCACTTGTGAGAGTAAAACCGCAAGCCTTGTCTTTGGCATTCAGACATCAAATGTGATTGCTTCAAAGCCAGACAGGACACGGAAAAAAAAGAAAAAAGGAAAGAGGAAAAGGAGGAAGATCCTTTGGAGGTGGCAAGCAGCAGACATCTTATGTCACACGTACTAGCTGACATCATACATCATCACTTTGTTGATTCAATTAAAATGGCGGATGAGAACGAATCTTGGTGGGGCTATGTGCAAAAAGATTTCCCCTTTTCATTCTAATTATTAAGACGAACAGTTGGGAAATAACCAAAAGGATCATTCATTTCCCTTCCCCCAAATATTTGTAATCATTTGGGCACTTGAGCCATTTCTCCACCGTCTTCTCAAAATTCCTTAGCAGCAATGGATTGTGGGTAATACACATATACATTCTCAGTGGCCTTGCGGTATGAGTGTCTGCCCTGAGTTATACCAAAGACTGGGACCCAAGGCCTCCCTGCTTGACACTCAGCTTTAAGGAGTAGGATTGGGGGATTTAAACCACAAAATAGTTTCTGAGCACAGCCACTGCTGCAGCTCACCGATTCCCACGGGGATGGGTCAAACGCAGAGATGAATTTCACCAGTGTTTGATGACTAGGGAGTGGGAATAGGGAATCCCCCATAAGTTCACACCAACGTGTGCTTCGGTGAAGTGTGGATCAAGGGTGCAAAAAGGGTGGGGCCAAGTTCGGAACAGTGTACGCACTCGCTGGAACCTTACAAGACTTGGCTGCAGTCCAGTGCGGTGCAGCCACATCGGGCATGCTGTAATAACGTAAAAAAACGTATAAAATACTGGCTTAGCCAATAGCAATGGCTGATTCAAATGTAGAGCAGACTTTTAATCTGAAGGAAGTGCTAAACTGATGTTTTGGACAGAGTATTTTTATAAGATGCACTGAAATGCCAAAATAATGACTACACGTGTCCACAGCACTAATAGACACTCATGTATACGGTTAATGAGAAAAACAGTAAATTTGGGGGTGACTTGGTGTTCAAATCCTTAACTATAGTTCAAGTTCAGTGGTTAAACTCTGGCCTGATTAAGGTGCAATTACATTAATAGAGCCTGTCTGATAGAATTAAACAGGATCTCAAAAAAGAAACAAAGCTAAGAAAATTCAAGAACTCTCAACATTTAATATTTATTAGTTTTAAGGAAACTTTCTGTAAAAAAATGGGGTTTTGATTGGTTAATTCATTTTTTAAGAAGGTAGATGATTATTTTTTAAATTGGGCAAAGTTAGATTTTTTTTTCCTTTAATGTGTTTAATAATTACAGACTTGATTAAAGTAATACAAATGCACATAAGTTATTTAATTTTGAAAAATATATTTAATAATTAGGGGCTGCGCAGTGGTTAGAGCTGTTGCCTTGCAGCGAGAAGGTCCTAGTTCGATTTCCGGCCTGGGATCTTTCTGCATGGAGTTTGCATGTTCTCCCTGTGCATAGGCTTCCTCCCAGTCCAAAAACATGACTGTTAGGTTGATTGGTCTGTCTAAATTGTCCTTAGGTGAGAGTGTGTGTGTGTGTGCATGATAGTTTGTCCTGTGTGTCTCTGTGTTGCCTTGCGATGGACTGGCTCTCTGTCCAGGGTGTACCCCACCTACTTGCCCGTTGACTGCTGGAGATAGGCACCATAGATTTATCTGAAATGCTGATTTAAAGTCAAATTAATTTTAAATGTTAAGAAAACATGTAAATAAATGTCATCACCAATCACACCCAGTTTATAATGAATAACATGGTTTTTAAAGAGTTTAACTTTTATTTGCAAATCTTACTCTCATCTGCAAAGAAACAAGAGATCCTTCAAACCTTAAACACAAGACTGTGGTCCCATTTCATGACTTTGATAAGAAACACACTAGTACTGCAGAATACTAGATTACTGATTTATTCTGCTGACTTGCAGAAGAAGAATCTGAGAACTGGATCGACTGGACTGCTCCTCACCTCAGGGTGCTCATTGTCAACGCCACAAGAATTCTAGTTTTAGCACGCACCAACATTTCTGCTGCAATCAGAGAGGAGCTGAAACAATACGACTTCTGGGGACTTGACAGAAGTCCCACCAGTTAAAACCAGAAGACATTTACATAGTGCAATAATTATAAATATGAACTAAATTCATACATATAAAACGTCAACGCACCTGCTATGAAAACTGAGAAAACGCTGCTAAATGATTGGTTTAGTGATAAATCTACAAAGGCTGCAGCTCTGCAGATGGAATGTAAACAGGACATTTGGAAACAAAATCATGCTTTAGTGTTTAGTTGCCTTTTCCTTTGATACTTTTATTTTGATAGTATATATAGCCTGTATCGTACAGAGGCATCTTTAAAAAGCAGCATGCTCACTACACAGAGGAAAACACGTCACTGAAAAAGGTACACAGTTAGAACAGGGATCCAAAGATGTAGCGTTTGGTTCCTCTGAGTGCGGAGCGTCCACTGACGATGACCGACTGGCACATCAGAATAAAGCCGAACGCAATCGGTTCTGCAGCCATTCAGAAGAGGCTCAGTTGTTGGCGGCCATCCTCGCTTTGAGGCGGTTGATTTTGAGAGGGAGGAGGCCGACCATCTCTTTGCTCAGCTCCAGCTCCGTCTCCACGGCAGCTGCTGCCTCAGGGTGAGCCTCGCAATACTGCACCACGTACCTACACAACAGGACACAAGGTATCACCGCACTGTTGCCATTTCTTTATTTAAGCTGCTTGTATATAAAAATACAAGACGTACTTGTAGTTTTGCAGGGAGCTGTCGAGGTTTTCCAGCTGAACGGCAGGTGAGGAGCTGATCAGTTTGCTGTGCAGTCGGGCTACTCTGAACCTAGCCACCAGAGCTGGTCTGAGCACCTCCTCCTCCAGGTGCTCCGGAGGCTTTCCCTCGGGAGAACACAGAGAATCCAGGAACATCTGGAAGAACCTGGAGATGAGAGGATCACACAAATCCTTCAGGAGAGCGTTGAAACAAACAGAAACTCAATCTGGTGCTTCGAACCCAAATGCACTCCTACTTGGCAGAAGCAGAGCAGAGATGGTTGAACTTCTTAATGGTGTGGCTGTCTGAGGCCTGTGCATCTGCTTGTCTGTTGGCCAGAGTCAGTTTGAGGTCCATCATGTCGCTGTAGGTCTCAGCCAACTCAAACATCAGCTGTCGGCGGATCATTAGGTAGTACTGAGAATTCAGGTCTGAAGGAAAAACAAGGAGAGTCACAGAGGAAGACTTTCTTAAGAATTTTAAAGGAAAAACAACAACAGCTGTACCGTTGCAGATCGGCTCCAACATGTCGACTCTTCGTTTGTGCATTTTGCAGCGACGCTCCAGGTCTTCCTCAAAGAAAGCCAGGGCCCGGAACAGAGCACTGTGGTCCTGCAGAATCTCGATGTGGTCCGTGACGTAGCCGTCCATCTGATAGTACTCTTTAGCCTTGGAGATGGAAGGAAGGAAGCAGCTAACCGTCAACCACAAAAACAACGTTTCACGCAGACACATTAGCTCTGTGGCTTTAAGATCAGGTAATGTCCCTAAAGTGCAGGTTAAGCATCTTTATGAAGAAATCATGTGACTTAATGACACAAAAACACATTTTAACAACAGAGCAGAACCAAATCCTTCTTTTCACTAAATATTAATGTTAAAATCCTTTTGAAATAATTATTTTGCAATCAAAATAAATTTTATTTATTCGGACAAATTAACATTTTTAAAAAGGCTTTTTTGAAAAAATGTAGAAAACTTGTGCTTTTTAAAAATTGGAATAATCAAATTTATAGTTTCAAATACAAATGATGTTCTATGCTGGTAAAGAATTACTGTAAGGTGTTTAAACTCCACATTCCTGCAGAGTTCCTCTACTTGTGATGTAATATACGAGTTTCAGTCAATTAAACAGAGACGGTTTCCTGCTGTGCGTACCTGCGTGACATAATTCTGTCCCACCAGAAAAACCGATCTGGCCTCCGTGAAGTCCAGAGGTAGCAAACACATGACCTGTAAGAGACGGAGGACGCAAAACAAACCAAAAACACAAAAAAGCAGTCAGCAAAGTGACTTAATAAAATCTATAGAATAGCGCCCCCTACTGACAAGGCACCCAAAGTCCTCATTAATAGTTTTTAAGATTCTCTTATTATATTAAACATTCAAACTTATATAATGAAAAAAACAAACAAAACATAATGCACAGTGAAATGAAGGAATTTGACAAAAATAAAAATGACAAAGCTACTAGGGTTGCTCGACATTGGCCTTTTGTTATCTTACAGATATCCGACATCTTCTGACTCTTAATTTCTTGATACGAACATCTCATTTCTTCTATCATGCATGCTTGAATTTTACACACTTTTTGTGTAATATTTTTTAAATACAAAATCATAATTGTGAGATTAACTTAATCCACTCCATGTTTCTTTACTACATTAACGCAGTGTGTGTGTGTGTGTGTGTGTGTGTGCATTTAAAGAAAATGTAAACAAAGCTTTATGACCTCATAAAACAAAGACCCACACAATAACCAACATAAAGTTTGAACTCGGGTGACTCAGACCTTTTCTTCCACACTTGCAATAGAATCAAAAGTGTCTTCAGAGCCAAACAGCAGAGCACTCTTCCTCCCTTTTTCTTCCTCCTCCTCCTGTCGTCGTCTCGCTCTCCTCAGCTCATCCTGACGATCCGTATCCAGCTCACCGATGTTGTCCTGCACGAACACCCACAAGACTTTCATACAAGACTTAAAAACCAGCGTGAAGATCTGACAGTTAGAGGAATTTATTCCGTTTCTCTGGTTTTCGTTAACAGGCACAAACAGTACCTCCAGGAGTTTCTTAGCATCCTGTAGGAGATTTAGACAATATTTAATCCAACATCTCGCCATCTCTGCTCTCTTCTGTCTGAGCTGTTCTCTGCGCTCGCTCTCCGCCTCACCTGAGTCGGACAGAAAGAGACGATCGGATGTGCCAGTGACCAAAGAGAGGAATGATAAACAAGTCTAGAGGAACAGGGTGAAGCAAGGAGAGGTGAAAACTACGCCGGTTTACTCGACTCTGGGACAGGCGTTTAAATAAAATGTTTTCATGAGAGGGCTCTTACTTTCCTGCGCTACGGCCTCAGACGGAACCTCTCCAGCCAAACCTGAAACAACAGTAGCTGCTGCAAGGCAATGCCTGCCCTCCATGTATCGGCCCTGAGAAGAACACCAGCACAAATGCGAGACGCTTACTAAAGTTTACAACAGAAGAATCAACATCCTTTGAGATTTTAACTCATAAGTCAACAATTTCCCGTTGCACCCAAGTGGTACCTTTGGGATGTAATACTGAGACAGCGCAGCTGCATTCAGAGCCCACTCCATCGGGTTGAACTGGTTTAACTGTAACTGTCTCTGCAGGGTGCAGTGGCAGTAGGTGGCAGCACGCTCTTTCTGACCTGAGAGACAAACGATGGTGAAACATCCATATGTAATCTAAACTACCCGGTAACGAGAACTTCAGCCACACACACTCACCGAGGTTTGTATACACTTGAGCGAGGTAGTACATGGTGTGGGTGTAGGCCAGCTCGAACCTGGTGGAAGAGAAATATAATTTAAAACGTGCAGAGCATGCTTATGGAAGCTGGGGTTCAGAAATTACCTCTTGATCCTTTCCTGGTGTGTCAGCAGGTTCTCCTCTGCACTAAAGTACTCCGTCATGTCGGTGGGAGGAGTCCCATCCTTCACGAGGCACAGAAAACACAACAATCCCAGATGTTGGGGAGGATTTGACCTCATAAAATTTCAACTGCAGTGTTTGTGATTATATATTATATATACGAGACTCATTGGCCGCGTAAAATACACAGAAAGGGTCGTGAGAAGCGTGATGACAGAACAGGAACAGAGCAATGTGGTCCTGATGAACAAGCGTGCTGCAAATGAAATGTCCAAATAAAAACAGTTCTGGATCAGCTACAGTTTGAGTGAGTGCACCAGCAGCTGCTCAGAAAACCTAACTGACCTCCTTCATGTAACGCTGGTAGATGGACTCCGCTTTTTCCAGGTACTCTTGAGCCATCTCGGTCTCATCTCGGCCAGCCCAGAGGATGCCCAGCTGGTTCTGACGGAACGGAGAGCAAACACACACACACCATCAGCTTATGTACTCACACACCTGAAATGATGCCAACTCCGCCATTACTAAACCAGATGAAACGTCATCGTTCGTTACCCTGACATTAATGAACAGCGACACATTCTCCGACGACACCCCGCATCTCTCCAGCAGCTTCATGCAGTTCATCAGATGCTCCTGCCCGGCTGACAGCTCCTCCGTGTCCACATGGTTGACGCCCAGAAAATATTCCACAGCTCCGAGCTTGGCCACTCGCTTCCCCGCTGGGGAGTCACCGCTGAAGCCCCGAGAGAAGACACCCTCCTCCTTTTGGTCGTCCACCGGCTGCTCCGTCGGTAGCTGGTCCCCGCTCTCTCCGCCGTCCTGCTCACCGTCACCAGCTTCTAAACTCTTCAGTGAACAATAGATTTCTCTGAGAAGTTCCCGGGCTTTGTACTTGGAACGGAACGGGTCGTTCTCTGGGTCATTTCTAGATTCTACTTCGGTGAGATTTTGGGCGTTGTTGAATTTGTCGCATATAGCTCTCCACTCATCACTATGGAAGGACGCCATGTTTGTTTTCTTCTGGGTCCTTTTATTGTTGCATTACTGCCGCCTGCTGGACGAATCTGGTCTCTACAATCAAATGACCTCAAACAAAACGGTTACTTTTTTCTAAACCTGTGAAAATTCTACGTTTTATTATAAAGAATACCAAAACAAGAGTTTATTTAGATTTTATTTTTCTCCCCCAAAATCGTTAAAGAGCAAGTCACCCCAAATCAACTTTTTTTTCTGATAAACTATATAAATGTGTATGTAATCGCGCTGCAGGCACATGTAGTCAATAGTTTAGCACTTTAGCGCATTTTAGTTAAAATTTAAAATTTCTGCCCGAAACTGTCAGTGTTGTGTCATTGTCAGGTAAAAACTGCACTACATTTGAATTTAAATCTGCCATCGCTATTGGCTAAGAGGTGCCCTAAAACGTTAGGACATTCTAGAACATTCTTCTTCCGGCTCTTGGAGGGTGCAGACGCTTTTTTTCCTCCTCTCCTCCATATGTTATCCTCAAGGCCCTCTGTCTGTCTGTGTGTGCTGGGTGCATGGCTGCTTCTGCATTTTTCTGGAAACTGAAATTCACTTAAATGGATCTCGTCAGTTGGTCTCTCAACGTGATTGATAAAGTTTTTTCAACGATGAGAACAGGAGAAGGGGCTCCTAGATGCCCCGCTGGGACAGACCCAGTTGGACACATCATGGACTCCTGGAAACAGTGGAACTTGATTTGTTTATCTCAGCTGTCTGTGGAGGACTCTGAAGACGTGTGTGTATTCGTGGTGTTGGTGTCAGGTTTCCTGCTCATTGATCTTGGAGGCTACCTGGCTTACCGGAAAATTAACGAGCTGTCGAGGATTATTGGCCTGATCCCGGAGCTCAGAGATGGTTTGCACCTCGCTGTGAATTCACAGACTCAAATAATTGTCGAGATGAATCGTAAGCTTGGAACTTTGGCCGAGATTCCTTCATTGGCACAAAAGGGTGCCATCAAGGAGAGAGTGAACGAATCAGCACGGATTGGGATAGATTAATGTCCATTATTGGGATTTTGAGAGTTTGAGGACCAACAAACTGTAAGACAGAGAGGAAGTTATCTCTGTCTAGCCCCAAAACAATTTCTAATCGGAATCTGGAGCCCTTGAGCCTGCAAGGCTCCAACGAAAACTCCCCCCTCAGAAGATATATGGAATGTGCCGTCGCTATGGCAGCTCAACTCTGTCTCCTTTCCCAGCCTGGGCGGGACTGCGGGAAGGCCGCTGAAATGTTCCAGGGTCACTGCAACTAGGGCTGCAACAACGAATCGATAAATTCGATGAAAATCGATTACTAAAAGCGTTGGCAACGAATTGCGTCATCGATTCGTTGTGTCGCACAACTCTTCCAAAAGCGCCCCCCCTTCCCGCCCGCCGTTGCGCGCAGACCAGAGCAAGTCAGATCAGCGCGAGGGAGAGCCGCAGATCAGCGCGAGGGAGAGCCGCAGATCAGCGCGAGGGAGAGCCGGCAGATCAGCGCGAGGGAGAGCCGGCAGACTTGCGCTGCTGCGAACCGGTTCCGCATTGTTGCACAGCGATCCAGGCAGCTGCGTCCAGCGCACGGTCCATTCTCAAAGTGGCGCAACCAAAAAACTATAATTAGCACACGATCGTTCATGTCCGCACATGTTCTCTATTTTCTGTCTTATTTGTGCCTGAAGCTCGCTACTGCGGAGCTCATCACCTGTGCTGTGGTGATGTCACCTCACGCAGCATCGAAAACGCGCTCTGCGCTTTTCGGTCAGGAGATCCCTTTGACCTGCTCAAAAGTAACTGATGAGGTGAAAAGGTAAGAATCCAGGCAACAGATTTTCTGGAGAATTAAGAGGAGATGCAGGAAGATGAGAGACAGACAGGACAGGAAAATAGTTCAATAAAAACAAGAAAACAAAACAAAGTGTTGAAAAGTAAAATGTAGGTAGATTTATCTCCACTACACGTTTTTACCAGTAAAAAACAATAAGTTATACACATGTCATATTTATACATCTGATACAATTCAGATCACCTTCAAAACTCAGTCACACACCCAGGGCCGTTTCAAGACATTTTGGGGGCCAAGGCAAAATGCCCCCCCCCCCCCAATAACTGGGCTCCCCAGAAGCCTCTGTGTAATTCATGCCCTCTCCAGTAGTGTTAGTTATACAGTGTTTATAAAAGCCCCTCAGGCATTACTGACATGTTCTAATATTATCAGATGAAAAACTAAATTATCAGACATGCTGTCTCATCTGCTTCTTTTCTAAACTTGCAAAAAGTAACAAAACCATTTGAAAGCCACTATTTGTGGATTCTCTGAAAGTTTCCATGGAGTTTGTGACAACTTATTTTTTCATTGATCCTATCGTCTAATCTCACAGCTGAAACAAGCATCCTTAATAATCTGTGCACAGGAAGCTTACCGATGCTGTAGTAAAACAAAAGGTATAAAAATTTATTATTAATAAAACCTTGTTGCAGCACTAAAGCATAAAAATTAGATTTTGCATTAAATATGCAAAATATTTACATATGAATTGTTTTAGAGCCCTTTAATTGGCAGAATCTGATATTAATTTAGTTCTTACAAAAAATGGGTCCCAACATGGTTTGTGTGGCGTTGCCATAGTGTGACGTCATAGGCACAGATCCCCTGTCCTCTTGTTTGGAAATGGAAATATGGTCACCCTACATTAAACAAACTGTCCACCCGGGCTTTTGCACTGCACAGAGACGCTTCGCTGCCTACGACTGAACGTCAGTTGAGAGTCAGTCTCATGCAGACTGACCAATGAAGAGAGGGCCTCAAGTTAAGACCCTCTCCTCATTGGTCAGTCCACACGAGGTGGGTCAAAGGTTACTCTGGGCGGGTTACGTGTTGTCAGGCATTCAAGTATTGAGTATATTTACTGCATATTACAGTAAAATATTCTGTATGTGACCACATTATGGTGATCCTCGGGTCGTGATGATGGAGCCCTTGAATATTGTTGCCCAGGGTACAACAAAGTGTTAATCTGGCCCTGGTTCCGCCGTCACATTCCCGCAGAAACTGGTTGATCACACCGGGGCCAGACTACTAGCATGTGGTTTTACAGCCACAATGTCCTCAGAAGCAAAAACGCTTTTAAAAGGGAGGGAGGAGTCCTAACTGTTGCTGCAGGCGTGTTGTGTGAGAGTGCAGTTATATACTGGTTAATATATTTTTGGGTTCAGTTGCTTTCATGTGGCCTAATGTGAGTCTATTTGGGATCATTGGAATGATCAGCAGCATTTCTTGATGTGACTTTATGGCAGTTGCCCAGGGCATCATCGCAAGGAGGATGGCATTCATTTACTTTTGTTTTATTTGGTATTTTTTCAGTCATTTTTGGAAATAGTGATCAATTTTGATTAATTCACAGCCTATGTTTAATTACATTTAAAATAAATGTCAACAGATGAGATCAAACAAAACAGATGAGAATTGCCCTTAACTTGGACCAAGCATTTTAGGTCACAGATAGATGTAGCTTAGGGTCTCTGTCTATACACCTTATAAGACAATTTAGGTGATGGCATGTTGTTTTTCTGCTATTGAACTGTTTTCTAATAATGTTGTGTTAAATAAAGTGAAGGAAGGAGAGAAATAACGTTTCCCTAGCAGTTTTTAAAAATTTCCCCATGTAATCCGATTAATCGATTAATCGTGTCGAGACCCCATCCGATTAATCGATTATCCAAATAATCGTTTGTTGCAGCCCTAACTGCAACCCTCCAACCCTCAATGCTCCTCCCCCATCCACATTGAGGTGACATGCGCTGCTTATTGTGGCTGCAGGAACTGAAGTGGGGATAGTCCCAACCCACCACCCCACCTAGTGGACACTTATGTTGTGTTGTCTGAAGTCTGTTGCATATCTCTGTTTGAGGTGTTTTTTTGCAGAGCAAAGCTGTCCTCCTGGTGGAGGGTAACTCTGAAGTGCCTTTTTCCCCCTCCACCTGAACCAATCCTCATGTAGCCCTCTGATCTCTATTAAGGTAGCGCAAGTCGGGGTTGTGAATGACCACAGTCACCAATTCTTGTCATGTGTCTCTCCCATGTATGTCTGATCTCTGAATTGTGTGTACTGAAACTCTAATTTCTCTCTGGGATTAATAAAATATCTTTGATTTGATTTGATAGCTGGTACCATATGATGTCACAATGTCATTGTGAGCCTGTGTGTGTATGTATTTGTTAGCGGCTCCACCCTCTAGGGTCTGCTAGGCAACAGCATTCGTTGCATTTTTCAAACAGGAAGTGGGAGTTGAGTAAGAATCTGAGAAATGTGTTTTGTGTTCTTTTGTCACGTTTCCTATGAGCACACTAAACCTACAGCTGATAACCTTTACTTATTATTACAGTCATGTCTTCATGTATATGATATCCAGAAGCACGTGAGGATGTGTTTCAGCTGCTAACAGGCACCAGAATTAAAATTGAAAATTAAACAAATGTGAACTCTAACGCGATATCTTCATCCATAGTCACCCGCGAGCTACACATGCAGCACCCCCTAATACTGCTGCTTCCGTCTGTTTTCCAGGCGAGGAGCAGCTCAACTTGAACAAGGCCATTGTGACATCATATGGTACCAGCTAATGTTCTAGGGTACTTCTTAGCCAATAGCAATGGTGGATTTAAATTTTATTGCAGTGCAGTTTTTACCTGACAACGGCACAACACGGACAGTTTTAGGCAGAAAATTAAAATTTGAACTAAAATGCACTTAAGTGCAAAACTATTGACTGCACTTGTCTGCTGCATGATTAGACACACATTTATGTAGTTTATCAGAAAAAAGTTGATTTGGAGGTGATTTGCTCTTACAAAGTTTAATTCTCCTAAAATGTGATTCATACCACGCATGCAGTTGTTTGAGAGTGAAATTATCCACTGCTGCATTGTCAATTAAGCAATATCACACAAGAGGGAGTGTGCTGTTGCTGAATATCAGCACTGGTGTGATTCGGTTGTAGGCACGAGGCTGCAGGCCGAGTGCCATAGATAATCACACCAGTGCTGATATTCAGCAACAACACACAACCTCGAGTGTGATATTGCTTTTATGCAACAGTTCTACCTACTCATTTTATTTTTATAACAACAATAAGCAACAACAGATAATGATTTTGTTCATTTATTTAATCATTTATCAGGCTCCGCCAACACATAGTCCCAACATGAAACGGAGACTCAGACAAGGCTGTTTCTAGGCAACACAAACATTTTCTACATAACGGTTAGAACGCCTGTGCACAGCGGAGTGATACTGTTTGTAAACAGTCCCAGTGCTGTTATAGTCCAACATCAGCACTCTTGGAAAGTCTCTTGACCTATCAAATCCCTCTGTCTGAACTAACTGTTGTAGAATTATAGATTAAAACATTAATACTTATTTTAAGTTAAACTCGAATAAATCTGTAAAATTATCAGCACCAACTAAAGGTGTGCATAAATGTGAAATTGATTTGTAACTTTAGTTCCTCTTTTAAATTAAAACTGAGCTAAATTTGCTGTAGGGTTGCTCAATGCCATAACCTAACTAATACTACACTGTAAATGTAACCTAGCTCCTAACAATGAACATTGGTATTTATTATGAGACAAAACAGGCAATAATGGCAGTTGTGGAGCTTTATATAAAACAAACAAAAATCACTGAAAACACAACAAATTTTAAGTTTAATTTATTTAAACAAACCCAGAGAACCCAGACATGAATCAAGGGATATTATAGAGGAATCATACAATGACCATATGTTGATTAAACTCCAAACAGGAACATTAATCATAGACGGACTATTATTATATTATGTATTGCTTCTCAGACACAGCAGAAGACATCATGACTGATGTACGGATGAAAAATAATGTGTAGACAGTAATTCTATAACATGGCACAAGCATCAGCGTAGAGTGAATCCTAATTTCAAAACAAGTTAAAAGCTTAAAGAAATTCTGTTTTTGTGATCTGTAATGACTTAACTGACAAAAAACTATATAGTATGGGGGCATGGTGTTAAAGACTACAGCACCCACGAGTCTGTGTGCAAGGCATCGGTTACTTTAATTACCTTAGTTCACGGTCTACTATAGTGACACACTCAATGCAGCAAAAACCTAATGTGTTACAATCCAGCTTTATTATGGAGAGAAGCTTCAGCTTTCTATGTTCTGTGTCCTAAAATGACTAAACCTCCTCAGCAGTGATCAGTCACAAACCACAAAGATAGAAGAAATGGCTATAAGTGCAAACGATTGGATGAGATGTTTAGATGAAGGAGTTCTGATGTCCAGCTGGTTTTTAAAGCAGCATTCTGCAGCAGTGCCTCTACGTCACTCCACCACTAAGATCCCGTCTTGCTCTTCTCCATGCTGAAATAACAGCAAAAGAGAGACCATTTCTATACAATAAACACTCTTGTTTTAGCAAATATTTAACATGTGAATCTTTTTTTAGTTTTTCTATTTACACAGATCAACCATTGTGATATTAAACAAACGGAAAATACTATTTCGGCTCACTAGTCATGGAAAAATTAATATTCAGACGATAAAAATATACAGAATAGAAAATCTCACTTGTATTTGATGAGACGACTTCCCTGGATTAGTTGTGCAGACTCATTGGTTAGATGGCAGGCAAAGAGAAGCCAGTTACGTGGCTGAACCTTGTAAGCAAACCTCATGAAAAGCAGCGAGTAACAGCACAAAGCTGAGGGAAAAGAAAACAAACAAACAAACACAACTTTTTAGAGTACTTTGTATTTTTCACACCCTCTTCATTTAGGATTCCTAAGGCTTTAACACAGCTTAAATTTCACTTCCTTCAACAAAAGAACAGCATTTAGTAGACATTACAGGTCAGTGACAAAGTTATTTAGATCCTGTAGTCAGTATGTTTTATTCAGTCTACTTAAACTCAGTTTGAAATTCAGAACTTGACCTAAAAGCTGATCTAGTAAACTATCTTGACAGTAAATAATTTGTTAACCCTGACCTACACGTGCGTTTGTATGCCTTACCGAAGGTCATCCTGCCACTGATGATTTCAGGGCTCTTCTTCATGTCTGTGATGGCAGCTATTGGAAGACCCCAGTTTGCTACTGGACCCCAGAAGTGCTGCAAAAGTCACATTTATTATGACCTGATTAAACTATAGAACAGAACTAAGAACTTGATGGTGCATTTTTATGTTGTGATTCACAAAATCAGAAGGATGTGACAAAATATGTTTTGAATGTATAGTGTATGACCGCCCCTGATAGTGGGAAAGGAGGAATGTGTGTAGAAACAAACATTCAAAATGTAAAGACAACCCATTAGACGATGAATGGAACTTACCGTGCTGTTTGTTGGTATATTTTGGTTTGTTGCCACATAGAAAAGAAAAAGACAAACGGAGATAAATTATAAACAAGCAAGCCAATGACACATTGAGTAAATACAGAAAAATAAACCAAAAACCTAAAAATAAATACATAAAAAGATATGGGTGTATACTGCACTTCATTTTCTTTTGTAAACCGTTTTTTTTTTACAAAACGTGTACAAAGCTGGTAAAGTTTAAGTACCACAAAGATCATGAACATTGTTCAGAGCTAAAAGTACACAAGTGTCACTCATTACGTCACCAATGTCCAAACATAAACTTTACTCTGGATTTTAGCTACACAGACTTTGCCATCACACTACCATAAAAAACTACACCCTTGAAATACATTAACATAGATTTATTTGATTTGCGCTTTATTGGGAAGAGTAAACAATTAAAAACCGAGTTTCATACAAAACGTTCTTTGATCTGACAGGTATGGGACAAGGTGGTAGCTCAATCGTCCTTGAAAACTCTCCACCTTTACCTGTGTTATGGACGATGTCACACAATAACAAAAATATTTATTACCTATAGTTTAAATACAGATGAAACGAGGACGGAAAACTTAGGATAGCGTTCCTTAAAAAGCCCCAACTAGCTTCATTAGCGTTGTGTTAAGGAATAGAAAGCTAATAGATAATAACACAAACCTCATCAGATAGTCTCTGAACTCTTTGCTCCTGAGGTGGTCAATAGCTTTACGAGCAATTGTCCCCGCCATGGTTTAGCTTCAGGGTAATATTTGTTTTAGCAGAGAGTTTTCTAGGAGGACTGAAGGGCGACTAGCTACGAGCTCAGAGGACGACAACGCCGAATTCCATCAAAAACATTTACGACACTGTTGCAAAATTGTGTTCTACGTCTTGTTCTGGGATTTTTTAAGGTCGTAAACTCCGTGGAACTGCATACTGCCACCGTGTGGATGGATGTACAGATTCTGAGACACGTTACATCAGGAGTAGGGCACATGACACATGTCTGGTAGCGAGCCCTGGTCCTGGAAAACCAGCATGTTTAAGTTGTTACCTTCTTTCAGCACAGTCGATTCACCTGTTCAGCAGCCCACCAGGCTCTGTAGTAGCTGTTAATCACCTGCTGAATAAAATCAGATGTGTTGAAGTAGGGAAACCTCTAAAACTGCTGGAGCAGGACTGGAGTTTCCTAGCCATGCATTACACAAGTATTCACATACACATTGATTATTCGTGGGCCAGACATGGTCAACGCACCTGTTTTCATGTTGCTGCTGCACTCTTAAAAAACGCATTTGCATTTTTCATATTTTATATTGGGGTGTGTCTGCTTTGTCCGTGTCTGGGTTCCACAAAAATAAACAATAATGAACAAGAGACTGCTTCTAGACCTGCGGAAAGAGAGAAGAAAAAAAATGGACATGTGATGGCCACACCCATGTCCACACAACAGTGAACAGGTTCTCCACTTCCTACCAAGAACTCTGCTACAATCTACTTCTTTGTCTGGCAAAATTCTTCATACATAAACAAAAAATACTGAAATCACCCCCTGTGTTCAATGCATTTGTACATGATTTTAGATTGTATCTAAGATCCCTTAAATGTATCAATAATAACAGCTATGAAGATATGTATAGACTTTTTTGTAGACTTCCTGGAACTGTGTAGTGGTCCCTTGCATTGTTTTTGTGTTTTTTGTTTGTTTGTTTTTGTCCTCCCCCTTTTCACTGACTGTTCAATTCTCATCTGAATACATTGGCATGTTCGCCTTATTTGTAATGTAAATATGCTTTTCTGCAATAAAAAATAAAAATAAAATAAATAAATTAAAAAAAGGTTCTCCACTTCCTGCTTCCTGAGATGGGACAGGCAAACAGTGTTGAAGGGGTTCTGTCAGCTAAATACATGGAGGAGCTGAGGGGGCCAAACCAATTGCTCCATGAAGAGGGGACTGAAGGATTTCCTTTAGTTTATTATTGTGCCATTTGTTAATTAATTTAAGTATGAAGTTAAATAGTTAGGTTTATGGGTTAGGGTGTTAAGGTTTATTAACAATCTGACTGTACTGATTTGTGGTTTTAGTTTTAGTTAGTAAATATTTGTCTAGTGATCCCTACTGTTCATGTGCTCTGATCAGCCAGTGTTTATATATATACCCTTGTGTGTCGTTGTTAGGTCGGTTATGGTTTCAGTCAGTCAGCATGTTAAGTTGGCAGTTTATTGAGTTTCAGTTTGTTTGTTTGACCTCTTTTATGAGCTCGAGCTATTTTTGTGAGGATATTTTAATAGAAAAGGAAATTAATGAGCCTCTATTTTTGGAGATTTCCTGTGTTCCTCCACTCATTTGACTTGATCCCTCACAGGACACAACAACAATACAACAAGATCAAGCTATCACTGCGTCAACTTGATGAAGACATATATAATCAACATTGTTTAACTGAACAATCACACGATAATAAATCACAGTGCATTAAGTGCCAACCATAGCCTTAAGACATGTGTTGAACGTGCCCAAGTCCATACTTATGAGAGCACCATGTGAGCACCTGTGTGTGTACACGCGCTTGTTTATGTAAGGTTTCTCTATAGGAGCGTCCAACAGAGAGTGTGAGGGACCACAGATCTGCCCCCTAAAGATGTGCAGGAGACGGAGGGAGCTCCAAGTCCCAGAGATCCAGGAGCTGCCCCAGAGCACAGGAACCCCCAGGGAGACTGCAACCAGAAAAGCCCCTGCCCCCCTCCAGAGGTGCAGAGGATCGCCCCAGGGGGCCACAACCAGCAGCCGGCAAAGTCCCAGGAGATATCGGTGGCAAGCCCACAGGCCCACCTGCAGCCTCCCACCCCCTAGCCGGCCGAGCCCGGGACCCAGCGACCCGGGACCCCGGGGCGACCACCCCCGCCGGGGATCCAGCAGAGCCCAGGGACCCAGACCCCACCAGGCAGCCACCGGGATTGGTCAGGCAGATGCCAAAAATCTTAAACTCCCTGACCCGGGAGCCACGACCCAGGCAGACCAAGGCACCGCACTCCACACCTGGTGTGGCAGGGAGAGGGGAGACGAAGATCTATAAAGAAGTCCCAGGAGAAGGGAGGAGTCAAAGGCCCCACCTGACATATACAGTCATACACTCCCTCCCTCATGCTCACACATACACATACAACCAAATACTTACAAAAATGCACGCCGGACACCCACTCATGCTCCCCATACACACCCTATTCACTCTGGTCCCGGTACTGCTGCACATGGGGTACAACCATCACCGGTTCCCAGAGTTTGACCCTTGCTGATGAGCAGGCTCCCCCGCCCAACGCTGAGCACAGCAACCCACCAGCCCAGACCCCAACTGGTCGGCCCGATCTCCTTCCTAGCCTCCAACCCCAGGAAGCCAAGCGACAACAGAGGTTTGCGAAGACCCCTAGTCTCCCTCCGCCTGCTCAAATATGGTGCTAGTGAGTGATGATGAGGTGTATTCCATGGCTATGGTGAGTGGGCAGTGCGGGCATCCTCACACAATTTCTCGTTGTAAAAAACTAAGTGAAACTATCAGAGCTACAAATTGGGTCGCACCACTATACTCTCCCCTATAAAGGCTCCAAAGATCCTATGTTTTTAAATGAATTTTTCGAAACGAGGAGGGGAATTAAAGTCTCTTTCGGAGTATTTCTCTTATTCAATGGCACCATCTAGTGGCTGAAAAGCATATCACACAAATAGTCTCTTGATCCGTTTTTTTTAAGATGGCGACTTCACCTTTCTTGTTATAAATATGCGTCTGTAGCCGACAAACAGAGCTAAAACACGCCGTTTTACAAGTATTATTCTCATGTCATGTTGAGTTTTCATGTATTTATATTTTAAATACTGTGGAAGACAGAAGACGGGAGTTGCCAGATTCTGGGGGTGTGGCGATTGGATGCCGGCTGGTCCTTGTCACGCGTAATGAGGCCAGTGAGGAGAAAAGGGTGGCAGATCTACCAAGGCATGTGTGTGGTCGACCTGTCATTGTGGCACCCGGCTCGGGGGGGGGGGGGGGGAATTGTTCGCAGTTGGTTAGGACTGCCAGCGATGAAGATAGCTGAGTAGGTGGGCAGTGTTCCAGCGCTAGGAGGGGAGGCTTGATGCCTTCTTTGGGTAGCGAGGGCTGGGAGTAGTTGGGTGCCGAGACTACGCCGACATCTGCCGCCACAGACTCTGGCAGCCGGACCTGAGCCGTGGACTTACCCACCGTCCTCGCAAGCGGAGCCCGGGGGCGTTGGACGGTGTCAGAAGCTCAGACCCCGGGGAGGGGGTCGCATCGACTGGGCCAGCTAAGTACCCGCTTGCTTGATTTTATTTATGCTGATCAGCTGGATGTTATTGTGAAGGAACTCGGCCGTAGTGTTTTATTGTTGGTTGTGGTAATAAAGGATCTTTTGGATAAGTTACTGCCTACTGGTGCTGTTTTTGGGTTCTGACTGGGGGGTAAAATATTCTGCCCGAGCTCCCACTGAAACTTATATTACAATACTTACTTGTCCGTAAAAAGTTCATCAACTCTGCATCTGCCGAGGTATTCTTTATATTTGAAGCATGTAAGCAGCAGTCTAATGCTATTGGTTAGTTCTGGTCGGAGCTCTGCAGGGCAGGGGGCGTGCTTAGCAAAAAAAAAAAAAGAAAAAAAAAAAGAAAAAAGAAACATACGTAATGCTTACATTATTACTACATGATAAGACAATCACTTTGACGTATTTCTGAAAAATCACACATATTTTCTGAAAGGGGAAAACTCTGGAAAGATATTTTAAAGTTACTGAGAACCACTTTGACCAGTTACAAGAGAAGAGGGGACGAGGACTTTATTCCCTCCTGTGGAGACAAGCAGAAACTCACTTTGATAGTCTTTTTTCTTATTATTTAGCTAAAAACACAATCAAAATTGTATTAATGTATGCTTGCATGAAATAATAGTGAGTTAAACCCAGCTAGCTACAGTGCTACAAACTCCGTATGCATTTACGCCCCCAGTGGCGTCAAACTGGAACTACATTCTGGTTCTGTTAAAGCTGTTACAGCAAAACAAATTTGTGTAAAACAAATTTTCATGCTTCTCAATAACGTTATAACATAGTATAACTATACATTTACTGTAGAGATAAAAACAACCTCCCCCAAATATTAATAAAGTGCTTCTCTCGCATTTGTCTAAACACCTCCGCCAATACGTTTTGGACCAAAAGCAACTATTGGACCATCTCTGGCTGTTGGCCTCACCAAACCACAGCACTTCCATATTTACCTGGGTCCTCCATTCATTACGCACTTGAGTATTTTGCAACACAACACCACTGGTGTGAGAGGTTCTCTGCTCAATAATAATAATAATAATAATAATAATAATAATAACAATAATAATAATAATAATAATAATAGATTTTAAGCTAATTCATTTTCCAAATTTGCCATAGCAGCTTTAGCTAAACATGTGAAACAAACATATGAGATAGACGAATAATACACAAAGCCAGATATTTCAAGCCTTTATTTGGTATTAATGGGATGATTGTGGTTTAATTAAAAATCTCAGACAATTAGAATATTGTGAAAAGTTTCTATATTCTAGACTCTAAGTGTCACACTCTTATCAGATTATGAATCCAAAATATGATATATTGGAGACATATATGAGAAGAAGGATTTAGATGAGAAGAAAGAGCTAAAAGGTCACAATGGTTACTTCCTGAGCACCTTTTCCCACTCCTATCACCCTTTTCCTCAGTATTTGATCCATTTTAGGTTGAAGCTGCAGTTGCAGTTAAGGAACACTTGAGGGAGGAAAAACACCATTTGTAAACACCTGTCACTGTCTCCTCACCCATTTAACCCTGGTGTATTTGGGCCCAGGTGTGATACAATGAGTTTGTGTGTGTAAATGGAACCTTAGGACTATGGAACTTATGACTCTGCATTCTCGAAATCTCTTTTTTGTGCAACAAGTACATTTTATTTCAAATAAAGGATTTAAGAGTGCTCATTTTACACAAGTCCATTTAGCTGTCCATTCATCTCCTGAGGCCGATGAGCTTCTTTTGGAGAAACTTTGGCCCCACAATCAGCATAGGCACAGTTCCCACAACAGTTATTGTTGTGCTTGCACTTGAACAGGAAAAAACAGCTGCATCCAGGAGACATCTATTTGGAGATTTGATGTTAAGCATGATTGTAGAAGATAAATGCTATGGACCTTAACTAAATAGGGCCAATTTGCTGAAGAAGCCAGGACTCAACTGCAAATGGAAAAGTAGAATAAAACCTGCAAAATGACAAATGCATACATCTGAACTTGAATGGCATCATTCAGAAGAGCAGGTGCACATCTCTCGATGGATAAGGTGGGGTGCGCCCTGGTCTCCAGCCAATCACAGGTCCACATTTAAACAACCTTTCATGCTTACATTTAAGGCTAATTTAAGAAATAATTTAATACATGGTGCATGTTTTTTTTTCAGCTGTTGTCAAGGTCTGCCTGTACCCACTTTGGTCTATATACCCACCATAAAATTTCTTCACCTGCTAACATTTCACATCCGAAGAAAAAACCCAAAAGCCCCAATCACTCTAAACAGAACACACCCTTGATCCACACACACACCTGCTTGTCAAATATTTTCAATAAAAAATATTATAGACCTTTCGTATTTTACCAGTCTCTCTTGTATTTATTTTGTGCTCTATGTTCATTCATTGCCATCCATCCATTATTTCAATCAACCACCAGCCAGTCTACTACTAGTAGAGCACCAAAGAGGGCTAGGTGTCCTCAGCTGTTTAGCCAAAATATTTTAGTCATACAATAACACAATTTCAGGAGAAGGGATGAATTTTAACAAATAGCAACACTGGTGCTCAAAACAAATCATACAAACTTAGATTTCTGAGGATGGTCTGTTTTCTGGCTATAGAAACGTGGCACAAGGAGGATGTGCTTCTCAATGAGAAGACATGAACTGAGGCATATTAGTTGAATCTCTTCGGATTAAATTTGATCTTTTTGGTAAGAGGACACTTTGAAAGGATCAGGTTACTTTAGAGGATAAATAAGTGATAGTGAGGTTGTGGTGTTGGATTTGTAAGAAGATGTGGTGCCATGAAATGTAATTTGAGGAAGGTGAGAGTGCATCTGGGAATATAATCCGAGCATGACACAAAGCACGTGAAGGGTACGGCGAGGTGTGTAGAAGAGCAAGAAACTGAGCAGTTGAATCTGGAGCACCCAAAGAGCTACACTCAGTTTTGAAGGCCTGATCGTTTCCTGCTGAGGAAGTGAAGACTATTCATCTGCTGATGTGGAACTAAAAAAAGGGAACACATATGTGATAGTTGGCAAGTATAGTGAACGACAATGAGCAGAAATAATTTACCCGACGATGAAAAAAATATCTTTTATTTAGTTTCTGTCAATTTATTCATAAAGCACTTAAAAATCAGCAAACCTGCACCAATGTGCTATTCAGCAAAAAGTCAGGATAATAATTAACACATCACCAAGATATCAGTAATAAAACAGCGACGGAGGAATACAAAAATACACAAAAAATGTAATAAAAGGAATTAAACCAAAAGATAAAATTATAAACTGAATATCCAGGGCAAAGAACAAAAAGCATCAGGCTCTGCTTGTTTAAGCAGGGAGTAAAATAGTTTTTTTTTAAGTTTACTTTGAGATCCAGTCGAAACGCTTTTAGATCTTTACGTATTCAAATGTTTTGTTTTAATTTTTTTACATTCACAGTCATTTGGCTTACAGATAAACATCGAAAGACCATAATGTCTACGTATGACTCGGTTGGGTAATGGTGAAGGCACCAGAGGTGTGACCAAATCACTGCATTGCAAGTCACAAGTAAGTCACAAGTCTTTCCAGTCAAGTTTCGAGTCAAGTCCAAGTCAAACAACCAAGTCCAAAGTCAATGATCTGGAAGTCCAAGTCCTTATCTTTGAATTTTCAAGTCATAATCAAGTCATCTGTCCAACTTCAATTTAACAATGATAAATTCCAGAAATAAAGCTTAATTTATTTGCTCAAACAAGCAGAAAGTGCAACTGAATCTGATTATAAACAATGTGCTGCTGCATTTAGCAGTACAAGATCAAACTCAGAACAAAGAATGATTTATGTCCATGTCGTGCAATTTTTGTGCTAAAATACCAAATATGCTCGTCATCAAGTCAACAGGTGCAAGTCAATTCAAGTTGCAAGTCATTGGTGTTAAAGTCAGAGTCAAGTCGTAAGTCTTTATAGATTTTATCAAGTCACGTCACAAGTCGAGTCTGACTCGAGTCCAAGTCTTGTGACTCGAGTCCACACCTCTGGAAGGCACAGTACAGGGTCTGCATGATTCCAGAAGATGCCTCTCCAGCCTACCTACATCTACACACCTCTATTGGTCTGCATTACTCCACCCAGAGCGTTGGCTTATTCCCAGTCTGGAGCTGGTAATCAACCCATCTCTGGCTGAAGGGTTAGGGTGGCATCAGACTGGGAGTGGCTTTTTGGAACCTAGTTGTTGAAGTCAACATAAGTTTTATTTTGAGTCCTGCTCCTCTTCTAGGGCCACTCAAACTTAGCCATCATAAGATGGCAGCTCAGTCTAGTTAACATAAATTTAAATTACCATTTTTAGTTCATATATTGAACATTGACATTTTGGCAGCTTCAAATACACCCCTGAACAAACAGCTCACACACGAGGCAAAAAATACAAAACAGTAAAAAAAAAAAAAAAGGTGAAAACATGTTCCTTTTGCCAGATCATTGCTGATCGGAAACATCAAAAGACATTTTAATTCTTTTAATTTTATCCTCCCTATACAATACACAGTCTAACAAACAAACCACACCAGTGAATCCAACAAATGAGGTCCTGAGAGTTTAGTGACATCAGTTTCCACCATTTGGTCGTACTTCTGCGTAATTCTTAACCAATTGAGAGATCCTGATCACTTTGATGTCTGCAGATACTTTATCATAATCTGACCACAGGTATTCTGGAGACAGTACTTTGGTTGGTTTGTTGTATAACAAGTACCTGAGTGTAGAAAAGAAAGGCAAGCATACAATTTATGTAATCCTTTACATTAAAAAGTACAATCTGGCTTAACAGCAGCTGACTTTGCCCTAACCCCAGCCCTAATCCTCCATTCTATAAACTGTGCACATAATAGACCAATGAAATGCAAAACTGTTTACAAATGAGGAAATGATGTAAAACATGCCCACCTTATTGCATCTAATAACCTGCAGCCCTAATTTAAAGGAGATCAGTCCTTGCATTTTCATATAGAAACTGTTTTACACGTGGGTTATAGTTAGTGTAATAAATTAGAAAACCTAAAACTTCAAACATAAACTATATTTTTATTTCTTTCTCCCTGCACCCACAGACACACATTATAATAACCCACACCATGACTCCCAACTTGTGAAGTCCTGAGTGTTTGGTGACATCAGTTTCCACCATTTGGTCGTACTTCTGCGTAATTCTTAACCAACTGGGAGATCCTGACCACTTTGATGTCTGAAGGTACTTTATCATAATTTGACCACAGGTATTCTGGAGACAGTACTTTGGTTGGTTTGTTGTATAACAAGTACCTGAGAGTAGAAAAGAAATGACAGATGCACAATTTATGTATTTCTTTAATCTTAGATAGATGATGATGTTGGTAAGTTGTGTAACACTGTACCTGTTAAGGTGACTCTCCTCCTGCCACACAGCTTCAATGTTGTTTTTAGCATCTTCCTGTGACTGTTCGTAGCAGTACCTGATAAAATACCAGAGAGGAAACAGACTAATCACAGCTGCTGGCTGCATTAATAATGACATAAAATAACCATAGTTTTGAAAACAAAGTGTTTTTTTAAGGCCAGAAATATAAATTAGTGTTCCTACTTGACAAGCTTGTACATCTCCTCCAGATATCCACCCCAGACAGCAGCAGTGTAATAGTAGTCTCCTTCACCAGCAGGGATGTAGGCCTTGGACAGCGGCCGACGCTCATAAGGAAAGCTGTCTCTAGCTGTGTTCTAAGTGGGAAATAAAGGACAAAAGAAAAATGGGATGTTTGAATCATTTGGAAGTAGGTTTCTACATAAAAAAATCATAAACATTTTGTGGCGTGCCGCCAAGTAAACCATCACCACCATCATGGTAAAAAAAATCATAACTCCATCCCCAACATCCAGGAACCATCCCGCTCCAGTTTTTCTAAGGAGGATTTGGTCTGCAGTTATCACCAAGCTCCTGTGAAAGATGTCCCCAAAACACCTGTGATCACACCCTTCAGCCTTTCTTAGTTTTTATTCATGCTCTTTGGTCTTAAAGGTGCAGCCCAAACCTTTCAGTGCTTGATAATTTCTTTTTTGCTCTTTGTTTTTGTCTGTTTGGATTACATATTGATCGCCAGCTAATTGTTGAGCAACATTTGGACCGTCTGCACCAGGTTTTTCTGCATTTGATGGAGGATAGTCTGATTATCGAACCACCTAAATGCTAATTAGGATTGGAAGGGATTAACTTTCTGGACCACTGCATTCCTGCCAGAATCGCAATTCCATTGCTTGTTAAAGTACAAGCTTGGTTAAACTTTCCATGACCACATATGGTTAAAGCCTTGCAGAAGTTCATGCTTACAGTGAGGCTAACCCCTTCTTTCCACCGGAGCTGTCAGCAGCACGTTACTGCAGCAGCACGTCTTGCTCGCGTAAGCTGCTGCTTGGCCCTTCCCACGAGACGCGAAGCAGCAGGGGAGCAGCTGTCACCGACAGAGCACGAAGTCACACGAGTGACTTTGTCAGTAAACACAACAGCAAGCAGGAGAAAATTACAACATGGCTCCAAAAGGTTTGCGTTTTATGTTCTGTCCGTTTTATAATCGCCAATACGGACCTGAAAAACAAAGGAGACCGCTAGCTAGGTGATAACTTCTCATGGGGCCGCACAGTTAGTAACTTTTTTTTAAAGTAAAGGAACCGGAAGGCAGTACGTTTCTTTATTCTGAAACTCTCGGGAGCTTCGCTCCATTTCCGCGTCCGATTTCCTGTCTTTCCTTCCCCAAAAATGTTGAACTTGACCCGTTTCAGAGGCGTTGCACGTAGAAAATAGAACCGGCGCGTAAAGGCCGCGACATGCTGCTCCTGAGACGCGGCTGACTCGCACTGCTGCCGGCTCTGGTGGAAAAGGTTCTGTTGACCACAGCGGTTCCTATCAGCAGCTATGACGTGCTGCTGCAGTAACGTGCTGCTGACGGCTCCGGTGGAAAGAAGGGGTAAAGCTGCATTAGCTGGCCCCGCCATGTTTGTCCACTCCTCTCCATCTACTCCACGACTGATGTCCAATGCATTGGATGTGGCAGTGCAGTTGACTGGCCAGCTCGACTACACACCATTTTCGTATTCCTCCTTGAAGGAAGTCTGTTCCCTGCATGTTACATCTCCCTCTGGAGTCTACGAGGTTCTGAGAGGGATGTCCAATATTTAGACTTTTCTGTGATGTTCCAGTGACTAAAGGCAGCTAATTGTACGGTTTTGGAGTGTCACCAGGGTAACTATAGAGCTCCGGACCCCACGTGACTCTCAGTTAGTGGACGCCATTTTGGCATGCAAAAAAGGTAAACAAACACGGATGTAACCATGAACATGAACGGGATCCGCTTGGATTTTACTTCGTCGGAGCTTACTTCACACTTTAAAACAGAAGAAATCGTTTTATATAGTCAGAAATTAAATATACTAAACATGTCCGACCCTTACCGTGCCCCTGGGATACTTTTGAAAAATGCCAGAAGCTGTCGTAGCGGACCTCTTACCGGCACAACACCGGACCTGACCGGGGAACCCCTTGGGATTTACCCGGAGGAGCTGGCTCCGGCGGCTGGGGAGAGGGAAGTCACGCTACTGCCCCCGCAACCCGACTCCGGATACGCGGATGAAAATGGATGGATGGACGGACAAATAAAAGATTTACACGAAAGTAGTCTCGGTGAGACAGATAATAGCAATCCAAAGTGCTTTTTATGTGTGATCTGACAATTGATCAACCATTGCTTAAAAATTAAATACAGCTTAGCCGGTTAATTGCTGTCATCATAAAACACGGAAACGGCAGCACGCAGAAATCACGAGGCAACGTTTTACGTGATGTTTACTTGCTGCCATGAGTAATAAGACAGAAAAAGCCACGCCAAAATAAGTTTAGGAAGCCCACTAAGAATCATAATAAAAGCATTTAAAATAAATACCACACACAGTTGAGGAAACGTTGGTTTAAGTACCTGATATGAAGTGGTCGCTGCATAAGTGAAAACCTTTACTCTCGGGATCCCACAGCTTTATTTTAGCTCAGTCACTAGTGCGTTTTATTACAATGATCCAACGTTTGCGGCGCTCCGGATCTTGGGGAATCCTGTAGATGGCTCATTCCTTATGTTGTCCGTGTCTGTTCTGCATCCTGGGGCACAACAGGAATCTACCATATTTCCCGTTTGATTGAGTTTTCTGACAATAACAAATAGTCCAGCTGCGGGCTTCTGCATGCCAATATGGTGCCGTTTCGATTTGAACTGTTGCATGCTGGGAGAAGTGACGTCAACTCCCGGAGCTCTATACCACCAACAAAATGTTTACACAATGTCCTGACTGGAGTTCTTTCTTCTACATAACTTAAATTACAACCACAGGGGTGAAAACTAAGAGTGGAAGCTATATTACAAAAAAGTTCAGCTCTGGTTGACTTTAGAGCAGGGGTGTCAAACTCAAACTCACATGGGGCCGAAATGAAACTCTGGGACGGACTCGAGGGCCAAACTTAATATTTTTTGAAAAAGTGATGGCAAATTTGCACATTTTCTTTATCAACATATATGCAATTTTGAACCTTTAAATTTGGAAACAAACTTATTTCCGCATTAACACTGAATGTGGAGTAACCAAATTACACACGAGCAAGTCAGTTTAAAAAAAAAGGCATCAGTGGTATTCATTACTTGTGGTATAATCAGCATTTTAAAAATCTATTCAGGATTTATGTTTTCTTGTTTATTCATTTTTCTTATTTTTTATTCTCCTTCTTTTCTCCTGTAATAAGTGTCATCGCTGCTGTGACGTCTAGCTTTCCCCACTGAGGAACAATAAAGGGATTTTCTATTCTATTCATCTATCTGCAGCCTTTCCACTTCCTGTTTACTGTAGGTTAAATCTTTTCTCACGTGCCAACAACAAAATAAAAATATCATTTATCTTAAATGAAAATGCAACAGCTCACCCGTTAACTTTCATGTTTTGGAGCAGAAAAAGAGCATAAAACCAACATATTTAAAACTCAGTTTGTTCCACTGGTTTACTGTGATGCTCACCTGTTCCAGCCAGATACCTGCATCATGGGGTTGATCTGAGCTGAGGAGGAGACTCCTGTTGTTTTGTTCATCTTCATCATAATAATGATAACATTAGATGACAACAGGTGCTCACATAGGTTTGTGCTGATGAACATGTCTGAGCAGCTTGACCACGTTGTTGTGTGTTGGGGAGGAAACACAACCACAGCAGCCACAGAGTCGTGCTGGTTTGAGTGTGTCGCTGTTCACTGGAGTTATATCAGCTCTGTCTGGACGTTAGTTGGAAAACTTTCTCTTTCAGTCGTGAACACATTACTGAGCATCTAGAATCTCCGTTTCTGGGCTTCAATGTCAGAAAACAGCTGAGTAAACTCGGCGCTGAGTGAGAGGAGTGTTTCGTTTGTCCGAGACAGCGGAGCTGCACACCGGCAGCAGGCGCTGGAAAAAACACAAAGGAGGGAGCACGTCGGCTCTGCGCTGACGCTGCAAAGCATCATGGGAGTTGAAGTCTTTGCGGTAAAATCGGCCAGCGGGCCAGTTTTAATATATTTTTGATATTTATCTCGCGGGCCACATAAAAATGCTCCGCGGGCCTTGAGTCTGACATATGTGCTTTAGAGCAGTGGTTCCCAAACTTATTTAGCCGCGCACCCCCTTCTATGTCCCGACCATGTCGACACACCCCCCCAGCCCCCACATCAGGGCATGGCTCTATATATATATATATATATATATATATATATATATATATATATATATATATATATATATATATATATCAGTCGTCATGGGGGTGGGAACATCATGCTTTGGGGCTGTTTTTCTGCTAAGGGGACAGGACGACTGATCCGTGTTAAGGACAGAATGAATGGGGCCATGTTTCGTGAGATTCTGAGCCAAAACCTCCTTCCATCAGTGAGAGCTTTGAAGATGAAACGTGGCTGGGTCTTCCAACACGACAATGATCCCAAACACACCGCTCGGGCAACAAAGGAGTGGCTCCGTAAGAAGCATTTGAAAGTCCTGGAGTGGCCTAGCCAGTCTCCAGACCTCAACCCCATAGAAAATCTGCGGAGGGAGTTGAAAGTCCGTGTTGCTCGGCGACAGCCCCAAAACATCACTGCTCTCGAGAAGATCTGCATGGAGGAATGGGCCAAAATACCAGCTACTGTGTGTGCAAACCTGGTAAAGACCTCTGTTATTGTCAACAAAGGTTATGTTACAAAGTATTGAGTTGAATTTATGTTATTGACCAAATACTTATTTTCCACCCTGATTTACAAATAAATTCTTTAAAAATCCTGCCATGTGAATTCAAGAATTTTTTTTCACATTCTGTCTCTCACAGTTGAAGTGTACCTATGATGTAAATTACTGAACTCTGTCATCATTTTAAGTGGGAGAACTTGCACAATCGGTGGCTGACTAAATACTTTTTTGCCCCACTGTACCCATGAGGTTCACTTTTGCCTCAGACCGACTTTTTGCTGTTTTATGGTGTGGCTGAATCTGCGATCCGCTGCCATGCAGACTGGAATAACAAATGCAGCAGTAACATGATTTATGGTCAGGGTCGGAGCGGACCCGACTTTAATACGTCATCTAATATCTTAATTTGACCTGGAATGAAAAATGTTATAAAACCTCTTAAAAGTTTTTATCACGGAGGAGGCAGCGCTCATTTCTGTCTTCAGTCTGACGGCGCGCCGGAGTTTGCGCAGCGTGCATGCTTACTGAATCTGTGTGTGTGTGTGTGTGTGTGTGTGTGTGTGTGTGCGCGCGGCACAGCTCCATGAGCCGCTCAAGTCACTGCGTCTCGTTACTGGCACTATTTAAACCAATGTTGTAAAATTACTTCTGCCCAGCCCAGATGTGCTCACTTGTGCACCCGTGAGCCGTGGTTCTGCTGGAACGCGTGTGACCTCTGACAGACGCACTCTGAATTTCAGATCTTCGGCACGCTGTTAATAGCCTAAATGGGAATCATTTCTTGATTTATTTTGTTACATCCACAATGTTCTGTGTGTGAGGTTTACAATGTCAGAACACCTGCATGAGACAGGGTGTTCATTACAATCTGCCAGAATGACTCGCCACCTTCAGATTCCTCCAACACCGATAAAAATGATCAAATACGGAACATATCGGCGTGCGCAGGCCAGAGAGCTGAAGCTCGGCGCATTGTTATTATGAAGCTAGGGCACATGCGGAGGACAGGCACACGCGCAAAAATATACTTGCTTTTAATTACATTTATTGTGCCCACTTACTTTTTTTTTAGGCCCACCCACAAATGAGTTTCTGGCTACGCTAATGGTGACATATGACAGACTTCTCTGAGCTCCGCAGCCATTACACTTTTCACCTCGCGCACCCCCTAGCGGCAGCTCGCGCACCCCCTAGCGGCAGCTCGCGCACCCCCTAGCGGCACCACACTTTGGGAATCCCTGCTTTAGAGCATCCAAAATGGTCAAAGGGTTAAATAAAAGGAAACTAGTTCCTTTAAAATCTTACCCAAGCTCATGTCTAAAATAAACAAAGTTAAAGGCCTGAAAATAAAGGCCTTTAAGGACTCTGATGGTAACTAAGGGCTTAACTCAAAATGATGCTTTTCTAAAAAGAGTAAACAATAAGCCACAACATGTAAAGGAAAGGGCTCTCCTTAATAGAGCAAGAGGGTAGAGTTAGCTTAAACCCAAACAACCAAAGGCCAGTGCTCTCCTCTTAAAACAGATACAAACAAAAGAACCACAAAACAGGCTCCCAGCTTTAAGAGATTTAAACAAACTGAAGTGCCTTGGGACAGGAGCTTGAAATCCTAAAGAGCACAAGAGCTCGAATGTCTTAAAGAGCTAATTAATCAAAGTTGCAAATTACTCCAAAGAGACAAAAGGAAGGCAGCTAGTTTAACAAAGTCTCCAAATACTCAAAAAGCGACTAATCCAACACCTGAGCTCTCTCCCTGACTGAACCATCTCAACCAACTCCTCTCTCTGAATGAGAGTTCAGCAGCTCCTTAAGTAGCAGCTGCAGCTGATAAGCTTGATGGGGAGCCGCTGGGAGGAGCCTTCAGCAGGCTTCACTGCATGGAGCTGAACCTGACAGGAAAATAACAGGTACTAGTACAGAGCTGAACAGCAGCAATATGGTAAGAAGCCAGGAAGGTGTGAGGGTTTACCCCTGGGGTTGTAGCACTGCGTACATCGATCAGAACCCTGGTCTGCATGCCAGCAGTGAACTGCAGTTTTGGAGTTTATGATGGACATTCAGTATATGGCTGCAAGTGCATTGTGGTGGGTGACTGTCATGCACTTTGATCTTTCCAGTTTATGTTTGCATCGATTTTGCAGCTATGGCAGCTGACCAGCACAGACATTTGCTAGCTCCAGAGTGACTAGGCCCATGGGCCTGACGTTGGGAGAAAGCCAATACAGAAGAGTCAGACCTTGATCTGTGATATTCGGGGTTGCCCTCGCCCCCTGATCCCAGCTTTGTGGCAACGCTTTGTATTTGACTCCCCACATTCCCCGTCCCACCCCAGGGTTAGGGCCTTAGTCGAGCTGGTTGGGTCTTTGCATTTATGTTGCCCATCCAAGTAAAGGATGTGAACGAACCAAAGTCCTCTGTCGTCATTGTATTCCTCCACAGTATTACCCAGTGCAGCTAGCTTCCTGAACAACCTTTAGTCAGAGAAATAAAACATATTGCAAGGACTGATGAGCTTCCAGCTGATCCACATAGAGCTGAGACCAAAGTGGGTAGCTGCCTTCTTTTATATAGATTTTTATGATTAGTTTTTTAACTTTAGTTTTCTTGGTTTTAAAGAATTACACTTCCAATGAGAATTTTAAACACTTAACAGTCCTTGTTGTGTGTCACTAAAAGACATTACATACAGTGGGTCCTTGCTATAATACGGTTCACCTTTCATGGCACTTTTACGGATGTTTGTGTGAAATTTTGTGTTTTGTTGTTGTTGTTTTTACAGCGCATTGTTCTGTTTTGTACAAAATGAAGCTGACTACTTTGCGGATGTCACCTATTGCAGGTTATTTTTAGAACGAAACTCCCGTGATAAACGAGGGACCACTGTATTTCCATAAGTGTGACTCACACAGCCCTGTACTGGTTGCTACGGTCTTGATACAGATTCAACAATGCATCCCACTTGTGATTGGGCCTCATACTAGCCGTTAGCTTATCAGTCCTGTTGGAAGAAACCTTTCACTCTTAAAATACTACAGTGCATAAAATATTATTCTAATGATTTATAACTTTTGTACAGAAACACTAAAACATGGCCAAAATAGCCTTTTAGCTCATCTCCACAAGGGAGAACAATGATGTGATGATTAGATAAGAAGGTGTTTATTTGTAAAATTTGACCACAGTACTAAGTAAAGCAGATTAGATTTAAAGAGCAACAAGAAGTGGGAAATGTATTCTACCATTTTAAGGTTTTTGTTAATTTAAAGTGATTTTGATTGAAGGGTAGAATAAAGGTGAAACCTTGTAGTATCCTCGGTGGAGTACAGCTGACAGACGGCTGAGAGACTCTGCTCCAAACCTGTTGTAGAAAACACTGTCGATGTCCATCATGAAAAGATAATCTGCCTCATCACGGATCTGAAACCATGGTTAAGGTGAAATAAATACAGGTAAATAGACTAAAACAGAAACTTCCTCAGATTATTCTGAGTGTAGACAGCATCTACCTGTTGTTCAATGGCGACGGTGGCCCACTTCATCCGACCAAGAACAACGTCCTGCCACCGGCTGGCAGGAGGGACCGATAGGATTGTGATGTTTCTGCCTGTACCCATTTCAATCTGAAAGTCATAGAAATCACAAATAACATCCTCATTTAGTATTTAACAAGAAATTCTGTTTTAATTTTTGAAATGCACAGCAAGTAAATGCACTATATGTGCCAAAAGGTGGTGTGTTTTCCTTACCAGGGACAAAGTCCTAACAGAACTCCAATAATTTGATTTAATCAGTGTGTTGCATGAAACTCAGTGGAGCTGGAAATTATTATTTTTAAAGAAGGTGAATATAAAAAATCTCTGATGAATTTGCTGAAGGAAAAGGGTCGAATTCCTTCTCCAGGTCAGGGACAAGGTCCTGCGTCAAGTGGAAGAGTTTAAGTATCTCAGGGTCTTGTTCACAAGTGAGGGAAAGATGGAGAGTGAGATCAACAGGTGGATTGGTGCTGCGTCTGCAGTACTGCGGGTGTTGTACTGGTCTGGCGTGGTGAAGAGAGGCGTGTATTTGAGCCGGCCAATCAGTCGTAGTGGTCGTGTTTGCCTGGCCCTGAGCAGACCAATAGAGGATAAGGGTCGAAAAAATGCCTGGTAGGACAGTGAAAAGTACCAGGCCACCCAGGTATGAAAACAATACGGCAATTCGGGCAGGGCCAAGCGGTACCAGATGTGAAACCCCTATGTATGTCTCTCTGCTGGCCAGGGAGCACTTTGGGATTCACCTGAAGGAGCTGGCCCAGGTGGCTGAGGAGAGCAAAGTCTGGGCCTTTCTGCTTAGTTTGCTAACTCACAACCTGACCCTGGATAAGCGTTTCACGAGTGAGGGAAAAATGGAGAGTGAGATCGATTGGTGCTGCGTCTGCAGTGATGGGGGCGTTGTACCGATCTGTGGTGGTGAAGAAAGGGCTGAGCCAGAAGGCAAAGCTCTCGATTTACCGGTTATCTACGTTCCTACCCTCACCTATGGTCACAAGCTTTGGATAGTGACCGAAAGAACGAGTTTGCGTATATAAGCGGCCAAATTGAGTTTTCTCACATGTTCCCTCTCCTACATTAGTTGGTGATCCAGTGAATTAAAACATTAGGAATCCTAGTATTTTAACTCACAGCTTCACCAGTGTGTTTTTCCTGTTTGTGAGACGAACCCCTCCTCCATAACCAGGTTACTGGTACGGAAGCCTGGAAAAGCCAAAATTCCTCAAACGTTTTTTGTCCCTACTGGCTGATATGAATTATTATAATAGAATAGAGTAAATGTTATTAGTCCCACAGTGGGGACATCCACTCATTACAGCAGCACACACACTTAGAGACACAGATTACAGGTAAAACTGATTCCAGCCATGTTTGCTTTGATAACTTCAATAACTTCATGCTAATGACCCACATGAACATAATCCTCTGTTTAGTGGATGCAACTATGAAGTTAGCTTAACATGATAGATGTTTTTTCTTGGAAGGAAAATAACTAACTAACTAGCTAACCCTAAAAAGTCCGTGGGGTTAATGTGTGACTACATTGATCTCTATCTGTATGTTCACTAGCCCCCTACCCACATTACGCCCAACATTTAACCCTCACCCTTAATTTCCACCTCTAACCCTAAGATCGGTGGATCTAAGGCATTAGTCTCTATTGGTATGTACCTGGTCTCCTACCCATTTTGGGCTTTAAAATCTAACCCTCACCCTAGAGTCCTACCTCTAACCCTAAAGTTCGTGGCTCTAATACATTAGTCTCTAGCTCTAGGTGACTAGTCCCTTACCTATCTTGAGCCGAAAGGCTAACCCTCACCCTAGGATTCCAGTTCTAATCCTAAGATCCTTTAGTCTAATGCGTCATTACATGTGGTTTTATCGTTAAGTTTAATAAGCTCCTACACTCTCTACACTTAACATTTAAATCCTCATCTTAAGATAGTTTGTTATAAAGGTATTTGGCACCACACTAGAAACCATTCTCTTTCGGATCTCATCTCTTTGCCTCTCCCCTTCCCTCTCTCATACACTTTGGATTTGAAATTGGGTGGACCATGGTCAGCCGATTCCGGCTCGGATGTGGTTGACATTACACCATGACACCATATCTGGTACCTGTTCCGGGCCAGTTTTTGTTCCAACCTAGTTTTTTTCTTTATTCTTCTTTATTTATTCTAATTTTTTCTACTTCTTAGTGTTCCTTTATTCTGTCCTTTACTTTTTCCCTACTCTGCTGTTTTACTCTTTATTGATACGAACCAACGATTGGGGAGGGGTTCCAGAGTGACACGCGACGGCCCGTGCATTGCCAGTGACTCCCCATTCAAACTGTTTTGGTTAATTTACCAATTCAGGGGGAACTCACTGAGATTTATCTACTCCATCTACTCCCTCTAACTAACTAAATAACTAACTAATAACAACAGGAGGCATCTGGTCATGATGCCTCCTGGACGCCTCCCTGGTGAGGTTTTCCGGGCATGTCCAAATGGGAGGAGGCCTAAAGGTAGACCCAGGACACGGTGGAGGGGCTATGTCTCTCACCTGGCCAGGGAACACCTTGGGATTCCCCCGGAGGAGCTGGCCCAAGTGGCTGGGGAGAGGGAAGTCTGGGCCTCTCGACTTAGGCTACTGCCCCTGCGACCCGACTCCGGATAGGTGGATAAAAATGGATGGACGGATGGAAATAATAACTGGTAATATTATGAATGACATGATATTGCCCACCCCTAGATAGAATAAAAAAAATTACATTAATTATAATTAAAAGTTCCTGTGTGACATTTGTGACATGGAGCTGTAACTCTTCACTGCTGACAGACAGACAGACAGACAGACAGACAGACAGACAGACAGACAGACAGACAGACAGACAGGCAGGCAGACAGACAGACAGACAGACAGACAGACAGACAGACAGACAGACAGACAGACAGACAGACAGACAGATAGATAGATAGATAGATAGATAGATAGATAGATAATGTGAAGAAGTTCAGGAAAGTTGGATGTTAAATTGTCCTCACGAAAAGAAAATTTGTATTAAACAAAGGTCAGTTCCCTCTGTAAAGTCAGAGGTACGGAAGATGATTAGGGCCAGTGAAAAGAAAAAAAAAGAAAAGAAAAGAAAGAGAATTCTGACTTTTTTCCCTGAATTCCCTGAACGGTCGGCGAATAGTCCGCTCCCAACCCCATGACCCCATCTCACTCTTTGAAATGTTCAAAGGTTGGCAGCCCTGAGGGTTCAGTGTTAGATATCTTCCTTTCAGAATAAGCCAATGTGACAAAAAAACAACGTTTTTTCCCCCCAGCATGGCTTCGTCTTACCCACTCAGCAATGGCACCACACCTATATGAAAACCGCCATGTAGAACTGAATCATATAGGGCATTTTTAAGACAGGAAAACATTATTTTAGAAAGTATCTGACTGCTCAGTTCTGGTAAAACTTGTTCTCGTTTTGGGTTTTAGCAAGATGTTTGTCAAGGTAAATACTGAATTTAGTGATGATGACTCATTTGTTTAATCTTAGAGTTTTTTTCCTCCTATAGAATGAATAGTTAAATATTTACTTTGTAAATGGTGTTTCATTTTGGAAGTCATATTTTGTACAAATTTTGATAGTTAAATATTAGTGATGGAGGAGGTGCTCATTTAGAAAACAGAATATTACTTCCTGGTTGTTATCAGTTCAAACTGGTTGCATCGAAATCGTGCTCTGGTTCAAGTCCTGGAGAATTGGGTTTTCCTTAAGTCATGTGACAAATGTTCTCTTTTTTCTCAGGATCTTGGAGTTTTGTTCACAAGTGAAGGAAAAAAGGAGCGTGAAACCGACATGCAGATTGGTGCTGCATCTGCACTGATGCAGGCATTGTACCAATCTGTTGTGGTGAAGGGAGAGCCGAGCCGGAAGACAAAGCTCTCGATTTACCGATCGATCTGCGTTTACCCTCACCTATGGTCACGAGCTTTGGATAGTGACCAAAAGAACGAGATCACGAATACAAGTGTCCGAAATGAGTTTTCTCCGCAGAGTGGCTGGGCTCTCCCTTAGAGATAGGGTGAGAAGCCTGGTCATCCGAGAGGGGCTCGGAGTAGATCCGCTGCTCCTCCACATCGAGAGGAGACAGTTGAGGTGGCTCAGGCATCTGGTCAGGTTGCCTCCTGGACACCTCCCTGGTGAGGTTTTCTGGGCACGTCCAACTGGGAGGAGACCCAAGGGAAGATCCAGGATACATTGGAGGGACTATGTGTCTCGTCTGGCCAGGGAACGCCTTGGGATTCCTCCGAAGGAGCTGGCCCAAGTAGCTGGGGAGAGGGATCTCTGGGCCTATCGGCTTAGGCTGCTGCCCCTACGACCCCGACTCCGGATAAGCGAATAAAAATGGATGGATGGATGGATGTGCCCTTTTTTATTTCGTGATTATAAAGCGGCATGACATTGATTGCAGTACAGAGTAACTAGACTTTTGAATAGAAGGATTTATGAGCTGGCTTTGAGTAGACTCAGTATTTATTTTAACTTGATTTTATCTTTGTTTTGTATCTTATTTTAATCTAATATTTTTAGTGTTTTATTTTAAAGCTGCTATAGCAAATTTACAGAACGAGCTAGGTTTTGAATACAAACACGGTCACTGAACACTCACCCCTCTCCTCAAGTTTCTTACCTGAGATGCTTTACACTTCTGCTGGAACCAGAAACCCGCGATGCCAGAGCAAACGAGAGTGCGCTAAACACCAGTCGCTGTATTCCACCCCAAACGTCTTTTGTTGTCCGTGACTTCAAATGGTAATGTCTTTATGGGACTCTGGTAGTTTGTCCTAAAGTTGAAGTGGTAGCAGCTGACTGTTTCTCCTTCTTTGATATTACTGAGCGGAGAACCTCACACACCAGTGGTGTTGTTGCAAAATACACGAGTACGTGATGAGTGGGGGATCCAGGGATGTGCTGCGGTTTGGCCAGACAAACTGGATGGTCCAATGGTTACCTTTGTTCAGAAAGCTACTATTGTTAGAGGTTTTTAGACATATGTGAGAGAAGTACTTCATTTTTTATAATATATTTAGCCATACTATGTTAGAATAATGTTAAGAGGTATGAAACAAAATGTTTTAAGCAAATTTATTTTCCCAACTGGCAATTGTAGCCATTTCCCCACCTTAATCTTTGCACTTTGTGTCATGTTCTGTGTCCCTCTGTCCCCAGCCTCCTCCTGTTCTCCTCCAGGTTCTCCTGCTTAGTTCTTTCCCCATTTAGTTCATTGAATGCACCTGCCTTCCCTCCAGATCACTCACACCTGTCACCTGTTCCTCTGATCTCCTCCCTCTGTGTTTAAAAGCCGTCTTGTCCCCCCGGAAATGGTCGGTCCATTGTTGTCAGTCAGCGTTGTTATGTTCCCTCGTCAGATTCTAGTCTTTGTGCTCATTATTCAGCTTATTATTTATTTATTTTTTTGTCTTTCAGTTTTCTGGATTTGATTCCTTCATCTAAGTTATTTTTGTTGCCACCTTAATAAAATAATTTTACCTTTTTTCAACTGCTCTTGCCTCGAGTCATTCTGGGCGTCTGCGTTTTGGGCCCTACCTCCTCCTGCTCAGCGTGACACTTTGATCAGCAACAGCTTTTGTAAATGTGCTATAAAAAACTGCCCTTAAGTCATCCACTATGTGCACCACACCTGTTCACCTGTGCAGCAATAAAGCTCTTATCATCTGTGATGTCTGAAACTTATAAAGGAAATCAAATACAATAAAAACCTGTTTAACCTCTCTTACCAGTGCAAGGTCCCGGCAGGCTTTTCTGATTCTCTCAGTTGCTCATTTCATGTTTTAGTCGGTAAAATAAATTAACTATGAGATTAATTATTTACAAATTAGAACATCATTTTTTGATCATGCTTTAAATACTTATTCTGAACCACATGATTTCACAACAAATCGACCATCTTTGATCAGTTTTCTTGAAATAATCTTTTTATGGTCTAATTTTATGTAACAAAACACATCACTATAAGTGTTAATACACACCAAACAAGCTATTTCTAACCCAAAACATGTTCCCCATTGTGAAGGAAAGTGTTGCTTTGAAGTAAATTTGATATTTTTCAGTTTCAAAATTTATACTTTTTAAAACCACTTTTAGAGACCAGCGTGCTGCAGCTATGGGTCTAATCTATAAAAATGGTTGACTGACAATGCAAAAGTTTAGCATCTTTTGAAAAATATCTCTAATTGAACTGTTCTGACTGTCAAACGTATTTATAGAAATCAAATTATGAAAAATCCTCTTAGTAACATGATTCAAATATAAAGACAGAAACTTCAAAAGGAAACTTAAAGTTTTTGAACTTGAATTAAATTTAGCGACTTCTTAAGAAAATGGAACTGGGAGTTAGAAAAATGTAGAAAGTGTTTTATGTAAAAAAGTAACTGAGCAGAGCTTATTTAGCTTATAGTTAACAAGCAGCAGCCACTTTATCCCTGTCGACAAACAGAAGAGAGTAGAAAACACCCAACTGGTTGTATATTTGTTGTAGGATTAGGTTTATTATTCATTTAATTAGTTAATGATTTTGCATGTTAATTTGTTTTGTGGTGTGTTGTGATATAAATTGTAGGTATGTCTTCCTTTATTAAAAAAACGAACAATATCCATTTTGTTTATGGTCAAAATCTATCAGTACTTCCTACAATGGAAGAATAATACAAAACTCTATTTTTTCCGTATATGTTCCCAAATAAACAATGATCAACTCTGCAAAGAACAAAATTAAAGTTAATTAAAAAAAACTCACCTCAGGAACTTCTTTCTCATTGTCTGTGAAAATATAGTAAGTTACTCTGAAGCCAACAAAGAAGAACTTTTCACCCGTCTCAAGAAAGCCCTTCAGAAAACGTGTGTATCTGTTCAGAAAAGATGGAGATAAGCAGAGAGAACAACAAATTAACAAAAGAGGGGAAGTAAACAGCCGCTAGTATTCAGGACAGCTAATGGAGGTATATAAGTTCTGTGGACATACTTGCCAACAGCAAAAACCACCACAGCTATTCTTGGGTCCATTTTCTTGTAGATCGCATCAATGACCACTGGATCAAAGGTCCCTTCCCAGACCAAAGGAACATTCCAGTTTGTCACTGAGTTCACATCAGTGCGACTTGGAAAACAATCAAATATAAAAATCATTATATCATTCAAAATTTATGAAAAGACCCTCTGTCATTCGGACTTCCTCATCCTGAGGGCCTAAAATCTGGATTTGTTTTCTAAAATGTTCCCTAAGTTTTGAGTCAATCATGTTTTTTTGTTTGCAAGTCTTCTTAGGCCCTGTCCACACGTAGTCGGGGATCTGCCAAAACGTAGATATTTTTCTACGTTTTGGCCTGTCATCCACACAAAAACGGATCTTTTTAAAAACTCCGGCAAAAGTGAAGATCTGCGTTTTCTCCGTTTTGGGTGTCTGCATGTGGACAGACAAAACCGGAGTTTTAAGGTTCGCAACGTCACTTTCCGCGACAAAAAAATGCTGACATCACGTGTGCGACCTGTGTTTACACTAGCCGACAGCATGGATGCCCTCAGAGCTGCGCTCGCTTTATCAATTGTCCAAGCGCTTTTTGCTTGTTTGTTTTTGCAAACGGAATTACTGCTCCTTGCGGAAGACCACAGACGAAGGACGAGGTTAAGAACGGGAGAAGTACTGCCACCTACAGGTCTGGCATGTCCTTAACAATGTATTTATCCGGGTACGTGTGGACAGAGTTTTTTTTTAAACGAGGTGGTGTGGATGCAAGTTTTTTTATTCGTTTTTTTAAAGACCCGGCTACGTGTGGACTAGGCCTTATTTATGTGACTGAAGGTTTTCTGTATTATCTCCACAGGACTGTTTACGTAGAAAAATGTATTTTCTACTTATTTAGCTTCCTGTGTCACTGTTCATTGTCTGACCATATGCCAAGTCCTTCAGTTCCTTAACTGACACCTTTTGCTACAGACCCGAGTTTTTACTTCTATAATTTTATAGTACTTTTTCTTACAGTCTGACGTTTAGAAACAACATTTTAGATGTTTGCCAAAGTCAGTAGTTTCAAAGAAACTGAAATGTTGCTTACCCCTGCTGTGTGCTTGGCTGGGCATATTTGACCCTGGAGAAGAAAAACAGTGAGATTTGACCCATTTTTTACCCACTCAGCACATTCTCAACTTATCCAAAAGATCACATGTTCATTCATCAGGGCTTCAAGTTATAATTGTAGCTTTTTGTTTTTTAATCAGGATTGAGATTTAACATTTTATAGGAACAGCACAAAAATAAAACAATATCATCAACATTTTAAGTGTAATCCCAACAATCACAATCTATCCTGTGTAGGTTTGAACGTCCCTACATGGACTTGAGACTACCACTGGCCATCCACCAAACCAGTCATGCTGAACAATGTTACAGGCAGCAGAACATTCACCACAGCTTCTCCAGACCCTTTGACGCCTATCACAAAATCTCAGAGTGAATTCTGGAGCTTTCTGGCAAATGCGACACAAGCTCCACCACGGTGCTGGGTAATTAGAACAGGGTCATCTTCATGGAATCTGTTTCTACTTGTTTTGGTCAAAGACATTCATCCAATTTGTCCAATGGAGGTTTTCATTATCGCGCTCTGGCAGTACCCATCCTACTCCTCCTTGAACAAATGAGCAGATCCCAGTGGGTTAAATCCTGATAGGATAAAGGCCTTTAATGGCTCTGTCCAGCTCTCCTATCAAGTAACTCTATACTGAAATATCATCCATGCTTAAGAGCAAGGGTTACCAAACTTTTTAGCTTCAGCAAGACGTGTGACCCCAGATTTTTCCGAGGAAACACCATTTGAAGTCACGAACAACAAAAGACATTTGGACCAAGAAAACGGCGACTGATGTTTAGCACTATCTCATCTTCTCTGGCATCACGGGTTTCCGGTTCCAGCAGAAGCGTCTCAGGGAAGATACCCGAGGAGAGGGGTGAGTTATATGTGACCGTGTTTGCATTTGAAAACTAGCTTGTTTGCAGATTTGCTTTAGCAGCTTTAAAAAGATAAATAATTCTGGGCATAAAGAAAACAGCTTAAGCTCGTATTCACATATCAATTTATAACTCTTTTGCTAGAAATAGAGCTTTTAGTTTTATTTCTGGAACTCAAGACCCCGTTGTAGTTCCGACCCCAACTTTGGGAATCGCTGTTGGGAAACACGGCAAACCTGGCGATGCCATCTCGGTGGAGTAGAACTGCCTGTGTCCAGCTGTCTCAGGCTACCAGTAGTAACTCTGGCCTGATATCAAATGCAAAACTACTGAAAAAAAGTCAAAGCAATCTGCAAGGGTAAAACATGTCTGTCCTCCACCTACAAACCCTTTCCTGTTTTTGGGGTTGTCACATTGTCTCCCCTTTTTGCACCTGTTGTTTATTTTATAATCACCCAAAAAACTGACACTAACGAACACTCTCCTCAGCTACTTAACCGATTTGATCCCATATTATGATTGAATCCCATCCTTTTGTCTCTTTTGTATTAATGACAGAATGTGTTTCTCAAAATTTGCCCTCAGCAGTAATTTGTAATTTTCTTTGCTCAAATCCAGTAATGTCAAAATCATTATCTGCTGATAGATTTGTGAGTGAATAAAACAGAGAACTTAGTTTGCCAGAGCATTCAAATGCACATTCAAATTTGATTCCATTTGCCTCCTGATTCAACATGCACCATGTGTCACCGTGCAATATAAAAACAGCTGTGAAGCCTTGAGCTCCATCACACTGGAGCCCATTCTTAGATCTCTACACTGGTTACCAGTAAACTACAGAATAGACTTCAAAGTGCTCCTACTAGTTTATAAATCACTCAGTAGCATGGGACCAAAATACAAGTTCGATCTCATTCCTGTATATTCATCCAATAGGGCTCTGAGACTCCTTGGAAACTATCAGCTGGTAGAACCACGGGTCAGAACAAAACATGGTGGAGATGCATTTAGTTACTACGCTGCTCACATATGGAATCAGCTTCCCCTGTAACTCTGTCTTCTCCTTTAGCTCTAAACTGTAATTCCATTTGTTTGTATTTTAATTTGTGTTTTTATGTTGCTTTCATATGTCCTGATAATTGTAAAGCACATTGAATTGCCTCTGTGTTTGAAATGTGCTTTACAAATAAAGCTGCCTTGCCTTGCCATTACATCCTGAAAAAAAGTCCATAGCTGATATCTTCACTGGTATAATAGCTTAGATCCTTATAAATTCAATGCTTTTTATCAATTAAATGTGTTTTGTTTTGTAAATCCATCAGACATGGCATTGTATTGAATCACAAAATGTACTGCAAGATTAAAGTTGAAAAAGCATCCTGTCATGATCCTTGTGTGTGGAGGAGGAGGAGGAGGAGGAGGAGGAGGAGGAGGAGAGAGAGAGATATACTTGGTTGTAGAAACATGGAGTGACTTAACTTGTAATTTAGGTTAGTTTAGGTTAGGATTAGGCATAGTAGAGCCACTGAAATGAATGGAAGTCCACAAAAGGATATAAGTACGTGTGTGTGTGTGCGTGCGTGCGTGCGTGCGTGTGTGTGTGTGTGTGTGTCCTTTTCCTCAGTATTTCTCTTGTAACGGACACACCTGGCACTCATTATCTCATCTCACTCTGAGGATTTATGAGCTCCAGGACAACCACTCCTTGCCAGGGTGGCTAACATTGTCAAATAACTGCCAGCCAGTGGTTTTTGTAACTCTCCACTGTTCTAGTTATCTTACTGTTACACCATGTTTCCAGGTTACAACTTGTCACCACCTCTCAAGTTCTCAGCTATTAATCTTCTGTGACAACGGTCCATCGTGGAATCAGTCTTCTCCACAGCTTTCCTCTGAAACTTTGTGATCCTCATATCTCCACCTGCCTGCCCGTTAGTGGCACCTCCATCCTCCACTGAGCCCTGTCATTGGATCCAGAGGACAACTGTGGAGATGTCTTGGTTCCAGGATGGAGCGTTGAGACAGCAGATTATGAGCTGAGGACTTGAGACGGCGCAAAAATTTGGAACCCTAGGGTCACAAAAACACCTCGGGGTCAAAAATATTAGAGGTTAACAGGCTGGAGGCTAACAGATAAGGTCAGCTTTTCAGTGGGGAGTGGTTGTCCTTTGGCTCCTTAAATTCTCAGGATCAGATGGAATACTTGATGCTAGGTGTAGACCGCTGCCCAGGAAAGGGAACGCCTACCTTCGGAGATACTCAGGAAAAATAAACACATGCTGTCTTACCACAAGCAGGATCATGACACATCATTATAATTAATAACTGTATAATTTTTGTTTATTAACCGAGATTTTTCTTTTACATCACAAGCAGTCATCTGTTGTTTAAAACATATCAAAATTCAATGAAATGTAAAAGTGGCGTCTCACCCAGGCATCATCACCAGGTCACTGATCTCCCACTTGCCTTCGACCTTGCAGTGCCCAAGCTCTTCTTTTTCATTTAGTTCCAAATCAGTGGAAGGACAGATCTGGTAGATGCTTCAAGGAAATAAAGATTTTAAAATCACACATGATGGATTATAAGGTTTGTGAAATGACAAGACATGGAAAGGATCAGTGAACATTCCTTAGATTGTTAGTTGTAATAAATTCTTCCATTGTGCTGCAGAAACCTGAGCTCCTCTTACCGGAAAGGTGGAAGGCGATCTTTCATGTACATGTAGATTCCCCTGTGAGGACACACAGATGCCGGCTCATCAGGTCAGTAAGATTTACATGTGGGTTTCAGGACATTAACATAGAAGAAGAATTTTCATAATCGAAACTAGTTTGTAAAACGTAGTCAAACGTTTTCAGAAGTTTTGTAGACTTACAAATTGAGGTCAGGTAATCTGTAATCTATGAAATCAGGGAAGAATCTACCTGCAATTCAGGATATGTGGCAGGGTTATGGTACATGCGCTCATGAAGTCAAAGAACATTTTGAAACTGGGGTTTTAAAGCAGTGCTTTTTTTTCTTTCGTTCTACTTCACCAGCAACTTTTCCAGTTTTACAAATGCCATATATTTGGCAACATCTGTTGATATTAGTTCTCTCTGAGTTACGACCAATCAGCACGAGTTAACCACAAGTCCTTCCCAGTGAGGGCCATTTCTGAGTCCATACCCCAATGGAGGTACTCGATTAGTCCCTAAAGTCCCTTCCACACTAGGGCCAGCTCCACTCTGCACAGTCAGCCGCAGTCTGGTTGGGTTGATCACACACATCCTTCCACACATTCTTAGTAATGTGGATGTGACTGAGCATATGGGCAAAAAGTTGGTGTTAAGATATTAGCGATGTTGTGAGTGCATCTCCGAGCAGATGGGCGGGGCAACAGATGCCCAGAGAAGTCAGCGGTGTTTCCCTTAAATTAAACAAAGGCGGTCGTGAGCATTGTTGTTTTGGGAGACTCTGACTCTGATATTGAATCCTGCTTTTCTGTGTTTGTCCTGGCACAGCTCAAGCCTGGCAGCGCTCTGTGTGTGTGTGTGTGTGTGTGTGTGTGTGTATGTGTGTGTGTGTGTGTGTGTGTGTGTGTGTGTGTGTGTGTGTGTGTGTGTGTGTGTGTGTGTGTGTGTGTGTGTGTGCGTGCTTCTCAAAGAGAGACTGAGATGGCTTCAGTCAGAAGCTTGTTTCCACCACAGTATCCAGATTGACAATGAATCGTGCTTGCAGGAAGTCCCCGCTGGCTGATTCTATCTGCCAGTCAGAGGATCTCCCTAATGGTAGGTGTGAATTTGAGTCAGCTAATCAGTTGGTTGTAGGTTTGGACCAGTTCAGTCCAAAACAGACTCTTGGGAAGAGGGATGAAAAAACAACAACGAAAATAATCCAGGCTATGTGAATGTGAACCCTTCCTACCCAGTCTAGGCAGAGTGGAGCCAGTGCTAGTGTAGAAGCCCTAAAAATGGTCCATAAAAAATAGAATAGAACAGAACAGAACAGAATAGAATAGACTAGAATAGAATAGAATAGAATAGCCATTACTTTCGTTTTACAGGGTACAGCGAAACTGGTGTGCCACTCCCTTTGGTGCAAAATGTAAAAGAATACAAAAAATCATCACAATAATAATAATAATAAAAATAAAAGAAAACAAAAATAATAATAATAATACAGAAATAACATAAATGTAGATTTGTATCTGGAAATTAAAAGTTAATTTTTAGTCATTTTGACGTAAATACTTGGCCTTTGGGTAAGTTACAACACGCTGGTGGGGATGAGCTACGATGTAGCCACAGCTACCTTGGGGTGCACTGACGGAGGACTATTTCTCTGTCCTGTCTCTGTCTATTATCTTTCTGCAACACCTGCCAAAACTGGCTCCACTGGTCCCTCCAACCTCCTGACAGAAAAAGTTTGTTAACAGGCAAAGCAGGTTAAGTGTCTTGCCCGAGGACACAACAGCAGAATTCTCTAGTTGAAACCAGGATCAAGTTTGACAAGTAATTAAAATTGCACCCACATTTTCTAAGTTAGCACACATTTCTTTCAACAATGATAGTTTTTGCATCTTTACTGTCCCTCTGCTTCAGCCCTCTCCCTCTCTCCCTCCACAGCAGTCACACACTCACTGGTGCACCTGCAGCCTCTCAGAGTTCCTGCTGATCTAAACATTGAAGGAATAATTTCCTTTTCTGTTTCTCACTTCTGATTACCTTCAATGGTGTCTGTTTGTTGCAACCACCTGGTACAAAAATACACTTGTTTTATTTGACTATTTTTCTGTCCTGTCTAGTCTGTCTATTATCTTCCTGCATCTCCTCTCAATCCTTAATAAAAACTGCTACCTGGCTTCAGATATATTCACCTCATAAATTACCTTTAAACTGGAGTTCAAAAAGATCTACCGACAGCAAATATAGTGAGTCCGCGCCGCGTGCTGACTGCACCGGTGCGGTGAAGTCACCGGAGGACAAAACAGATGATGCGCTTCGCTCCGCAGCAGCAAAACGCATCAGACACAAATAAAAGACAGAAATCATAAAAGGATATGAGCTGACATAAACGATTGCGTGTTAAATTTGTTTTTGAGGTGGCGACACTTTGATAATGTTATACTGTGGCCAGGGGGGCTGCCAGAGATTTTGGGTCCCATGAAAAAATATCAAGTTGGGCCCCCTGGGGGCTTGTCCATAGCTGGAGCTGGGGTTCCACCCTCCCAGATTCGAAGGGAGAGAAAAAATATATATACATATATACTTTATATTAGTGTCTCAGTTTTGCTTAATTATGTAGGTCTACATGCATTCTTACTTATTTACATATCATTTTCACCAGCTGTCTCTCATTAAACAGTGAATTTCCTTCAACAGAATTAGCAATATAACTGCTGGAAAAAGCAGGAAATGCACATGCTGAAAGGTGTTAATCTCCTTTTCCCTATCACTCCCTTAAAATGTGTTTATTTATTCTAAAATTTTATTTGACGATAAAATTCAAATTTGGATATCTAATTAAATTTTCATGTTGTGTCAAAGCTTTACATAACTACATTTTCAGCTGTCTTTCCTCTTGAAATCAAGTATTTCTATATGACTGACAAAAATTAAGGATTCACTGCTCACAAGGTGACTTCTTTATTAAGTCTCGATGGCTTCAGAAACAAAATGAATAAGCACACAGTTCAAACTGGAGTCAGTTAGGGTTACATAAAATTTTAAAGTTGGATAACTTTGCATGAATATGTATATAAGTCTCTAGACACCCATTTTTCCCAACAACAAAAACACAGCTAAAAATATATTCAGCCTTGATTGTACATAGCAATATTTATTATTTACAGTGATATAATTAATAATGCTCGATAACGATCAATACTAGATTTCATATTTTATTGTGTTCAATGTTATATTAAGTTTATTTATTACAATTATTAATAGCTTTTGTTTTATTTTTGCTCTCTGATGAATTATTTGGAAATGACTGATTTCTGGTTTGTGTTCTAAAAGCTACATACCGTAAACAAATTACATCTTGTAAAACCTCCCATAATTCAGTCAGATTCAAAACATTTCATTTCAAGGTATTTAGTAGATGAAGAGGGTTTTTTGTCTTGTATGGTGCCTTCAAAAAGGTGCTTCACAGTAATAATCTCGCAGTAATTTGTTACATTAACATACTAAATAACAATGCTTCAACCTGCCCGGCATCCAAAACAATCTATACATTTTTACTGATTGATATATATATATATATATATATATATATATATATATATATATATATATATATATATAATTATCATTATGTGGAAAAACAATGTGTTTATCACCAAAATTTGCCTTTTTATATTCCTTTGTAATAGTACTGATAGAGAAGAGAGCCTTAAGTGATTCCCACAGATCCCCTTAAATGAGGCTGCTAGCTAGCATGCTACATTGCTCACCTTGAGGTTCACTGGGTTGTGAGGGGGACACCTGCTGACATATCATCAGCTGCTGATTCTGGTAGGGACAAGGACAACAACCCATTTACCATAACTAGATGAAGCATAGTTCCTCTCACTGTGGATATCAAAGCTAGCAAACAGGTTGAATTTAACCACTCACTAGGGCTGCACGATATTAGGAAAACCTGCGATATTAGATAACAGTGCTTAATTTTGCGATATCGATATTACTCATGATAAATGAACAAATACTAAAGTATGCAGTGTTGATGTCGTCTGGCGTGTGACATCTGCTCTGGGTTCAAAGCAAACAAAAACTAATGCATGAATTCCATTACAACATAACATTTTTATTGCAAAAATATGCAGCTGCGCCTGCTACTGTATTAGCAGCTGCACCTGCTACTGCATTAGCAGCTGTACCTGCTACTGTATTAGCAGCAAAACAACAACCTGCATGCATGCAGTTTCTCAGTGACTTTAAAACATCACCTCCACCATAAAACTTTTTCTGATGCTCCAAATACAGAAAAACATCCCTTACCAGGTTTTTTTTTAATAAATACAAAAATCAGAAAATAAGTTTAAATGTTAAATAATAGTTAACATCACTTAAATGCAACAACAAATTCTCTCATTGCTACTGAGCATTTTCTCCACTTACGTGGTTATGATATAAGGCTGTTGCTGTAATTGGGAAGTGATCTGTGCTGGGCCAAACTAGGAGAATATTAAGATTTTCTGAGGGAAAGAGAAAAACAATTGTCTACCTTTCAGAAGAGGAACTGGCAAAAAAACTACATGGAAAATATGTGAAAACGTTTGTTTTTAACCCCAAGTTGAACAAGTTTACCTAGATCTTAAAAAGCAGCTCAGATGATGAAACTGCAACTATGATTCTGATAACAAGCTAACAAATTGAACCAGCTCCTCTGAGATAACCGGCTAGCAGAGCTTCTGACTGACAGTTTATGTGCAGCAGCAAATCAACTATCCTGATTAACAAGGTTATAAAAGCTCATAAAGGAAAAATCACTTTGATGTGTGGGGGAACTTTTCCAGGCCCTCCTTAGCAGGGTAGGACTGGGAGGAGAGTGCTGTAGCCTTTTAGCTGGAAGCTAACCGGAGCCTGGGGCTAACATCACCAACCGGTGGAACACTAGCGACATGAAGGTGGGTTGGTTCACCGGCACACGTCGGAGTCAGCCCGGTAAAAATGATTAACGACACCAAGCGGACTCACATTCACGTTTGAAAGCAGCGCTGATTCTAGAAGCATCAGCACAAAGTGT